CATGTAGTGCGGCAGCTCCCGTACGGCGATATGATTTCGTGTCCGAATGGCGGCCGCCGATTGGAGTAACTGGGCGAGGCATGGTCAGATACCTTTTTACGTTTGAGTGATGCGCACCAGTTCGATCCGATGCGGCTCTTTGTTGACCCAGATGAAATAATGATGTTATCCCATTCTCTGCCAGGACCTGTCCGCGGTTGGGTTCCCAGTCTCATGTAGATTGCTCATTACGCACTTTGATTCTGACACATTTAAGCGCAGGAATAAGCACTCGACAAAAGAAAGAAGCACGCACGACTTGTCGCGATGGACTCGACCTGTTTCAGTACGACCGGTCTGTCGTCCCAGGCCCTGGCAGTCAGGCACCTTACCCTGCAGGAATCAGTCGATTGCTACGTCTCGAGAGGAATATTAGTGGTGACCAACATTTCGAGCCCGTGCTTGAGCTGTGCCCGCGCTTCTGCACCACGGCAACTTCAACAACGACCCGGGCAATCCGGCAAACATGCTTGAAAACGGTATACGCTTCGAGATGGGGTGGCTGTCGCTTGTCTTGTATTCTGCCGTGTTCAGCGAGATGCCGCCAAGGATGGCCTGCGCTCGTCGTCACTGACGAAGGATGCCCCCCAAAAACGCCGGCTTACCTGAATCAGAAGAAGAACCTTGTCGGACGTCCGCTCGACCTTCTTGACCTCGAATCGTATATCGTTGTGACGCCGGAGCTTGTTATAAACCTTCGCGGCAGTGATCGTCATTGCTACGTCACTGGAGGAAAGACCAGGCTTACAGTCTTTTCTGACGTCCGTAGCTTGTTTTCGGCCAGCCTGGGATTATCAACAGTGTGCGGCGAATGATCAACAAATCCTGGCGCACTCTTCCGATGCGCATATGACTTCAAGCTATGCAGGGATGTTCAGTGGTGACTTGGCAATTCAGACATGATTACCCACTACTTCACGAAGAGTCGGTTTCTCTGGAAGAGCCAAGATGGCGCTCATCTGAATGATCCAGTTAAATGGATGAAAAGGCCTGATCCGCTATGCTCCTGACCGTGCTCTGCTTGATGTAAAACTGTGACAGGCCGTCAGTCGCATCCATAAAACGGAACCCAACGAGCCACACCTTGCTCATAATATCGCCAAACTCAGTCGATTTCAAAAGCCCGCTATTGTCTCCCTCCTTCGGCGGCGCAATCAGCCTGGTCTCCCTCAATTTGTCCACACTGTGCGTGACCATATCATCGACTCTCTCCTCCCATGTTTGGTTCTCACCCTTGCCCAATGCGTAGTGTGCAGGATTCTTGCGCACTCTCTGGAATAGAAACGAGCCGCGCAGCCATTCCTTCGCCCCTCGGATGGTGGTGATTGTGCCCAGCCCGATTTCGGAATTTAGATGCTCAGATAGGTTGGTATGCAGAGAGCTTTCAACGATGGTCGTGCCCTGCGCTAATTCACGATACTGTTTTCCAGTTCAGTCTCGCATAGAATGATAGTCAGGCCGTCTTTGTCTGAAGATGAGTCAGGGACGATTGAATGAGATATGGTGAGGTTGAGCGTTACCAAACTGTGGTCGCCCCTGGGTACGAAAAGTTCCTTCATGATTTCCGACGTCATTGAGTCATGTAGCACTCACTGCGCGCCCAATCATCTGCATGATATCGAGATCCGAGTATTCCACAGATTGGTTGTTTTGGAAGGTCTGTACACCTTTGATGACAACAGTGTGAGCAGCTGTACAACACCTCTATAAGCTGAAAGTTGAGTGGAACAGTCGCCGTACGCAGATTGACACCGACAGCAAGAGTCTACAAAGAGATGAGCATGTAAGATTAGCTTATATTAGACAAGATACCGATGTGGCGACGACCACTCTGAGCGTCCCTTTCAGGTACAAATCTTCCACTGCTCGTCGATCGTCGATCGTCATTCCCGCATGATGGATTCCGATTCCGGAGGATACAAAATCTGGACATCATACGCATCAGCCCTGAACAACTACTGATCAGTCGAGTTGCACCAATCAAACGTTTCTCGTGAAAGATCTTATCGATGCGGGGAGGATGGGCCCACGGAAGTCGCTGTTTGGCCTTCTGAGCTTCATTGTAGTCTTTGAGAAGTTGTTCGGCGGTATTTGACACCCCTGTAGAGTATCCACCGGCCAGCTCGACATTGATTTGGAGCTCGCACACACCTTTGCGTGTGGACACAAACACCAAGATGGGTTTGCCTACAGAATACGTTTGGAGTGCACCAAATAATTTGAAGTCGCTAGGTCGTTATTGAGCCATCGTTTGTGAGATATCAATCAACGAACAGTTTGCGAGCGAATGAAAAGTCGTTTTCGTTCTTTTGCCTTGCCACTCCAATGACATGCCTCGTCAGTTTACACGGGCGAAACTGTTCCCCAAACTGCAAAAAGTCTCGGTCTCGGGGTGACTGGCAGTAGATAGCGATGAAACGCACTTCGAAAACTTTCGCTGCGGCATCTCGCTGTGAATTCCCAATCCAAGCCGCGATGTCGTCGATATTGGGTACAGTGGCTGAGACGAGAACGAAGCGGACGGCGGAGCCGCGTGTTTTCATGCGCGAGATGACAACTTCGAGAGTGCTTCCTCTGCTTTCGTTGAGAATATGCACCTGCTCCAATTCAGGCGAGAATGAAGTCAAGGAAACTGCTGAGGCTGACTTCGTCGACTAGGAAGAGTTGAATTTGGGATAGAACGGTATCGTGGTCTCCCCTACGAGCGATGAGCAGGGATATCTCAAGAAGTGAGTAGGAAAAACCGACCAATGACGCGTCAGACTGTCCCATTTCTCACCCTAGAGAGCTCGAATCCTGCTAGAAGATGATAAAATCCACACACTTACCGTAGTGACACTGGACCGTGTAAGATTCGTTCGCAACAACAGTGAGCACCAAAATTCACATTATGTTCGCATTCTTAGCGTCGCCCCAAGCTCCCTTCCCAAAAACGACAGTGTCCCCGGTGAGCTCACAGCCTGATGCGTATGAGCAAAGACTGATGCACGAGGTAAAACGAACATTTGAAACCCAACGGGTCAAATTTGCTAGCCCAATCTCGGTGTCTTTCAGAACAAAGGGCCTAATCACATCGTCAAATGAGCACAGAAGTTGCTAGATGTGGAATCATAAACCTTGGTGGGTGCCATGTACACACACTTGATCGACTTTCCTGACGCCTTTGCTTCCTTCAACGCACGAATAATGGCAAGCTCAAACAAGACCGTCTTCCCACTCCCTGTAGGTGCTAGATATGTGTGTGTCAGACCAGACCAGACACGCCCGGTTAAGCCCGCACCACTGATGACCATGTTCTCCTCGCTTTGAAAGACCTAGCGACGGAGGTGTTCAGCATGAACTCAACAGAAGCATGTGTCCTCGTACGGTATCAAAGCATGATGATTGAACAGCATTGAAGACTCCGAACTTAAATATTCCGCGGAAGATATCGGCTGCGCAGAATCGGTTAGTTCCTCGACCGTAGCACGGATAGGTGGATAAGTACGCAGATCGGAGATCGGGCGCAGCCGGATACCGGAGGAATTACGTGGATTCGACCCTCGTGCTGAAGCGGGTGGATGCGTTTGCAGAGCCGGGTGAGGTGGAGGCGGAGGGAGCATCGAGATTGGACGGCGAAAAGCGGCCTGGGATTGGGATGATTGGACCTGTCGAGACATCTGGGACTGAGGCAATGGGTAAAATACCGATTGTTGACGTTGAAATATGGGTCGTGCTGGAAGGAATAAGTGGCCAGCGCCCCAGGGAAAGGAGTTGTTGCGCGCACTTTGGAAACCTCCATTCCCAAATCGTCCTCTGTTACGACTTTGAGGGTGCTGCTGCTGATTCCGAGTCGGTTCCTCGTATCCTTGTTGTCCTTGTGTCAGAAGACTCTGGTGATACACTAGATCATCTTCGTAGTACGGGGCCTCGTCGTCGTAGTCGTCGATATCATCATGCTGATATGCTTGGGTATATACAGGTATCCGCTCCGGAGGACAAGGAGAAGAGTCTTCTAGAACAGATTATGGATGGAGGTCGATGACCAAACGCATTTACTCACCTATCTCGTCAGAGTAATACAGAGCATGGCCCTGCATTGGCATCTCCTCACCATTATACTGGGGCTGGCGGTCTCCATAGTACATATCACCTGAGTCATCAGCATACCCCGAGTCGTAGTGATCCTCGTAATCCATCGTGAGGCATGCGAAAGCGCGACGTGCTCTTGACTGAGGGAACCACACTGTGTGCTTCGGGATCACGAGATCGTGGACGACGTGACGCCTGTGACCGGTCGCGTTTGACCTCTTCCGCTTACGATGGACCCTGCCGCTGCTGCCGCTCAAGCACTGAAGGAACAAGAAGACCAGAGGAAGCTCGAGGAATACATAGAAAAGTTGGCCCAACACATTTTACCCTCACTCTCCTCTTACAGACTCCAGGATTCACTACTCTGATCGATATACCGACGACAATTACGAGTATCGGCACGTAATCTTGCCCAAGCAACTTCTTCGACTCGTTCCCAAGAATTTCTTCGACGAGGAGATGGGGACACTTCGCTTACTCTCTGAGCCTGAATGGAGAGGAATCGGAATCACGCAGAGCCTGGGTTGGGAGCACTATGAAGTCCATGGTGGGTGCGCAAACTGATTGATCTTACTTGCCTTGAGCGTTTTTCCATCCAGCCCCCGAGCCTAATGTCTTGCTCTTCCGTCGACCGAAAGACTACGCCCCTCCTCCCCAACATGCGAACCCTAAAGCCGCCACACGCCGCAGATGATCGAACAGAATCACCCACATAGTACAACACCTCCGGATTGAATTTGGTCCTTGTTTTAGGTTAACTCTCCAATGTATTCCTTACCAACGGCACCCTCTTGACTGTCTTTTGCCACCTCGCCGTCCCATTAGTCCATAGAACCTGCTATCGATATGCTTTTTTTGCGATGCAGTCAGACTTGAACTGGGGCACTCTTGACTAATAGGCCGTGGGTATATCAACCACGGTCCGGAGACATCTGGAGGTTTATTTAAATCTCCGGATCCAGCCAGTTCAGACGCTAAAATTGACCCAATCTGGGTGCTGCTTGCGAGCGGCCACAACACCGATCACTGCGCGCGGATCACGAATACTCTTTTTGTGCTCACGTGCCACAACAAGTCTGCCACTGGTAGGGTTCATGCTGCTGAACCAATCCCCACGCAGCTTGCCATCTACGAGAACCCGCTTCCATTTCACTCACCCTGCCACGTCTCTTCCCTTCTCGACAACTAGGAAAATTCTCTGTATAGGTACAAGACTCGTTTCCACGGATAGAAGAACGACACTTGGACGCGTCACCCGTTCACTCTACCCCGCATCTCGCCTTCCAATCACCAGAATTCCCTTCGCGGGCATAGCCTCTTCTGCATCTGCCACAATGCAAGACTGGATACGCGTCAGCCCCGACGTGGTTCCCCCCTACTCGGTGTTCTCCAAACCGCTTCAACGATCGGAGCAGGATGACCGAGAATATCGTCTCATCCGACTCGAAAACGGGCTGCAAGCGATGTTGGTGCACGACTCCAAGGCGGACAAGGCCGCTGCGAGTCTGGACGTCGCCGTGGGCCATCTCCGCGATCCCGTGCGTTTTCTTTATGTGCGCGCGCCGCGCTGTTCTGATCGCCATCTAGGATGACATGCCCGGTTTGGCCCATTTTTGCGAGCATCTGTTATTCATGGTGAGCGGCCGCGTTTCGCTTCGTGTACCGTGTTTGTCTGACTAATCGTACAGGGTACCGAAGAGTTTCCGCGCGAGAATGAATATGGGGATTACCTGGCGAAAAACAACGGTGGCTCCAATGCGTACACGTCGACGTCCAACACGAACTATCACTTCAACGTCGCAGCTCCCGGGCTCGAGGGCGCGCTTGCGCGTTTCTCGGGGTTCTTCCACTCTCCACTGTTCGCTCCGTCCTGTACGTCTCGCGAGCTCAACGCGGTGAACTCCGAGCACAAGAAGAACCACCAAGCCGATATGTGGCGTATCTTCCAGCTAGGCAAGCACCTAAGCGCGCAGGGACACCCGTGGCGCAAGTTTGGCAGCGGTCATCGGGATAGTTTGTCCGCCGCCGCCAAGGAGTTGAAAGCCAAGGGCAAGCTGGACAATCCCTCTCTGTTGAATGGCAACGGACACCATCTCAAAGCGCCATCCCCGATTCCCTCTCGGCTTTCGTCTCCGGCACCTTCGGTGTCATCCGTGGACAGCACGGACACCGAGGCCGATGGTGGTTCGATCGGACGGGAGATCAGGAGGAGGCTCATTGAATGGTGGTCGCAAGAATACTGTGCCAGCAGGATGCGCCTGTGTATTGTGGGAAATGGTATGTTCTCATGATCTTTTCTCAGGTCCATGCTTGATACTTTCAAAAGAATCATTGGATCAGCTGTCCTCCTATGCTTCCAAGTACTTCTCCCCCATTCTCAACCGTAATGTGGATCCGCTCCCGATGATCACCCAGTCGCCTTTCGATCGGCTTGGGGTATGTTGATCAGCCAGCTGCATCATTGCTTTCTCTGACATAGACGGCTTATAGACGCTGGTCTCTGTGAAAACGATCATGACTTTCCACGCCTTGGAGATCGCCTTTCCCCTTGAATGGCAGCCACCGTTCTGGCGACACAAGCCGATCCACTTCATCTCGCACTTCGTAGGCCATGAGGGACCTGGCTCGATCCATTCGTACCTGAAGCAGAAGGGATGGATCACGGCATTGAGCACCTCACCGCAAGACATGGCCCGAGGGATCTCTATGTTCAAAATCACTGCCTATCTCACGCAGGAGGGTTTCGGTGTGTCCTGTTTATTGAACTTCCTTGTGCGCGGCTGAGATCTGTCCAGAAAATCACGAGAGTGTGTCCTTGGCCATATTCAAGTATCTGAGCCTACTCCGGGCCTCGCAGTTCGATGCGTTCCACCAGTCCGAGCAGGTGACACTCGCGCGAACCCGTTTCCGCTTCAAGGAAAAGGGCAGCCCCGAGAACTATGCGACCTGGGTGGCCGAGAGCATGACCCGGCCTGTACCAACCGAGCTCATCTTGTCCTCCTCGTCCTTGCTGTGGGACTGGGATGGGGACAGTCTGCCAGGAGGTGGAGGGGAGTCCAAGGTCCGGGAATATCTAGAGCTCTGCAGACCCGAAAATGCCAGGATAACTCTCATGGCCAACACTAAGGATCAGCTGTCGCTCTTCCCGAACGCTGTGTGGCAAAAAGAGCCGTGGTATGGGACGGAGTATCACGTAGAGAAGTTCGGCGCGAGTTATTTGGCTGATGTGCGTCATGTTGAAATCAGTTCTCGGTGAAGACTGACTGTCTCTCCAGTCCAATGCTCCGAATGACATCAAGGAATTGCACCTGCCGGGTCCGAACGTTTTCATTCCCACTAATGTTGAGGTCGAGAAACGGGATGTCAAGGAACCGCTCATGCGACCCCATCTGATCAGAGAAACGCCTCTCTCGGTCCTCTGGCACAAGAAAGATGACCGGTTCTGGGTTCCCAAGGGCCATGCCGTCATCGATCTGCGCAGCCCATATGGCAATGTTTCCCCGCGCGCTGCCATATTGACACGGTGCGCTCCTTGCTCTCTCCTGCTTCCGCAACTCCAATTGTCTTTGCAGGCTGTATTCGGATATCGTCACCGACTCGCTGACTGAGTATGCCTACGACGCCAGTCTGGGTATGCTTTCTTACGCGTTCCTGCAACATTCGAACGGGTTGTATGTTACCATCAACGGCTTTAACGACAAGATGTCCGTCCTTATTGAGCAGGTGCTCGATAAGATCAAGAACATCGTGGTAGACCCGTCGAGACTCGAAATCATGAAGGAGCAGGCCAAACGGGATCTGAATAACTTCTTCCTGGGGCAATCCTACACGTTATCGGATTACTACGCTCGGTCTCTGCTGTCGGAGGTGCACTGGACGCTGGACAAGCTTCTTGAAGAGTTGCCCTGTATGTTGTCGTGTCATCTAAAGACTAAGATGCTCATGGGTTTGCAGCCGTTTCGGCGGAAGACTTGCAGCAACACATCAAGCTCATGCTATCCGAAGTCAATCTGCGCATCGTCGTCACAGGGAACCTATACAAAGACGTTCGTTGTTTTCTGTTGTGCGATCCGTGTCCTGTGTTTTGACGGCGGTGCAGGAAGCGATCAAGATTGCTGAAATGGCTGAGGAGGGACTGGGAGTTTGCAAGCTGCCCCCAACTGATTTGAATGACCGCGCGCTTATCTTGCCTCGCGGTGCGCAGCTCTTGTGGCAGCCGTTTTTCGTATCTCATTTCTGACTGTCCCGCAGGAAGCAACCAGACCTGGACCTCGACGATCCCCAACCCGAACCAGGCAAACTCGGCACTAACGTACTATCTCCACTTTGGACCCATCGTAGACCAGAGGATGCGAGTGACATCATCGGTGCTGACCCAGATCCTACATGAGCCTGCGTTCGATATCCTGCGGACGAAGGAGCAGCTGGGGTACATCGTGAGCTGTTCCGGCTGGATGCTCAGCGGAAACAGCGAGAAGGGGATGCGCATCATCGTACAGAGCGAGAAGAACCCGGGATACCTCGAAGACCGCGTCGAGGCGTTCCTGGATGGGATGAAGGCGACGCTGGAGGCCATGACTCCCGAGGTGTTTGACGAGCACAAGGAGAGCGTGCGGAGGCGGTGGACGGAGGCGGAGAAGAACCTTAAGGACGAGATGGCTCGGTTGGCGATCCACGCGACGACAGGACACGTCGATTTCCTGCGGAACGAGAAGGACGCGCAGTTCATCAGCAACGTCACCAAGGACGACGTCCTGGCAATGTTCCTGCGCGATGTACATCCGGCTTCGCCATCGCGCGCCAAGTTGTCCATCCACATGCGCTCCCAGAAACCACGCAAACCACGCGTCAGCCCCGCCGCTGCCCAGGCCGTGGCGGACCTGATCATCGGGCGCGGCCTCGTCGACCAGATCCCCGAGTCGATCGCTGCTCTCGAGGACAACCCGCTCGTGGCCGATTACGGACAGGCGTGGGGTGTCGTGCTGGCGGGCAAGGAGGGCGTCGGCAAGCTGCTCGAGGAGGTCCAGCGCATCCTTGCGCAGCACCCGGTGCCGGGAGAGGGTGAGGACCTTCCCGGGCCGGGGTCACGTATATCTCGGACGTCGAGGCATTCAAGCGTGGGCTGACGGTCTCCGTCGATCCAGGCCCAATGGTCCAGTGGGGCGATCTACCCGTATCCAAATTTTGATTGTGTAGCCGTAGACTGTGGTTTGTATGTACATGGGTTTCCGATACTACTCTACGCAGTATAAATTTACAGTAATCTCAGTCTGGTGGTGTGCTTGCAAGTGCCCCAGGGCCTAGACTCGACCGGAAGAGTCCTAACCCTATATTAATGAATTTAGTTCCGATCGTGCTTACAACAACACCTTTCCCATGTGATAAAAGGAAGCGATCCGAGACAAAGACACAGCAATGAATTATAATGGTACAGTACAACGTATCGCGAATACTACGGTCTGTGCGGAAATGGAGGGCTACGTCTGGATATCGTACACTCGAATACAACGGGCGAGAAAATCGGGGAGGGCAGGAAACAGGCGAGTGCCACAGCTAGCCTGTGCCACATAGACCCATGATAACCGAACTGCCTCGAGTACGACCATGAGTGGCTTGGCGTAGGTGTGCGAGGGTCCATGTGTGCGGCGGCGGCTAGAAGCGATGTCGCAGGTGGAGTCAGAGCCTGTTACGCGACCTGCGTGCGGGCATGAGGAATGGTCGGCGCAGCGGATGACGGACGTCACTCACAACCTCAGACTGCCCAGCACACCCGTGTCCGACTGCACTAGTTGGTAGAAGGTGAAGCCCAGCGCGGAAAGGACGGCGAGCGAGGTGGTGAACACAATGTAGAATGTGGTCTTGGATCGCTCCGATGTCCAGACGTCCTCCTCCGACTTGATGTCCGGGTCCTCGTAGATATCGAACGTAGCACGCATTGTGGGCTGGCGGGTGTGAGGAGTAGCCTGTGGGGCCGCGTGGGGGCCGAGGAGGGTGGGTCGGAGAGGGAAGCAAGCCGTTGAAGGGGAGGGAAGAAAAGGAAACTGGACGGAATCGGTTAAATAAGAGCTAGACACAAGATCAGGCCTGGCGATCTGCGTCTGACATGTAGACAAGCGACCGACAAAGACAGCATGCACGGCTCAGTCTCGTGCTCCTTAATCGGCGCGGTCAGGACAACACACTTCCGTCCGTGAATGATCATGGGTTGCACATTGTACTACGGAAAGTCCGGCACTGAGGAAACCGATAGGCATCTATTTTATGTCATCAGAGACGTCGGGGCGGCGCGCCTGATCGGCGTTTCTGGGTAACCGCCGGCAGTGGCTGCAATTCTATTGCATCGAACGGACGTAAAATAATGGTTTACGTTCACACATCGTATATCCTCTGCGTGCGTGCTCTAGTCCCAGTCTGCGAATCGGACGACATCTGCCTACTATAACTGTTTCCACGGCAAAGGACGTCTCTTGACACGGATCCTTGACACTCGGAGATGTTTCCGGGTGCCCTGGTTATTCATAGGGTCGCAAATCGGACCCGCTTTCAGGCGTTTGACTAAATATGCAACGCTGTCTGCGTCGCAGACGGAGGAAGACAGAGTCACAGCCGAAATGCAAGGCAGCTGACAGGCTGTACCGCCACTGATCGTGGCGTCCCCCAGCCCAAGGGTCCCCGACTTCGACTTTGAGCACCGTCCGGCAGTTCGGAAAGTATGTGCAAGTAACCGTTGAGAATCTCGCTGCTTATCACGGAAATTATTTAATTATTGATCGCAACCGCCGGGCCGAAGGGTTGCTCAGAACGGCGAATCTTCCACCAAAAAGAACTTCTGCACTGTTTACAAGTAGCAATTGAATCCGACGAAGAGAACGCGGTTACAACCATTGTAAGGATACGCAAGACAGATTCTAGGCAGGCTCAACAGAGTGACACCGGAGACACGTCCCGTCACACGTTACTGATGGCGCTTCCACTACGACCCTCAGTGCCAAGCTCCCTCACAACGTGGCAAATGCTCTCACTGTCTTCCCCGATACCAGGCGCTGACGATCTACAGGGATATGGCGCTTGTGTATGGGTCCGCTGGGGTCGCCGGAGTCGAAACTCACGTCAAGAGTCTCATCGCGGCCGCAGAGGACAACGTCAGACGACTCACGACGCAAATCCACGAGTTGACTCTCGCACGGGATAGAGAGAACGCCATCCTGATCCGACTTCGCCGCCTCGTCACTCCCATCGCTAAGCTTCCGGAGGAGGTGCTCGTGCAGATATTCAAACTCGTCTTCGCGACACCCCGCTTTCATCCCCATGACGACTTTATGGGCCGCTACGGGTTCAACTCGACGGAGCGGACTATGTACAGCGATAAGACGGCGGCTATGCGCAAGACGCTCGGTCTGGCCAGAGTGTCGACTGTGTGGCGGCACGTGGTTGCAAGCAATCCAAGTCTATGGACAGACTGCATTGTCAGTGTTACGATGGAGCGCACAGGAGAGAGCGCCTTGGAAGGATTGAATCGGTTACTCGGTCGCTCCGCTCCATACCCTGTGTCCCTGTCGCTGTGTTGCCCGAAGGAATCCGCACTTTTCCATCCTCCAAGCGTAGAGATACTGAGGTCCACCGCCGGACGGTGGAGGAGCGTCGAGATGGACTTTGACTCGTTGCATCACTTGGCGGGCTTCGGGACTACACAGTTCCATTCACTAGAGCGGCTACGCATATATCGCGGGTCTTATAACCAAAAGCAAGAGGACACCGACTTGTTTCTCGACTCACCACGCCTTTGGCATGCCAACATCGAGAGTGATCGGCCGGACCGCATTCGATTGCCGTACTCGCAGCTCACCGTGCTCGAGCTGGTCGCGGACTCCGCGCGGGCGTGCCGAGCGGTGCTGCTGCAGTGCACGAACCTCGTGAAAGCGAAGATCTGCGCCGACCACCAGTGGGATGGGTCGCCCTTGGCCGCCGCGTCCCCGCTGGTCACATTCCCGCACCTGGAGACGCTGGATCTGGATCTGGGCGAGGGCCTGGCGGATGACGACGTGGATTCGATGGACGCATTTCTCTCCGTGCTGGACGCCCCCGCGCTGACGAAGCTGGTCGTGTGCTGGGACAGCGTCTGCAACTGGTCAGGCAGCCTGTGGCCGACGCCCGCCGTGTCTGACTTCCAGCGGCGGTCGCCCAAGATCGCGTCGCTCGATCTGCAGTTCTGCAACATCGAGCGCGACGAGCTGCTCACGTTCCTGCGGTTCGCACCGTGTCTGACGGAGCTGCGGATCCGCTACTCGTGGAACTGCGTGGACGATCTGCTGCTCGAGGCGCTGCGCGTGGGCCAGCAGCCGCCGTCCGGGGTGCCGCTGGTCCCGCGGCTGACGGAGATCCACTGGAACTGCGTCGGCGAGTTCGACGAGGAGGTATTCGAAGACGCAGTGCGCTCGCGGTGGTGGAGCGCCGGTCGTCCCACGAACTCCCAGGTCGACCGCCTGACGAAGGTGTATGTCAGGCAACGGGACGACGAGGACTCGATGTTCTCCTACGAAACGATCTGCCACATGCAAGACTTGAGGGCACAGGGACTGGACTTGCGGTTGGATGATTTCGAGGACGAAAGCTATTATTGATATGGATGCACTGTATGCTGATTATGCGGTGTACTGTGTAACTGATTATGCGGCACTCTAATCCTGCCGCACCCGTGTTTTTCTACAATTGAGTAATTTATGCCAGATGCGGGTTGACTACCGTGAGAACGGCATTTGGATGCACGCTTTGATATTTGATGGCGTATGAGCCGGCGTACGCGTGCCCACTCCCGGTCCCCCTCTCTCTCGGCCCCTGCTCTTAGGCAAAGTTTTCTCGCGTGCCAAAGCGTTGCAACTCGGAGCGATCTCCCTTGAAGATTCAGAATAGCTCTCTGAATGTCACCCGAGAATGTCACCCGAGAGAATGGACACTCGATGTAATATGCGCTGGCAAACCGGATACTGGAAAACTCCTCCTCAAGAGCACTATAGACTCTGAGAGGCTGCCAGGCTATGTCGCTGATGACTCTCGATGTTGGGATCCTCACTCTCCGCTCGATCTCGGCCTCCATTGGGATCCCAGAAGGAGCGCGAAACTTGTAGTAGGGTGGAAGCCTGGATACAAACGCTTCTGGCTCCTACATGGCTCGTCCTTGCGCTCCAAAACATTCAGAAATCAAGATCTCTGCTCTGAGGACGACCGCAGTCCACCAGTTCTTTCGTGTATGACCAGCCCCCTCACGTGGCGCACTGTTCTATCGCCCACCGAGGCTTCCGAATCCCATTCCCCGGTCCATTGAACGTTCAAGAACATTTTCCGCGCTGGACAACGGCTCCCTAGCTCTTTGGAACGATTTCGTCGACCTTGTCCTCGGCGGCATTTCCAAATTAGGAAATCGTCGTATCGGGGACCATGAACGGGTTCGTGCGCGCATATTAGGCAGGAGACTGGTCGCCGATGTTGGGATCGGGTCTGTGATGGTTTCAGCGCTGGTTTGAGCCGCGATGACATTGTCACACAGCACACGCTAGCGCTCTTTTCCCTCGTCCGCGCCTTGTGCTGCGTCTCCAAAGAAAAGGCTAGGGTTGGAGTCTTCCCATCAAGCGCTCAAGTATAGGATTGGCTGGAGACTCATGACGCAAGATTCTGTCACTATGGATTTCAGCGAATGGTGGATATCATCGCGGGGCAGACGGTCGCTTCTTGACTGGTACGAGATACCCTGTCGGCAAAATCAAGCCCTGTGGTGCGGGATTGGGTCTGCAGACAAAAATCCATAAGCCTCGTTCAGACATTATGAAGCGTCGCCGAATAATGGCGAGTGCAAGAAGTTGGTCCAATCTGCAGTGCATTGTCTCTTCGACTCAAGTGCCCGGCGTATCACATAAGCAATCAAACACGCACCCAGTTTCGATCAGCGAACTTTCCTTGCCTCCTTCATCGACGGTGTGCTCCCTCCACATCCGTTGACAGCAGGAAGCGAGCCGGCGCTTTACGCTTTATCGCATCAATGCCAGGCCCTGATCCCTCGGACGAGGCCGCTTTGGCGATGCCACCACCCTCGACGATCCCCCGAGCGACCGCACGGCCCAGCACCCGCGTCCGAGCCCGCAAAATGACACCCGAAGCGACGAACATCCGCAGGCATCTTGACCCGTACACGCTGATGTTCCCGCCGAGCGCGGAGATGATGAAGGCTCTCCTGCAATACGGATACACCAAAGCGCAGATCAAGCAGGCGTGGATGCTCCCCTCGCCGGACTAGCATCCGATTGCCCCTTCTCCCGCCTCAGCCCCAGCCCCAGCCATCCCGGCCCCCGCTGCAGCAGCACCTCCTGCCGTGGCTGCCACGGAATCAGTGGCCGAGGCTGTCGCTCCAAAGGCGAAGAAGAGCAGGAAGCGGAAGTGCGTGCATTGGCTTCGTCCTTGTTTCCTGCTGCTTACGGTTTTGTGCAGGGCTCGTGCGACCGACGCAGACCCCAGCGTAGAACTCGAGCAGGGCCCAGCGAAGCGGGCGAATACCAAAGCTGAAGATGCAGAGGCCGAACGCCATCGCTCAATTCAGAACAACATGACGTTCTGTCTCGACTCCTCGTGCGTCTTTCCTTCGTGTGATGTAGTGAATTCTCGAGTACTTAACCGTGCCTGCCAGGCTGAACCTCATCCATGGACCGGCTGTTGCTGCTGTGCCACCACCTCAAGAGATGGGAACGTCGAACGAAATGGGCTGGGAGACAGCACCGTAAGTTCACCGACTGCTCCTTGCGATGATTCTAATCTGATTTACGTTCACAGGCTTGAGCCCGCTGCTCCTGCTCCTGCTCCTGCTCCTGCTCCTGCTCCTGCTCCTGCTCCTGCTCCTGCTGCTGCTGCTGCTGCTGCCCCCGCTCAGAAGAAAGACAAGGGCAAGGGAAGAGCCATCGACAATCCACCGGCCATCGTTTCGGCCCCGGTGGTCGAGAAGCCCCTCAAGCGGCAGCGTCGAGTGAAGCAGCCCAAGTACATTTTGTTTAAGATCTTCCTGTGTGCGCTTTGCTTATTCCTTTCCAGCGCCGTTGCTGGTCCTTCGCGTCAAGTTGAGGTGCCGTCAGCTAGCGGCTCCTCGCTCGTGATGCCGGCTTTCCAGCCCCAGCAATACCCGGACTGGAATGCCTACCCAACTGCGAATATGGACCCTGCTGGATACTATGCTCAGTATGGCCCAGTCCCGGGACCCAGCGCCGGCTATGGTCCGCAGTCTAGCTATGCTCAATATGTCGACCCCGAGGCTGGCGCTACTGCATCTTACTCGACAGACGATCTGGCTGGCACCTGCCAGGCTTATCAAGGCCTCACGGTAGACCCATCGTTGGTCAACCCCGAGACGGACATTGTCCCTCTTCCTCCCTACGTCGACTACAGCGCCACGAATGCACAAGCACAAGCCTGCGAGGGTTTCGACCAGCTGGACTCGACCGGACAGCCACTCGACGATATCACCAACGAGTTCTTGCTGCGTTCTGGGCTGATTCAGCCGGACTACCCGGGTGCGATGACTGGGGAGGGCTACATCGAGGACCAGCAGGACGCCCAGCTGGCCCATCGTTCCCACGAGCTATTCGGGCTCTTCAACATCTCCTAAATGCCTCCGAAGTTACAGGATCCACACCCATCCTCCATTTACACAACGCCGTTATATTTGTATATCATCCTAACACCGTTCTTATACTCTCTCTCATCTGCCTCTCGTCTGTATTTGTACCTTATGCTTGTGTTTGTGACTAGATGGTGTATATAGATGTACTGTGTCATATGCTGTTGTATGTACGACCCATTTAATGTTTTGTTATATCACTGACCTTAATTTCAATGCACTTGAGCCCAGAATTTCAGGACGTCGCGCGATGCAAGAGCATTGTCGTCTTCAAAAGTGTACTATCCCGCTGTTTCAGAGGGCTCCAAATCCGATTTCTACGTTTCGAGGACTTGGCCTGTAAAAACTGACATGCGAGGTTATCACTATGACGTCACGCGACGCGACGCGATCGATCGCTCTTGGCTAACTGCTTTTTGCAACTCGGTTGTGTGGACAGCGATAATCCACATATTATCTTTCAAGTCAATCAATCCGAATATGTGCTCTCTAGTGCTGGCCACTCGGCCAACAGAGCCTATTACGGGTTCACTGTAAATCACAGGCCGTGGGGCTACCACCATGGCCGCACACCCCCGGGATACTTCGCAGTTACTCTCCATCTATATTTCAAGTAGTGAAGTGTAAACTGTGTGGAAGAGACACGCGTAAGAGTGGCGGGTCGAGCATTGTCATTCGTCAACTCTCTGCAGTCAACTGGCCATTGACGAGAGTCGCACGTTTGACGCCGTCCTCGCGATTCCACGGGACCTCCTCTTCGAGATGAGTGACCACGACCACAGCTTGTTCTGGTCCGACGCCCCCGTTGCGGAGGTAGTTCCTGGCCGCTGCAATCATGCGATGGTCCATTCCACTCCACACTTCGTCCAGCAAGACGAGCTCCTTCTTACCGACCAAAGCCCGCATGAGGAGAACCATACGCTGTTCGCCGACCGGGAGTTCGATGAACTTGCGAGCGGCGAATGATTGCAGTTCTTCGTTGACTCGCGCATCGGAAGCTGGCAGTGGCTCGGCTCGCCAGGCACAAGGCCCCAAAGCACCCAAGACTTCCCAACATCGAAGGGTGCGCCATCCTGTCTGCTCCTCGCTCAGATCGACCGAGCCAACTGCGCCGCGAGACACGAAGACGCCCTCAAAGCCCGTTGCGATGACTTCCCAAACGGACATGCCAGGTGATCTCCTGGGAAACGCATCAAACAGCTCTGGTGTCACGACGCCGATGAGCGACTGGAGGTGGGGTGTCGCGAGTCGGGCTCTAGGTGTTCCGAACATTCTCAAGTAGCGATCGGGTCCGTTTTGTATGTATGACTGGGGATGGTCTCCTGTGAGCAATGACAGCAATGTAGTCTTCCCGGAGCCTATACAAATAACGATAAGCGCCTGCTGCGAACTCGACGTGAAAAATTACCATTCGAGCCCTGGAGGTGGTACCGATGCCCCTGCCGGATAGTCCAGGCGACGTTCTTCAGGATCTGGTTTCAACGTTGGAAAAATTGTAGATCAACACGATTCTCGAGTCGAACCTGACGCTGACCCGCGCTGTACGACACAGAGACATTGTTCATCTCCACGACGGGGTTCCCAAGCTCGATTGGTGCGAAAGCGCTTCGTTCACGAGCCTCTGAGGCATTCTTGACCTGCAGTATATGCTCCAGAACGTCCTTTTTGGGACCGGTAGTGACTTGGCCATTGTTGACGAAGAGCAGATGGGTGATCCATTCAGGTATCGGGTCCTGTATTCGCATGCCCAGAATGATATGCGGATCACATTTCGCGTGTAGTTTCTGGAAGAGATTGAGGACAATCGCGCGACTATCAACATCGAGGCCCGCTGCGAGAATGTTCGATGAGAACGCCTCCACGCAGAACGGAAGCGGCGAAACTCACTCAAGGGTTCGTCGAGTAGTAACAGGCGGGGTTGAGCCAAAAGCGCCTTGAGAATACGTGCCCGACGGGTCTGTCCGTTACTCAACGCAATCCTCGGCAGATCCAGCAGCTTGTTGAGTTTCAAGTCCTCACCCAGTCGTTCGAATAACGCATTGCGCTCTGTCGGAGACTTGGATGGCTTGAGTGAGATGCGGCTGCGCGCTTTCAGGTGGTCGGTGGTGTCTGAAAACATGCTCTGGCGTAGAGTAATCTGGTCCTCTTCTCGTACAGACCCGTACCGCGCGCTGTAGTCGTAGAACCCACCGCCAACTGCACGCTTGTTCGCGAAGGACACAGTGGACACGACGTCTTGCAGATCGCCAGAGAAGTCCCCCAAGAATGGCAGGAGTCCGGGGAATGGAGGTGGCGGGTGTATTCTAAGGTGTCGCATGAGCATCTGTGTAGTTGGTTCTCAATGTCTGTGAGACCAAAGCTGCCGAGAGCATTCACATCAAATATGTGCGACTTTTCGCCTGAGCCGCTTCCAACAACGGCCCAGCTCTCGTTTGGCTTCACAGACCAATTGAGTGCGCGCAGAAGAGGTGTCGCACGATTTGCATCTCCAAAACGATACACGTCGGCCTGGGGAATGTTGATAATAGCCGCCTTGCTCGAGTTTCTGCGCGTGCCGAGAGCAAAAAAGCCGCTAGGGCGAGCGGTCATACGAACGTTTTGCATGACTCGTCATGAACACCAGCAGTGAGCACGCGCAGGGATCAACGACAGCTCGCAAACATCCGGATGGGTGATGGCAGGTGGCGGTGCACGGCAGGCATCCATCCTCCTTGACATTCCGACACTTTTTTCTGCTCTGCATGAATGGGGAGAGCTCTTCGACGTCCGCGTCGGGCATACGGACGGTTCTGAAATACACCGGTATCCCGCCCTCATGGCTCGACAAACGCCCCAAACTTCCCTCACGGAATTGGCTCATCTTTCTCTCCGTGACATCCTCCATCGTGGGACTGTACGTCTACGACCGGAAACAGTGCGAAGTCATCCGCCAGGAGTACGTGGACAGAGTGAAGCATCTCGCTGACGAGACGAAGAGCTCGCTTGCGTACCCACGGAAGGTGGTTGTGTACGGCGCCAAGTGGCCTGGAGACGAAGACCACGACCAGACGCTGAAGTACTTCCGCAAGTATGTCAAGGTCGGCATGGACCTTTCTCATCTGTTACGTGTGCCAACCTCTTGTTTTTTACCAGCCCATTCTTGTCGCTGCCGCTGTGGACTATGAGATGATCGGAGGCAAACGCCAAGGCGATATAGCTGACCGTGTAGCGGAGGATATCAAAGCGCGACGACGGCTGGAAGCAGGAATCGATACCGAGCCCGAAGTCAACAAACAGCTCCCTGCGTATCGGACCCCCGTACAGGCGCGTCAAGATGCGCTGGAGGGCGGGATCATGCTCATTGGACGACCGACGTTCAAAGAGTTCATGGCCGGACTCAAACGCGGCTGGACGGAACCCATGGCTAAAGTGGATCCGGATGAGGCGCTCGCCAATGATTTCGCGGAGGACGGGACGTTCGATGACGATTTTGATGGGGATGTGGCTGTTGGCCTCGAGGAGAACAGCACCCCTCCGCCTGCTGAACGAGTTCTCAAGCCCCCTCCATTCCCATCCTTCTCGGAGCCCGAAAACGCTCCATTCGCATCTCTTCCCGATGTGCCACCCGTGCCGCCTCTCATTGTGGTACCCTTCGTCGACAGACTCGGGTTCTTCAATATCCCCATGATGATCTGGGACTGGTTCAACCTCCGGCATGACGTACGCAACGGTGCACAGGCCGCCTATCGACTCATCCAGGGCAACACGCGTCCTTTCAACGCGCCTCCCGCCGAAACTGTCCGTTTCGCGGATATCACCTCCGTGTCGGAGGGCGCGACCTCAGACCTCGACTTCGACCGCGCTTCCGAGAGCCATCTCAAGTCCTCACTGGCTAAAATCCCAGCTGAGACGGAAAAGAACCGAGAAAAGTACTACTCTGAGCTCAAGACCAAGCTGGCCACCGCGAGGGCGCTGGCTCGCGGGACCCGGGAACCCACTAAAGAAGAGGTCTCGAATCCACCACCGACGGAAGTCGAATTGCGAGACGAAAGACTCAAAAAGGAGAAGAGATGGCGAGGAGATGTTCGTGGCTGGCTTGTCGTAGCGCCTTCGACGCCGGTGGCATGGGATGAGAGATTCCGGGGACTGCTCAAAGTCTACGCTGACAAAGATGAAGAGTAATTGCAACACTATATAGATCATTTAATTGAGCATCCTCGACTCACTGCATACCGCGGCGCGATATAAGCAGGCGCTGGTCAGGTTGATGCCAGACACTGAGCCCAGGTGTATGCGAGGTGTTACTACGTAATACAGGAGTGATAAAGTACTTACAAGATAACTGCTACAACAACCCTCAAGCCTCTCGCTCAGCCGCCCTATCGAGTTGCTGCCTTTTCCGTGATCCTCCACTGTAAGCTGATTAGCACAAAGATGACGTGAATGACCGGCGACGCACGTTTCGGTGTCCAGCCCTCGTTTCTTACCAGTCTTGGCTTCATCCAAGAACTGATTCAACCCGAACACGTCTCCACTATCCTTCTCGAATTGCACAGGTCCTTCTCGAACTTCCTGCTCCGAGGCACCTTCGAATCCAACTTGAGGCTGCCCAAGCCCGAAACGGTCTGTCGAAAGTGCCTTGCCAATTCCTTCATCGGTACCTCCACCGAACGATTCTTCGTTGCCCTCAGCGATGTTGCCACGAGCCTTGTAGATAGCTGCTGCTGCTGTAGATCCGTGGAACAATGGCTTGTCGTAGAGGTTGTACGAGTCTTCGTCCGCAAAGTTGCCCGGCAAGGATTCTTGGTTGAATAACCGTGAGTCCAGCATGGACTCTTTCGACAGGGTGGGCTTGGCCAGGCCCAACGCGACCTTCTCGGAGATGTCTCGGTTCTGTTGGCGAGCAAGCTGTTTTGCACGCTGCTCCGTCCCCATGTTGTTCATCCGCATCTCCCGTTCTCGCTCCATCCGCTTCTCACGACGCATATCGTCACGGATCTTCGCAGCCTCCTCATCTTCACTATCGTCCTTGTCCTTGTCGTCCTCCGACTCGCTGTCACTGGCACTGTCACTGCCGTAGCCACCAAGCGCCGATTTCATAGCAGCCTGGGTTGCTGCGGTAGGCTTGGAGACAATACCAGCCCGCTCTTCCCTTGCACGTTGAGCCATCATGCGCAAGTTCTCCTCCTTGGCAGCCTTTTCCTTCTGTGCAAGTTTTTGCTGCATGAGGGATCGCTGTCGCACTTCCTCGCGAGCATGGCGATCCGCGACAAAGAGGGCCTCGGAGAACTTAGCAAAGTTGTCGTTGATATGGACCTACGAGTCATAAGGAATGAACACTTTAAAGGTATTGCTGCCATACTCACATCTTGGAGACCACGGCCATCCGCTGCCAGTCGCTTGTCCAAAGGGATGGTGAAACCCTTGTTGTTCTTCCAATTCGAGATACAAGGAGGAATCATCCACTCCTTTTGCTCTTGCGGGGTGGCTTTCCGGGGTGGACTGCGCAGGACAGGAGGGGGAGGGCTTGGTGGACCACGAGGGATCTTTTTGTGCTTGAACCGCGGGGGCTCCATGGGATCCTCGACTACGGTCGACATTTTGATGATTCGCTGTTTGAGGCCGTCCGAGCCATTCTGTTGTCCCGGGGTGTAACGAATGAAGGAAGTGTGTGCCATGCTATCCGGGACGTGCTTGGGTTGCGAGGCTTTGATCTTCCCGTTGACCAATTTCTCCAGAGCTTCTTTCGTCTTGTCCGCTGTTGCTTGCACCTCCTCCTCTGATGGACGCTCCATTGACCGGTCTTCATCCGTCAGATCCTTTCGATGGAAAAGGGGGACGAGGTCTTTGAATTGGGATTGAATGACTTTGTCGCCGCGTTGACCCTGGTGCGCAATGGCATCGTAGCGCACATTGCCTTCACTGTCGACTTGAAGCGCCAACGTATTTCCAGCTGCAGTCTATTCATGTTAGCTATGGATTTATGTTTAGTAGACATGTCCTGCAGACTAACCTTCTTTTTCCCGAGCTCTAAAGGATACTGGGCAACGTGACACTCCGGGTACGCTCCACCATCAGCTGGGAGGGCTTCATTAGGAGGAAATTGGAGATTAAGAAAAGATCACGGACCAAAGTCGTCTTGGGATGTCGGTCTCCAACCGCGTCGTTGGCCGTAAGGTGGGATTGCGGGCCTGGTCGTAAGTGCTTGGGAGGGCGCGGAGGGACGGGATATCTCAGTCTCGGCCTCAAATGAAGAGGAATGGATAGGCTGTGGCAGTAGTCTATAGTGCTTTCAGTTCAAAGCGAGATGGAGACGGGGGAGTACGCACGCAGCGAGAGCAGCCATGGCGGAGGTTGGGGAGTCTGAAAGAGTGACAGACTGATGGTCACCACATCACATGTCACCTTGCTTACCACATTCGGCCAAGATCCGTTGTGGTTAGGGCTTACGGGCCTCAGGGCTCCGAAAGTCCTCCACGTTCGTCGAGTCACTCCGCACCATCCATATCCTTATTGCGCCCCATTACGGCCCTATTATATCAGCCCCACCAACTAACTTATCCGCGAACCGCCACCTATCGTCTACTTCCGCCTGCCCTCTTACAAAAGTCTTATCTCGGACTTTTGACGAGCGCAGCTAATTGGACCAGCGATCTAACGAAGGGACACCTTCGCTCGGATCGCCAGTCTACCATTCCTCGACCCACTATATGACCTTGCTTCATGTGCATTTCCACCTGCGGAATCTCCAGGCCCTCCAGCGCCTGCTCGATGGCCAGGACCGGTCCTCCAACGCCGGTTCTGGCTCAGCCGCCATGACAGGGGGCAGCAGCAGCAGTGCCGGCAGGTCCTGGAAAGGCGCGTCTGCCGTGAAGACCGCGATGGCCGCGTCCGAAGTGAACGCCCTCGACTGGCTGGGAAGAAGCGTCCTCCACCTAGCTTGCACGATTCCCAACGGTGTCGAATACGTACGCGCAATCCTGAAGCACCCCGGCGTCAATGTGAACCTTGTGGACACTGAGAGTCACTGGACGGCCTTGCATCGGGCGCTGTACCACGGGAACATTGCCGCAGCGTCAGTCGTCATCTTTCTTTCGTATTACGCCGTCCTTGACCGCTGCGCTAGACTTCTCCTGTTGCAGAGGCCGGATATGGATATCTCACTGAAGGACTCGGATGGGTACACTGCGTTTGATCTCTACAACTCCACCGTGAATGGTACCACACCCGAACCTGCGTTGCACTCGGAATTGTACACGTGGGGTGCCAACAGGTGCGTTGCGTTCTGCATGTCATCTGGGGCTCATTCGGTGCCAGAAATGCCGCGTTGGGCCTGGTCGATAGCAATGACCGAACTTTTCCCGACCAAGTCGTCATACCTAAAGAAGCCAGCGCGCCAGTGCCGGCATCGACTGCTCGGTTCTCGCATTTGTCAGCGCGACAGATCCAAATGTCAAAGCTACACACTGGTACAGGTGTCACCTTTGTTCTACGCCTCCTTGGCTCATACTCCCCGTTTAGTCGTCGTCACCTCCGAGAGCAAAGCTAATGTCCGCATCTGTGGATTCGGGAGCGGTGGACGGTAACTATCTTGCTGAGTGTATGTCGGCAGCTGAAAGAATCTTCTCTAGCCTGGGACCTAGCCAACACACGCAATATAGTCTGATCTCTATCCCCCAACTGACGCAGTCGATCGTTTCAGTTGCCTTGGGTCAGGATCACACTCTCGCATTGACCAGCAATGGAGAAGTATTGAGTTGGGGTCTTTCCCGTTTCCACCAGCTGGGATATGCTGTCGAGCCGTCTGCAAATAGCAAGCTCGAGGAACCCATCCAATCGACACCGCGCAAGATCTTCGGCCCTCTCAAGAAGGAAATCGTCAAAGGTGTCGCTGCGTCCAAGCAATGCTCTGCTTGTTGGACCGCGACGGAGGTCTTCACATGGGGTACTAACAATGGTCAACTGGGTGCGTGTCATTCAGTCTTCTCACTTTGCATACTCAATCTCTCCAGGATATGACAAGGCCGCTCAACCGTACCAAGTCCAGCCCCGCAAGGTTTCCAAGGTCGTCCGGCCTGTGGTCTCCATTGCCTTGACTGTATGACGTCATCGCAATGACCGAGCTTGTCTTATTCTGTTGCAAGGATCATGCCATGGCTTGTCTTCTGGATACTCAAGAAGTGTTCTGTGTCTGGAACGACAGGTACATGAAGATTGCGTGCGTCGGCTCCTTTTCTTTGATGCCATGGAGCTTAGTAACAATCAGGTTCCCGATGCACGCTTTCCCCCATGATTTCCGGCCATATCGTCCTCCCCAAGCGATCAAAGACGCGCACATCGTCAAAATCACAAGCGGGGACGACATGTTTGCGGCTCTGTCATCCAATGGAGAGGTCTTCACGTTCGCCGTGCCAGAAGCTCATGATGGTGAAAGCAACCGCCAAGTGTTCAAGCCTCAGCGGGTGTGGGCTCTGAGAAGACAATTCAGTGCTGTGCGAGATGTTGCGTTGGGTGCAGACGGAAGCATCATCATCTGCACTGCTTCTGGGCATGTCTTCGTTCGTTCTCGTCAAGGCAACAAACAGTTCAAGTTCCAGCGCGTTCCTTATCTGCAGCGTGCAACGCAAGTCTGCGGGAACAGCACTGGCGCGTTTGGGGCATTGAGGGCCGACTTTAAACCCGTTCCTATCCGCATCGAGGGAAACACCATTGCAAATGATCTGACAAATATAAGGCCATTTCTCCTCGGGTCGCAAGCCAATAACCGCCCGCGATGGTCTTTCATCGGAGACGAAGCTGAAGAGGTTGAAGATTCCGACATAGAGGCGGATTTCTACCGTCTCTGGGATCTGACGCGTGCCACCAAGAAGGGTGCAGTGTTTGACCAGACCCATGGGGCTGACATTCGAGTCCACGTCAAGGACAGGTCATTCCCGGCACACTCTGCCATACTAGCTGCTCGATCCCCGGTCCTCTGCAGTACCTTCGCTGGTACGACATTTCGGGATGGGGATTCCAAGGTCGCATTATCAGGTTCCTCGGCGAAACTCGATGTCAGAGGATGTTCTCCTTTGACTGTGCTTATCTTCCTGGACTACCTCTACTCTGATGAGCTGCTCGCAATCTGGGACCGCCGGCTCGCATTCGCTCTCCAGAATGAGCTGACGGTTAACCCTGCGACGGTCAGAGCGGAACTGCAAGCTCTGGCGCGTTTAGCGAATCTCCCTAGTCTTGGCACAGCGCTTGATTCTCCCGCGAAACGTGTACCGCAGGCAACGATGGTCCGGGACATGAGGCATCTGTTCCGGGATCTGCCGGCAGCCGCAGACACTATCCTGTTACTGGCGGACCGAGATGTCCGTTGCCATTCTGCCATTCTGAGGGCCCGATGCCCTGTGTTTGAGAGTTTCTTCGGGCAGGAGGATTGGACTAGGAATCGTCGCAAAGCGGATGGGACGGTCGAGGTCAATTTGAAGCATCTGAGGTGGAACGTGATGGACTATGTGTTCCAATTCATGTGCTGTGGTGGCGACAGCGAGATCTTTGAGAATCTTGGTGCGTTTGGCTGTTCAATCGGTGACATGTTTCTAAACCATTCTCCTCCAGAGTTTGCCAAATCTGTGGATGAAGTGATCGAGTTTATGTTCGACGTCATGGCAGCTGCAAACGAGCTGCTGCTGGACCGACTTCTCCTACTTTGTTCCAGCGCTATCTTGAAATGGGTTGACATCAACAACGTGTGCTATATCCTGACCGACGCATCACATTTCCATGCGCAACAGCTGGTGGAAAGCGTGCAAGGCTACATGGTTGCCAACTTGGAGACTCTGCTGGAGAGCCGCATACTTTCGGACCTCACTCCAGCCCTCATCAAACAGCTGTCGGTCTTCCTTGTCAGGCATCAGGAGCAGAAGAGCCCTACAGTGCGCCGCAACGTGCTTGCGATCGGGGCATTGGAAAAGCACGCAGACTGGCTTGCGATACAGGATTTTCCGGAACCCATCATTCCTTCAACGAAGCGCAAGACACCGTCATCTCCAGAACTGCTCGCCAAGCGTCGTAGCTCGAAGACGACGTTGACGACCACTTGTCCAACCGTGGCTGCAGCGGCCATCGATGACATTTTTGAGATGGACAATGACGAGATTGTGCTACCACCGCCTGCGGTGTCGGAGACTGTTTCTGCGACCCCGGTTTGGAAACCATCGCATGCGCCGAGGGTGGATATGAAAGCGCTGATGGCTGAGGCCGCTGCCTCTCGAAGGACGACGCCAGACTCGGTTCTGCGCTCGAAACCGGCTGCCCCGCGGATGAAAGCGGCTGATCCGGGGCCTAGTTCGAAAAGTGGGGCATCCACGCCGTGGAGAGTCCCAGCCCCAGCCAAACCACTATCTGGGTCGCCCCCAGCGACGACTTCGCCGCCGATTACTCCTTCGACCAGTCTCGGGCGTGATTTCCCTCCGCCGTCACCATCCACTCCTCCCCGCCCACGTGCTTCGCTCAGCATTCCGCCCTCGGCATCACCTCTGGGACCCGTTTTCACCCCATCGAGACAACCGGCGGCGCGGCCGAACAACGGCAGCCCGACGGTCCGACGAGTCAGCAGCGGAAACACGGGCAAGGCATGGCAGCCCGCGCCGATTCTGGCGTCGGCCCTGCCTTCAGCGTCTGCCGGCGCCTCATTCGTGGCGATCCAGCAGCTCCAACTTGAGCAGGAACAGGGCGCCTCGAAGGATAAACGCTCGCTGCGAGAGATCCAGGCTGAGGAGAAAGCTGCGCGGGAGGAGGTCGAGTTTCTGCGGTGGTGGGCCGAGGAAGAGGCACGGGTCAAGGCTGAGCAGGAGGCCTTGCTTGCGAAGGCACAGAGCAAAGTCTCTGCCCCCTCATCCTCCTCTTCGCATAACCGGGGCTCGAAGCGTGGCAAGAAGCCCCGAGAGAAGAATGCCAGGGCAATGTTGTCCAGTCCGTCGTGAGGCTGTTACCATGTACTGCTAATTTTTGTAGAATACTCTTTCGAATTCGACGCTAGTAGATATATGAACATGCAGGTATGTAGATAAATAACATGGAGCAAGTCGAAGTTCAAGTAAACGAGTCTCACTGAAGTGATTTAGTAACTAGCGCCAGTTCGCTGCAGCTGTGACGACGTATTTATATCGGTGGGGGGAAATTTATTTTCAACGTGAACAGTACCAGCACCACGCCGAATAGATTTCGAGAATTCACCATCCAGGATACATCACAGTGCTATTGATCAGTGACGTAATACCAGCAACGTGGGATCGTATTCTCAACATTGCCGAGGGTCTCACAACTCACACAGGACTTTGCGGTTGCCCATGACGCTGTAGCAAAGCGTTAAATGCGATCGATTCGAACGACTCCTGCAATTCGTCACCAGTGTACTTTATCAACTCCTCTCTGAGGGCGCAGGTTCAAATCCTGCCAGCGTCGACTGGCCTTAGTCCTGGAAGCTTTTTTATCCTGTATTGTATGGTGTACATTCGTACATACAGATTCTCAATCCTTGCGTCAATGACGTTCTTTCTTATTGTGCCCGTTTGTTGCGACGCTTTGTAGTCCATCCACTATCTGTCGGCTTCGGGGCCGCTGTCTCTGCGTTCTCGGTAGGCTCCTCGGCAGCGTTATCTGGGACAGTGTCGATCGGAATGGTGTTTGCCTCAGGCGGAGAACTAGCTCCATCCTTGGCTTCCACCTTCGCCTTTTCTTTCCCTCGCTTGTTTGGGCGCCGAGGGGCTCTCCATCCATCGGTCGGAGCAGTTTCATCCTGGGCCTGTATCTCAGAAGTCGGGGTGGAGATAGCACTAGGGTTCTGATCTTCTGTCGTCTCGTCTTTCGTCGCTGATTTGCGTTCGCCATGGAACTTGCGTGTATCACCCCGTTTCGACTTGGCCTCCACTGAGACCGCAGATCATTAGTGAGCATCTTGAGTGGAGAAAACACGCGAGAAACGCACCCTGTGTGCCGGCTTTCTCCGCCCGTGCCCGCTCCTTCTTCAGCTTGGAATACACCGAGCAGATGCCCCTCGGGCAAGACTTCCCGTGCTCGGGACACACGATCGGAGCCTTCTTCGGCTGGCCACCGACTGGCGCGGACGGCGGAGCACGCTCTTTCGCGGTCCCGCTACCCTTCTCCCATTCAGCGACGAATGTATCGGGGTCGTCGATGTACTCCGGCTCTGGGCCAGGTCCGTACAATGAACGGGTATCGGCTTCCGGCCAGGGGGGGAGCGGCGTCGGGGGCTCCGAGATATATTCGTCCACATCGTCGGGATCGAAGTCGATGCGCTGCGAACGAAACTCCTCCTCCAGCTCGACCTGGTCGCTCCAACTCGTGACTTCTGCAGGCAGCGTCCCGAGCTTCGGAAATCGTTTTCCGGGTACTTCCGGGCTGTCTGTGGCACTGAAGATGGGCGTAGTTGATTTTGAGGTGGGATGTAGAACAGTATGCCCTGTGAGTGCGTGTCACATCCGACGTCAGCAATAGATGAGCAGGAGGAAAAGCGCAGACATTCAGCCGTCGAATTCGCCGGGATAGCACGCATTTTTTTCTTGTCGGGCTGACGGGTTGGAATAACAGCTGACCCGTACTGAACTCGACCTTTGCTGAGCGGCACACCCTTGGAACTGGCCCATGCAGCGGATCCCGGGACTGGAATCTCTATCAGCAGCCACTCCGTGCCGCGCGAGGGATGATAACGTACCTGCGGGCCTCGGTGCTGCTGCGGCTTTGGCACTGGGGTTAAGCGCCGGCCCTGGCTTGATGCTCGCGGGTAACGGCCGGCACATGGGCTGATTGGTGCGATCTTCTGGTGGGAGCGGACACCAATGAGTAGTGGGATATGGATCGCAGTGGATCTCGGAAGGCGGCCACGGCGAGAACCAGGAGTAGGCTACCTCGATCCGCTTCCAGCCTGTACAGCGCGCGCAGCATGAATATTCTGAAAGCATTGTCGAGAACTGAAGTGCGCACCGTTCTTCTGCACCTCCCGCCCCGACGTATAAGTGCAGAAAAACACCTTGCTCACGCAGCCTTTCTCATCGTCATCGGGATCTTGCAGGAACTCATCCCATCGGTGTTCGCCGAGCAGTCGTTCGGGATATGCATACGACTGTCAAGCAATCAGGACATATCAAAGGTGTGCCTTACATCGCGGAACGCACCCGGTCGACCTCTATGATGACTTGGTTTCCAGCAGCCTAACGACCAAGCGACGCGCACGATGCAGATAAGCCTGCGCGCCACGCGTCAAACAGCAGCAGACATACCCTGGGCTTGTAGAACAGATCGTACAGCGACGACGACCCGATACACGACGCGATCCACCGACCGAACTTGATGCGATCCCCCTCGTTCTCCCAGTTCGCACGGCGCGGATAGGGCTGGACGACGGTGAAGTATCTGGGCTCACTGTCACCTGGCTCGGGCGTCGGCACTCGTTTTGGCATGCTGATCGCGAGCAGGGACGGGTGATGGTGGGAGTCGCCGAAGTGTATGTGGGCGACTGTTTGTCCAGTGGAATTTGGTGCCTGGATTGGACCTACTCCCACTGATTGAGCAGGGTGTCGGGAGAGTGACTACAAGCCTTCAGGGCGCAGAGAATGGGCAGATCATTTCTTGAATAACTTCTCCTAGAAGATTTGCGAATCGTCCAGAACATTGCAATGGTGCAAGTTCAGAAACAAAGCCGCTCTTGCGACGCGTGACGTCACGTAAATCTTCATCTAGGATAGGGCTGGAATATGGAACATTCGATACGGTCGTACATACATAAGCATACAGCATGTACACCACTAAGCTGCATTGAAATTAAGATCAGTGATATAACAAAACATTAAATGGGTCGTACATAACAAGCGCATATGGTACATCTACAGTGTATACACCATCTAGTCACAAACACAAGCATAAGGTACAAATACAGACGAGAGGCAGATGAGAGAGAGTATAAGAACGGTGTTAGGATGATATACAAATATAACGGCGTTGTGTAAATGGAGGATGGGTGTGGATCCTGTAACTTCGGAGGCATTTAGGAGATGTTGAAGAGCCCGAATAGCTCGTGGGAACGATGGGCCAGCTGGGCGTCCTGGAGGTCCTCGATGTAGCCCTCCCCAGTCATCGCACCCGGGTAGTCCGGCTGAATCAGCCCAGAGCGCAGCAAGAACTCGTTGGTGATATCGTCGAGTGGCTGTCCGGTCGAGTCCAGCTGGTCGAAACCCTCGCAGGCTTGTGCTTGTGCATTCGTGGCGCTGTAGTCGACGTAGGGAGGAAGAGGAACGATGCCTGCCTCCGGGTTGACCAACGACGGGTCTACCGTGAGGCCTTGATAAGCCTGGGAGGTGCCAGCCAGGTCGTCTGTCGAGTAAGATGCAGTAGCGCCAGCCTCGGGGTCGACATATTGAGCATAGCTAGACTGCGGACCATAGCCGGCGCTGGGTCCCGGAACTGGGCCATACTGAGCATAGTATCCAGCAAGGTCCATATTCGCAGTTGGGTAGGCATTCCAGTCCGGGTATTGCTGGGGCTGGAAAGCCGGCATCACGAGCGAGGAGCCGCTAGCTGACGGCATTTCCACTTGACGCGAAGGACCAGCAATGGCGCTGGAAAGAGATAAGCAAAGCGCACACAGGAAGATCTCAAACAGAATGTACTTGGGCTGCTTCACTCGACGCTGCCGCTTGAGGGGTTTCTCGACCACCGGGGCCGAAACGATGGCCGGTGGATTGTCGATGGCTCTTCCCTTGCCCTTGTCTTTCTTCTGAGCGGGGGCAGGAGCAGGAGCAGGAGCAGGAGCAGCGGGCTCAAGCCTGTGAACGTAAATCGGATTGTAATCATCGCAAAGAGCGGTCGGTGAACTTACGGTGCTGTCTCCCAGCCCAATTCATTTGACGTTCCCATCTCTTGAGGTGGTGGCACAGCAGCAACAGCCGGTCCATGGATGAGATTCAGCCTAGCAGGCACGGTTACTCGAGAATTCACTACATCACACGAAGGAAAGACGCACGAGGAGTCAAGACAGAACGTCATGTTGTTCTGAATCGAGCGATGGCGTTCGGCCTCTGCATCTTCAGCTTGAGTGTTCGCCCGCTTCGCTGGGCCGTGCTCGAGTTCTGCGCTGGGGTCTGCGTCGATCGCGCGAGCCCTGCACAAAACCGTAAGCAGCAAGAAAGAAAGATGAGGCCAATGCACGCACTTTCGCTTCCTGCTCTTCTTCGCCTTTGGAGCGACAGCTTCGGCCACTGATTCCGTGGCAGCCACGGCAGGAGGTGCTGCTGCAGCGGGGGCCGGGGTGGCTGGGGCTGGGGCTGGGGCGGGAGAAGGGGCAATCGGATGCTGGTCCGGCGAGGGGAGCATCCATGCCTGCTTGATCTGCGCTTTGGTGTATCCGTATTGCAGGAGAGCCTTCATCATCTCCGCGCTCGGCGGGAACATCAGCGTGTACGGGTCAAGGTGCCTGCGGATGTTCGTCGCTTCGGGTGTCGTTTTGCGGGCTCGGACGCGGGTGCTGGGTCGTGCGGTCGCTCGAGGGATCGTCGAGGGTGGTGGCATCGCCAAAGCGGCCTCGTCCGAGGGATCAGGGCCTGGCATTGATGCGATAAAGCGTAAAGCGCCGGATAACTTCCTGCTGTCAACGGATGTGGAGGGAGCACACCGTCGATGAAGGAGGCAAGGAAAGTTCGCTGATCGAAACTGGGTGCGTGTTTGATTGCTTATGTGATATGCGGGCACTTGAGTCGAAGAGACAATGCACTGCAGATTGCACCGACTTCTTGCACTCGCCAGTGATTGGCGACGCTGCATAATGTCTGACCGAGGATCACAGGCTTTTTTCAGTGGGCCAGCACCACAGGCTTGATGTTGCCGCAGGAAATCCCATACCAATCAGGAAGTGACCGTCGGCCCCGCGATGATATCCAGCTGTTGAAATCTATATTGACAGAATCTTGCGTCCTCAGTCTCCAGAAGTCCTTTACTTGAGAGCTTGACGGCAAAACTCCAACCCCAGCCTTTTCTTTGGAGACGCAGCACAAAGCGCGGACGAGGGAAAAGAGCGCCAGCATGTGCTACGTGACGCCGTCATCGCGGCCCATGCTAGCGCCAAGAGTAGTTCAGACCCGATCCCACTAGTAGCGACCAGTCTCCTGCATAACATGCGCGCATAAACCCGTCCCTAGTTCCAAGATGGCAGTTTCCTAATTTGGAAGTCCACCCGAGGAGAAGGTCGACAAGATCGTTCTACAAAGCTCCGAAGACGTCACCAGGCGTTCAGATACTTTTAAAGAGGTTCAATGAAGTTGGGTCGGATAATCTGGAAGACTCCTCGAGCAATAAGACAGCACATTAGAAACGGTGGCCGGTTGGACGAAGGACATTTTGTGGATTGCAGTCGTTCAAAGATGAGAGATCTTGGTTTTGGGTTCACTTGGATGGAAAGATGGGCTTGACGCAATCCGGGAAGCTTTGCGTTCCAGGTGGTTCTCTACAAGTTTGGCGCTCCTCTTGAGATCCCGATTCCGGCCGAAGTCAAACGGAGCGTGAGGACGCAAATAGGTAAAACCATGCGCAAGAGAGCCAATTCGTGTTCAAGTCCTTGCAGTGCGCTTGGGGAGCACTTGGAGAACATCCCTGAACCATCTGAGCTGCCAGCGTGCATATCATCCGCTTTCTGTTTACGTCGTGTAGCACTCGGAGAGCCAACCTTCATCGTAGAGGCGAATAGTTCAAAGTCTGAGCAGTGTTTGTTCACGAGGGAATCTGAAAACAACAGTGGAGGGCGAGGGGGGGGCATGCACGCGACGGCTCATACGCCATCAAATATCAAAGCGTGCGTCCAAACACCGTTCTCACGGCAGTCGGCCCCCCATTTGGCAGGCAGTTCGAGTATTCAAGTAGTGGTACAGAACTACCGACTACGAGGAGAGCCGAGGCATTCGTGTACACCTGGATTACTTCCGTCCTTGATCTTTTTATCCCCAAACCCATGCAACCGTAAGTCAAATCCCAGCACACTCAAGTCTCAGGGCCCTGCATGTGACGTTGTGGTGCCTCACGTGACGCCACGCGACCGTGACATCTGTCAAGAACGCGTCGCTCTCAGATCGTGTTTGCCTCAAATATACCAAGAAGGTAAGCATTAGTACACAATACCAGATGATATTGTAAGAAGCGGCTAGCGATACACAGCATGATACTGCACGTTAATGGAGAAATTAAACGGAGTGTAGTATAGGAATGCATTTTTTTCGAGCTTTTCATTTTAATTCTCTGCGGCGATCACACCGAGTAGCCCAAGCAGCAAAACTCGGAATTAGGGCCTGCTTGGGGTAGGGGCAGAAGATACGCGGCGTCGTCGTCATCGTAGTCGACAACCTGTTCGAGGTTCCAGGCGGCGGCGCCGAACATCATCAGCTGCTCCGGAGTAGGCGCGCCAAATTGGAGCTCGGGCAGGGTGCGTGCCGTCCCGGTGGAAATCGTAGCGCTGTTGCTTGACTGCAGGGCCAGGGTTGCCGAGGCCGATGCCGATGCCGATGCCGCTGGCGGCGTCGTCGCAGGAGAAATCTGCTGGCCGGCAGCGACCAGAGTGCTCGACGCGGGGACGGCCGAGGCGGTGTTGCTCGCGAGCGGATTGCGGTAATTCGGACGACTCGGGAAGGGCATCATGGCGACTACGGCGCCAGCAGCGACTGGCGGCGCTACCGCCGGCACTCTACGAAGTAAAATCAGTGATCGTGACATCAGGTGAGTCGTACAACAAACCCAGCCTTGGACTTGCGCGGCGACTTGCGGGGTGACTTCGACGGGCGAGGAATAATGTGGTTAGTTGGGGAGATCCTTGGCGACAAAAATTAGACACAGAGAGAAAATATAGAGGATTGTGACGCACGATGCGGAAGGAGTGGACTGGATCGTGTTAAGTGTCACGACAGAGGTGTTTCCAAGGCTGAAGATTGGTGAGCAAAACACGAATGAGAATTGATTGCAGACGACGCACGAGTTGGCATTAGTTTGCCCACTTGAATTCGAGCGTTGCGGTACATTGTAGCCGTTCTTCGATCGCTTGGACGAATCCAAGCCATCGACTTCTTCAGCCCTGCAAAGGAAATGTCAGCAACATCGTCTACAATGATACATAACGCCGAACGTACTTGCGCTTCAGGCCCAGGTCTCTCGCAAGAGCAGGAGTCCCGGCCTCGGAGCGGAGGCACGCAGGAAGCGGCCCCGCAACCCAGGCCGCGCGGATCTCCGTTGAAGAGAACCCGCAGCGCAGGAGGGACTCGTCGACGAGCCGCGTGAGCGGGGCCTGCAGCATCTCGTCGGGAAGCACAAGCCGGATCGTGTTGATATACCCGGCATCGAATCTTTGTGGGTCGGCCGGGGCGACGGGAGGAAATGTGGGGCGGAGCGTGGAATGGGACAAAGGAGCGACGGGCGTGGACGACGCCGCCGCCGCCGGGGCAGTGGTCTGCACTTGATCATGAGACATGGATGTGTGAGTAGCTGGTGGGGTGAGGCGTAGCAAGGCGTAAGTGGCTGGCGCGCTATCAAAGCGTCGACTCGGAGCGATTGGGATGGAGACCTCCTGCGCCAGAGACGATCCTTCTTATACTACGGCGATGTTTTTGGTGACGTGAGCAGGCCCCCCATAGAAAGACAATGTCCTCATTCGTGGCTTCAGGGACCGCGGGAGATCTGATGGTCGAACTGGGCGCTCGCTTCTTCCGCGCCATTGTTTGAGTGCATTTCCCGATTGGGAAGTCCGTTAAAGCTAACAATCTCTAGGTCGTAGGCGGACGCGGTATCCGTGTGACAGCGATACGTTAGGCAATTTTTATTGTCGCCGCACGTTGGTCAAGATATATTCTCATTCAAAGCGCTGGAGGCCCGCTCTGCAGAGAATCGATGACGCAAGTAAAAGACATGAGACCCAATGACTCCATAACAGCGAAATTATATCTGGAGCGCGACTAGGATCCATCGAGCTGGCCTGCGCGTAGGATGCGCTGTCTGCCCGTTCCCAAAGGACTCAGGGAATCGGCGTCAAAGCTTCGACGAGGCATCACAGTTTGGGAATCGGTGAGCGAGAAATAGAGAGATGCCTAGGCTAGAGTTGCCGACGTGCAGATAAAAGTCATACTGGAGAGCCGACTTGACGCTCGGGGAGAAAGGGCGCATCACGTGGACGCGTCACAACTTTCCCATGACTGCAGCTCAGGTACTGTTGCCGCAAGGGGAAGGTAAATCGAGATCGTTGCAGTGTTGCCGCGAGCTGAGCTCAAGCGAGTTCAAGTTGACGGAATTTTTAAATCCGCCGAGGAAGTTTGGCTTCAGGCGATATGGAACATGTATGTACTAAAAAGGAAATTCGGTTAGTAGAGCTGTCCAGCAGAACACTTGGAGCTCTTTTCTTATTTAGATCTTATCCAAATTTGTTAGAGCTTAATCGAAATATAAATGAGAAACGACCTCCAAGGTTGTGCTCCACCGCGATCATATGACACCCCAAACACGGAACACAGGCCTGAAGCAACTCTCACGCACTTCTCCATCCGCTATATGGAGCCACCAGTGGGGTCGTTCTACATCTCCCTACGTCAAAATGATGCGCATTGGAGCGGTCCCAGAAGTACGGGGGTGTAGTGTGCAAGCATAAGGTCAAGAGGCAGTCGACAAACTTGACAGTGCAGAGTCACCTCAGTTACCACCGCCATCACGCGGTTCTCCCCCCGCGGGGTACCTACTGGGTACCCTCAGACGTCTTGCTGAGGGTACCCAGTAGGTACCCCCTGGCGGGGGGTGGGGGGGCCATTTAGTTGATTTAGTAGCGGGGGCATATGCGGGGGTCAGGAGGAGGGGGGGTGTATGTAGCATGTGACTTGTCCATAAGAGCGGGTAGCTGGGCGGGAAAAAAAAATCCAATCACATGACGCGCTGCATGGGCGGGATGGCGGGATAAAAAATCACGTGATGCGCTGCACAAAATATTACCAAAATGCTGGCAGGGGTTGGCGGCGTCATTGGCGGGGTCACTACCACCCCCCCCGCACACCATGGCGGGCAGTGGGCGCATTATCACGTGACTTTTTGGGCGCCTTTTTTGCAGCATTTGGCATGATTTGGGAGATGCTGCTTGATACATTGCATGCTGTGGCAGACAATGGGCGCAAAATCACGTGATTTTCCGCCAAAAAAATGGAAGACTCCCCAAATCATCCCAGTATAATTTCCATAGGTAAATAGGCTAGTTAAACATGAACTTGAGCTTAGAAAAACCGAAATGCACCCTGCACAATGGGATTGGTGACACACTTGATCCCATCATTTGGCAGGGCCTGCCGCAGGGGCTGCCGCAGGGGGTGCCGCGGGGGGTGCCGCGGGGGGTGATGCGGGGGCTGCTGCGGGGGGTGATGCAGGGGCTGCCGCGGGGGGTGCTGCGGGGGGGTGCTGCAGGGGCTGCCCCAGGGTTGGTCTGTTATGATCCATTTTTGTTCATTGAAGATCTTGTAGAGGTGAGCAGGGCAACAGGCCAACTGGGAATTTATAGGAAGACATTGAAATTGATGCAGGGGTCAGATACAGGGCCCACTGCAAGGTCTACTGCAGGGGCAGGGGTGCATTATATCAAATTTTGATGTATCTATTCTGGCCATGGCCATAGAATGTCACATAATTATCCTTCAATTTGGCAGGGGTTTCTTGGTATGGTCTGCGGCTGAAGGCATTTGATTCCCTTGTGCTTTAGCAGAGGCTGGGATATTGAAAACATGCAATAGCACCTGTATAATCTGTCTATGTAGGGTCAAATACAAGTTATGACTTGGTACATGTGTTGACTGGCAGGGTGGGTAGGTTGGCTGCACTGGGTCCACTGTCATCTCATTGATTTTTTGGTGCGCTGGGACGGCGGCGGGCGAAGGGATCGGAGGGTTGCGATGCTCTGATAAGCGCGTGCGATGGTGGCAGAGAACAACAGTCCTAGCTAACTACGGAACAATCGGCTCAACTATAGATCCGATCAGCACAGCCACCGATCACCCCTCCTTGCCCACCGACACAGCGCTCATTCCACATACATGGCTATTAGTAAATTGTTCACACTGTTAGCACAGTGTAATCTTACCCTGCGGCACATTGTACCACATGTCAAATACACATTGAATGTCTCACTTCCTGACTGGGACTCATTGAAATCAGAAGTTCTGTGATGCTTTGCAAATGATTTGCTCAAGCTGCAACATGAACAGATGGAACAGCGGATTTGACATGCCCTCAATTCATTCCTGGGTTGTATATAAGAGGATGAACTAACTCACTAATAAGTTGTCTCACAATAGCCAGAGATTGAGCATGAATTCAGATTTCATATACAAAATTCTTTCCACTTAGAGCTTGGATACTTGCAAGACAAACTGCAGAAACATACATGATTGCTTTTTCTACTGGGACTGCATACATTCTTGCCATAACTCACTGCCTGCAACTCTACCTGCACCCCCACTGGCACCCCTGCAGGCACCCCCCGCCAAACTGGCACCCCCCACTGCACCCCCGCATGCACCCCCGCCAGGCTGACACCCCCTGCCACACCCCCCGCTGCACCGGTGCCTTGCCCCTACCATCTTCTCATATGTAAGATTACATAATCTGACAGCTCGGAACACGTCAAGTCACCAGCCAATCAGAACCTGTATAAACGTCGTACCTAAGTGTTTCCTGCTCTTCTGACACTGTTTCTACTGTTATGCAGCTGAAAACCATCGGAATAAGGTCTCCCTATGCTGTTCTTGTTGAATATGTAGGTATTTCATATCGTTTGTCCATCCAAAATTCGAAACATGAAAACAGTTCACAGTTGCTCAAGGTTCCTACATAGATAATGGTTCAACATAGTTCACTTTGGGTATTGCAAAAAATATATTTTCTACAAATGAACAACTCAATACAGCTGAATGATATACCCCTTGGCAGTGTCTGAAACAAATTCTGAGAGCCCTGGACCCTGGAACCATTCAAAAACTTGAAATGGGTCCGAAAAATAGGGTCTTGATAAACATGAGATAGGGGCCAGTTTGAAGAGATGTAAGCCACTGGTCATGTTCAATATGGTATTTGACAATGTTTCGGTGCCCTACCCCTCACCAAATGGCCTCCTTTCCCACCAAAAAGTGCACATACACACTCAAGCTTATAAAATCAATTGTCGGCCAGAAACAAGAGCAGGCAAGTTGTGTCACTGGAATTGGGTAAAGGTAACCTGGGAGTCACTTGGGTTGCAGTACAGAAGCTTTGGAAAGTGATCCTGTAGTTGATCCACATTGGGTAGGCTGGCAGAGGCTTGGGCACCCCCCGCGGCACCCCCCGCGGCAGCCCCCACCATCAACCCTGCCCCAGCCCCTGCAAGGATTTTCCTGGTGATCAATTTGGCTGCACATGGAAAACCCCCCCGGGGGATTTGCCAAACAAATCAAGTTGCGCATTTTTCAAACATTGAATTCGACCTAATAGCTTTAGCAGACCATGCCCAAATGTACCAAGTCATAACTTGTATTTGACCCTACATAGACAGATTATACAGGTGCTATTGCATGTTTTCAATATCCCAGCCTCTGCTAAAGCACAAGGGAATCAAATGCCTTCAGCCGCAGACCATACCAAGAAACCCCTGCCAAATTGAAGGATAATTATGTGACATTCTATGGCCATGGCCAGAATAGATACATCAAAATTTGATATAATGCACCCCTGCCCCTGCAGTAGACCTTGCAGTGGGCCCTGTATCTGACCCCTGCATCAATTTCAATGTCTTCCTATAAATTCCCAGTTGGCCTGTTGCCCTGCTCACCTCTACAAGATCTTCAATGAACAAAAATGGATCATAACAGACCAACCCTGGGGCAGCCCCTGCAGCACCCCCCCGCAGCACCCCCCGCGGCAGCCCCTGCATCACCCCCCGCAGCAGCCCCCGCATCACCCCCCGCGGCACCCCCCGCGGCACCCCCTGCGGCAGCCCCTGCGGCAGGCCCTGCCAAATGATGGGATCAAGTGTGTCACCAATCCCATTGTGCAGGGTGCATTTCGGTTTTTCTAAGCTCAAGTTCATGTTTAACTAGCCTATTTACCTATGGAAATTATACTGGGATGATTTGGGGAGTCTTCCATTTTTTTGGCGGAAAATCACGTGATTTTGCGCCCATTGTCTGCCACAGCATGCAATGTATCAAGCAGCATCTCCCAAATCATGCCAAATGCTGCAAAAAAGGCGCCCAAAAAGTCACGTGATAATGCGCCCACTGCCCGCCATGGTGTGCGGGGGGGGTGGTAGTGACCCCGCCAATGACGCCGCCAACCCCTGCCAGCATTTTGGTAATATTTTGTGCAGCGCATCACGTGATTTTTTATCCCGCCATCCCGCCCATGCAGCGCGTCATGTGATTGGATTTTTTTTTCCCGCCCAGCTACCCGCTCTTATGGACAAGTCACATGCTACATACACCCCCCCTCCTCCTGACCCCCGCATATGCCCCCGCTACTAAATCAACTAAATGGCCCCCCCACCCCCCGCCAGGGGGTACCTACTGGGTACCCTCAGCAAGACGTCTGAGGGTACCCAGTAGGTACCCCGCGGGGGGAGAACCGCGTGATGGCGGTGGTAACTGAGGTGTGCAGAGTGCTCTGTCCACATGTGTCTTCCGGGTCAGAACGTTGATCATATGGACCACGAATTGCCAATTTTGAACACAATTTCGGAGGCTCCTTGTCCTAATTCAGTTTACTCATAGCTCCACTAAACAGATTTTAGTGAGCAAAAAATGCTCCACAACGAGATTCTTCTTATAAAAAAAAATCGTTTTTAGCTTCTGCTGGACAGCTCTAGTATATCACTTTCTTACTTTCTTTTCTCAATCTCGGTACTATTTACTTCATTTTCGTGCTCTGGCGCCCGCAGAAGGAGAATATCAAGTGAAAAACTTTACTGTGAGGAGGCTCTATTGCCCCTGCCCGGGTTCGTGAAATTCCGGCAACTTCATCACCTTTGACTAAGACCCTGTCCCGGCGTATTTCTCAGGTTTGACCCAGCTCCGTTGAAGTAGCTTCTAACGTTCAGTTTTTTGTTGCCCGATTTTAATGTGGAACGGGCCTGTATTTTAGCCGAAACACCATATCTTCAGAGAAAGATGTCGGATTTTGGTGTCCAACCTTGAGGTGCAGATGTGTCATTGACCGTTCAACAAGCCGCCGCTCAGCCGAATCGAGACCCAACTTTAAGCCGACTTCTCATTCTCACTATCAGTCCCAGACCGCGTGTACTTTGCTCTATTTTGTGATTTCGTTGCGCCGAAACGTGCTGGAGATCCCCATTGCATCTCATCAAAGTTTATTGCAGAGAATCCAAAGAGCAACATGCAGAACTCACTCGGTTCTCAGTGCTTTGATTGTTGGTGGTTTGGTTCCTTACAAATAAGCTCAAAGTTCTGCATGTTGCTCCTTGGCTTCTCTGCAATAAACTTTGATGAGATGCAATCGGGATATCCAGCGGGTTTCGGCGCAACGAAATCACAAAATAGAACAAAGTACACGCGGTCTGGGACTGATAGTGAGAATGAGAAAATGAAATAAACAGCACTGAGATTGAGAAAAGAACGTGAGATAGCTTGATTTGCTTTTAAATACATGTTCCATATCGCCTGAAGCCAAACTTGTGGCGCCTCGAGCCCCGGTAGATTTAAAATTACGTCAGCTTGAACTCCCTTGAACTCAGCCCGGGGCAAAACTAAGCCAAGGGGACTGACATCCGCATACCTCAAAACACTCAAGCTATATGATACAGATATTTCCATAATTCAGACCTAGCGACCTCCAGGCATCATCGCAACCTTGTTTCCGTTCTCAAGCCCCATAAACGAATCGTCGGTAGCAGCACCAGCGCCGGCTGATGCCCCATTGATCGGCTCGTCGCCGCACCCACAGTCGTACGTGTCGTCCAGATGCGCGCAGTCGAACTGCTCCTTGTGCAGGCGCTCGTTGACGCGGTTGTGCAGAGAGCATAGCCTGAGGACGGCGCATCGGTGGCTTCGCTCACAAAAAAAAATACTCCCGTGGGAGGTGTACGTACCAGAGAGACGCAGATCGGCGAGAGGAAGTCTAGGGGAGACTACATGTGAGACGATCGGGGAGGAGCGAGTGATTCTCGCGTACCTGTGGCGGAAGCTGCTTGAGGAGGAGCTGGAACTCGGCGGCGCACTCTCCGCAGGGATACAGCCGCGACAGGAGGTGGAAGTACGAACTCAGCGCGTCGCGCTCATCTTGCGTCGGTTTCTACCGCGGCGTCAGCCCTGTAACCACACACTCCCACCGGCAAACGAGATGCACCTCGGGGTAGCGCAGCGTCATAGTGTGTCTGCGTGCCGTGCGTCGTGAGGGCGGCACTCGCGCACACGGGCTGGAACGGCACGTACAGTAGTTTCCACGTCGCGCGGCCGAGCGCAGCCCTGGAGAAGATTATGTAGCGCGCCGACGGGGGAGGAGGGACACAGACGCCCGTACTTGGCTGTGGCGTTGCCTAGCTTTCCCATGATGACGCCTCCCTCCGCGCCGAGGATAGGCAGTGGTGGTGCTGACGGTGGCCCGGGGTCGGTGGCGCGCAGCGCCTGCTCCATCCCGTCCTCCCCAAAGAGTCGACCGGACCAAGGGTCTAGGTACGTGCGCGATGGCGCATGGAAGAATGTCAGTGTCGAGAACAGCAGCTGGGCGGGACACTGTTATTCGGCTCTCGAGCGGGCGGGATGTGCGCCGTACAGTTACGGCGATAATCGCGACAAACGCCTTGGCGAAGCGCGAGATCATGTGTGCGGGGTACGACTGTGGTGGTTGAGAGTCAAGGGAGCGGAGCCCAGAGCAGAAGAGGACCGAGGTCAAGACACGGTGGATGGCAGGTCCAAGTCAATTGCCATCAAAAGGCTGTCTGGACCCGCGAATGATCGCTTCTGACCCGACGACAGCCAAATTCATCTAGTGCTTTGTAGACAATCCTATCTACTCCCAACGCTGACGGCGGACTTTTCGGCCTGAACACGCAATCTACTCTCTCTCTAGCTTTCGTATCGCATGACTTCGCACGAAACTGGCCTACTGCCGTTGAACACCGCAGCGAACTTCGAGTTCGGCAAGCGCAAACGGTGGGCCGATCTGGTCATCACGGAGCTGGTCGACGTGCTAGCCTTCGTGCTGTCCCCGCAGGGCAAGATACTCTACTGCGGCAACGGACTACGGAGTCTTCTGGGCTGGAAGGACGAGGACCTGATGGATCGCGACCTGACCGACTTTGTCAACCGTGCGTCGTTCCCCGTGCCCCTGTTGCATGTGCGCCGCGAGTCGACGTTGCGTCATCCACAGCTGAGGACAAGGATGGGTTCAGGCGCGCGCTCGAGGAGTCCGTGCGCTCCGGCACGGAGATGTCGTCCGTCTACGTGCGCATGAAGCCCGTCTCCTCGTCGGTCGCAGACCGGACGGCCTCTGGGGAAATCATCTTCGAGGTCAACGGCCGCACGCAGTTGGCCACCCGCGAAGACTCCACCGCCGTCGCCCCGCAAGTCTTCTTCGTCGTCGCGCAGCCCTACGGCAGCAAAAACCTCGAAATGCAAGCCCTGATCCTGCGATTGCAGCCGGGCGCCGGGTACTGACTCCGCGGATTGCAGGCTCGACACCTTTCTGGAGCTGCGCGAAGAACAGGAGCGGCTGCAGGAGCGCCTCGCACAGCTGCGGCTCCGCGCGCCCCCGTCCACCGCATCGTCCCCCGCGTCCTCCTCCGGCTCGGCGACGTACTCGACCGCATCGATGCCCCTGACCAGCCGCCCGCTCGACACCTCGCACGGCCACCGAGACGTCTCCTCCAGCCCTGCGTCCGGTGCGATGACTGCTGCGATGCACAGCAGCAAGGCGGAGGAAGACGATGATCCGATGCGCAAGAAAAAGGTGTGCTCGGCTTGCCCAGACGTCCGATCCGCGACCGACGTTCCTCGCAGCCAGTTCCGAAAAAGTCCATGCCCGCCGAGCAATATGTCTGCATCACCTGCGGGCGGACCGACTCGCCGGAATGGCGCAAGGTAGATAAACACCCGCTTATCTTGGCCGAGGCTCTATATCTGATTTGCAATCGACACGCAGGGACCGCTGGGCCCTAAGACGCTGTGTAACGCGTGCGGGCTACGATGGGCGAAACAAAACAAGGTGCAGAAGCTGGTGGACGATGTGTGATTCGGGTTGCTGGGTATCTATCATGTAAGTAAATGTTGTGTACGAGTATAGTTTTTGTAGTAAGCGCCGGTCTAAAAGCCTTCTCAATACTGTAAAACACGAGTTCAGATAGTTCGCGCCCCCACTTGTCTAAATGTTGTCCAGATAGTATTCTTGCCTGAGTTCATAAGTTGATCATCCAGATCCCACACAAGGGGCGTAATATACTTCGTTAATATATGAAAAACAACACACGGGTGATCTACACCTGCTACGTCGACTTGCACCGATCCGCGCTGAGCGTGGCGGGGTTTCCCCACCAGTTGGGGAACGCGACAGCCGTGCCGCTCGCCCCGAACACAGCAAACGACAGGATGAAGATAATCACTTGGCTGTATCGCGTGCAAGTCAGCACAGATGACTCAAGATGCAGAAGACACAAACGGACCTGCCACCGTCCAGCGCAGCAGACAGGATGTAGTTGTATTTGGCGAACCACTTGGGGCGGCGGGTGCGCATGTACCACTGCGACCAGGTGCCGATGATCATGCAGCTCGTCCACTGGCCGTTGACAGAGTACGGCAGGCTGACCGAGAGGGTCAGCAGGTGGAGGACAGAATGGCACACCCCGAAACGACGTACTATCCAATGTACAGCGTGATGATGGTCGGGTTGAGGTACTTGGCAGCCTTGCCAATGGGGGACTTGTCTCCTGCAAACTTCCACACGAGCCAGAAAGGGATCGGGATAAAGAATCCGATAAAGCTAGCACGCAGTGTCAGGTCAAAGGATGCACAGCTTCCCCATGAGTGAGAGACGCACATGGCAAACGGCACGAGCCAGTACGGCTTCCCGTGAGTGAACAGTTCCTTCGCGAGAGCACCCATGGCAATCGATGCGCTGTTGTACTGTTGCACGATCCAGCCGGACCACAAACGCGTGCCGATCGGGTCCTTGAGCACGGCTCGGTTGTTGTTCACGATCGTGATCATCATCGTGTAGTTGAAAATGGCGCCGATCAGAGACCCTGCCATTTGCGCACCAAACGTCACCCGGGGCGGCACTTTTGTGTACTGGTTATTTTGAGAATCAATCAGAAAAAAACCAAGAGGTCTCATGCATGACTTACCTGGCCGAGCTTCAGATCTTGCAGCAGCAGCAGCGTCTGGGTGCTCGTCGAGTTCCCGTACAAATTAGCGTACATCACCGGACTGGAGCGCACACCATGAGACTACTCCACACAAGACTGCTCACAGTCACTCACATCGGCTGTCCAGCATGGATAAAAGCCGCGATGACCTGGATGGCATACTTGACGCTGATCTGGAAACCTGTCGTAGCGGTGATGAAGCCGAGGACGGTGGCAATGAAGATGCTGATGACGGTAAACAGGAGAATGCTCCAGCCCGGCATGAGCACCGTCCCATGCGGACCCGCATAGCTGCATCCGATGCCCACACCGAGTGAAGCGAGGAAAAGCGCCATGTAGACCCATTGTGGGACCTCCGGGTACTTGCGCATCTCTGTCACCGATTGATGAGTATGGATTTTCTTATTGAAACCTTTGCACCAGGCACTTACCCTGATAGTGGGGGTCATCGATGTTATCTGGCGAGTTCTGCAGGAACTGCATCGACCCAAACGCGGCTTTCAACTCCTTCCAGTGCCACAAGAAGATCGTCGTGATCGCACAGCCCAGAGACAGGTTGTAGCACAGCTGCGAAATTGCATACGTCGTCGAGTACCTCGGCAGGCCAATCGCATCCAGCGCAGTCGCATTGAGCTTGTAGTCCGCAGTGATCACCGCAGTTTGGTTGTAACTCGATCCGTCCGCTGCAAAGAGCGAGGTCGACATGAAGGGCAAATCGCGCCCGCTGAAAATGTTGCTGTAGTATGCCGTCGTCAGAAGGATGTAACCGAGGACCATGCCGACTGCGACAACCCATGATCAGCAAAGAGAGGCGTTGGTAGGTGTGCTCTGATGACGCACTGTAGCTGTTGATCTGCGTCTGGTACGGCCAGGTCAAGGGGTTCCCCTGCGTGATCAACGTCCAGGAAGTGCTGACGGACAGGAAACCGATGCCCTCGTTACTTGAGCCTGCACCGAACAGGTTCCGGACGAAATCGTGGCGTCCGTTGTCCGCAAGGCAGATGATCGAGATCGCCGTGAGCAAGGGAAAGGGGTACTGAGGAATCCCTGTCCAGAGGTCAATCTGCGAATACATTCAACATCGCTCCGCTCACATTCCCAGCAGAAGATGCAGGCAAACACGATCCAGAAAAACCTCCGCTTCTTGTAGTTGAGGGCACCTCCCCAGTGAAGCGACTGCAGCAGATTCACGGTCGAGATGTACGCCGGGTAGAACGCGCTGGAAGATGCCAATGTCAGTCATGAGGTCTGGAGCAGTACAAGGAGATGCAGCCATACTAGGTCGGGTACACCAAGAAGTTCCGCACTAGGGCAACAGAACATCTAAGCGAGCGGTCGAGACAGAGCGGCGACACATACATATTCCGGCAATACCATATCCCAGCATCTGAGAAGCAAAGAGCTGGAAGACAGCGACGGCGCCGTTGAGCTTGAGGTCGTAGAACAGATTCAGCGCAGCGATGATCTCCATCCCCACAGCGACATTCGCGGCCGTGCCGGACATGATGACGATCGTGGTGTGCTCCCTGCGAGACCGGTAGATAGTAAGCATCAGCACGCACAGCGGGCCAAGACACACGGACTTGATGTTGAACGGGCCTGGGTTCAGGAAGCGGAACCAACCGCGACTTGGCAGGAAGCCTGTTCGCCGGTTACGTCAGTGAGTGACAAGAGACAGTGGATGGATAACGTCGAACGCACCGTGCATGGCAGTCCCGAGCAAGTACGCGATGATAAGACAGAATAGCTGGGAGACCGTCGCATTTTGCGGCTGTGAGACATACCCGTCATTACTTGCCTACCGTCCAAAAGAGGCCGGAGGAATTAAGACATACCTTGAACGTGTAGATCGTGGCGAGGACGGACGAAAAGGCACTCAGACCGACACCAAGGAAGATGGAGCGGAACGTGATGCAAGGCAGATCGGCGTCGTCGCGAGTAGACAAGATCTAGATGACGGGCGAGCTCTGTCAGAAACAAAAAGCTATCGGTGGTAGAGTTAACGAAGACGGACATGGGTGGCCACATCTGCCGCGTTCTCGATAACCCTGTCGTCCTCGTCCTCATCCTCCCCAGCGGACACGACAGTGGTCTTCTCGACGTCCTTGTCGATCGAGCTCTTCTCGCTGAGCTCTGTCTCCTTCTCCAAAACGGGCAGCACAGGGGGAGGCACAGCAGCGGCAGCAGCAGCAGACATGCTCGGTCACCGAGGGTCGGAGGGAACGATACGAGCGTGCGAGCCTGGCTGAGACGCTTCTTCGTCCATTTGGGCTTCTATAGTTTTTCCTGTTATCTCTAGAGTTGGAGAAGATACGATAACATGAGATAAGTAGATCAGGGAAAGAAGAGGGACCGGACAGATCCAGAGCAAGGGTGATAAGGATTCGTCTCGTTCTTCAACTGGGAGATCTCCAGCCGTTGAGAAGGATGCAGACTTGATTCTCAGCGGGAAACAAGAGAGCTGGTAAATTGTCGGGCATACAAACCCACTTAGAGCCCCAAGATATTCGAAGGCACAACCTGTGAGTTTGACAGCAACTTGTATCTGCCGGCCGGTGGATGCCCGGCCGCCGGAGATTGTCTTCTATCTGATGTAATCTAATCTAATCTAAGACCTGCGCTGGCCGCGGCGCAACGATCTGGCAGGTGTGCCATCTCACGTGACTGTGTACGCCACTGTGCTCAAGCCGAGCAAAGTTCCCAGACGTTCGCAAGCTGTTTCTACTACTACCGTTGAGACTCAGTGGGACGCGGGTGGGGCTCCGAACACCATTGCAGGAGCGAGTGCATCGAAGCAAAGGCGCATTGCACCTACTGGCATCCCGGTCCCAGCTACCGGCGAGACCTCATGCGAGTCATCAAAATTCGTTTGAGTTTCTGAAGATCTCTGCTACCCGACACCGATCCCTGCACTCCCCCTCCATGACCCAAATTGCGATGAACCCCAACGCTGCTGAGGCTTTCGAATCCTACGTGATCAAGGGTGCGCCCGTCCCGGCCGGTGCCAGCAGACCATGTAGGCTGACTCCGCGGCCTCTGCAGATGGCGTCAAAGTCGTCGAACGGTTCTTCGATCTGCCTCTGGACTACTCCCACCCGGAGGGCGAGACCATCCGCGTGTTTGCCCGGCATCTGATCCCCCAGTCCAAGGCCAAGACGCCGGAGGAGGAGGACAAGCTTCCATTTTGTGAGCGTTGGAGCATCCTTATCTACTGGGCCCTTTCTTGACGTAGAATCCAGTGCTGTACTTGCAGGGTGAACCCGAGTGTTTCCTGCGCCTGCCCGTCCAGGCTATTGAACGACGTGTTATGCAGGTGGCCCTGGCTTCGAGGTGGAATTGCAGGGAAGCTCGGGATTCGCGGGGGAGGTGAGTCGCGTCCAGCATCTTGCCTGCACGTACCACCCATTCCGACACAAACACACAGCTCCACGAGCGCGGATACCAGACGCTCTGGCTCGATCCCCGCGGGACCGGCCACAGCTCGCACATCTCGCCAGAAACGCTACCTGCGCGGCTGGCGACCGACCAGGCCAAGGCGGACTACCTGAAGCACTTCCGGGCGGACAGCATCGTGCGCGACTGCGAGGCGATCCGTAAGATCATGCTCGGCCACAAACGCGATCCCGAGGACAGGAAGTGGACGATCCTGGGCCAGAGCTTCGGCGGCTTCTGCGCGATCACGTACCTGTCGTTCTTCCCGGAAGGGCTGAAGGAGGTGTTCATGACGGGCGGGCTGGCTTGCCTGGACGAGTGTCCGGACCGCCTGTATGCTTCCCAGATCCGTGCGTCCGCTAACTGTGGGATGCGGGCCATGAATGTTAACCACGGCTTGCAGCGATCCTGCGCAAGCGGAATGATATTTACTACAACAAGTACCCGCAAGACATCAAGCGCGTTCGGGACATACTGTCCTATCTGGAGAGCAACGATGTGCGACTGCCGAATGGCGGTCGGCTGTCTGTCAGCCGGTGGCTCCAGCTTGGCATCCAATTTGGCGCCACAGGTCAGCGTCCATCGTCTATGCCCGCATACCCAGCTGAAACCAGATGCAGGCGGGATCGACCGGATCCACCGTGAGTCTCTCGTCAAGGTCGCGTAAGATGTGAACGTCACCTAGCGTTTGACAGAAATCGTATTCCGCGTCACCAACGACCTCGAGCTGTACGGGAGAATGACGTTCAAGACCCTTCAGGGGCTGGAGTCGCAGTACACCTTTGACGGCAATCCGATATATGCTATTCTGCACGAGCCTATCTACTGCCAAGGGTACGGAGCTTTCTTTTCTTCTAGTTTCGACTGTTCTCAGTTTGTGCAGTCGTGCTCCCAGGTGGTCAGCAGCTCGGACTATCGCTCAGCACCCCGAGTTTTCATGGTCGCACGTGAAGGGTCTCGCAGACACCGAGCCGATCTACTTCTACGGCGAAATGGTCTGTGGTGCCGTATTTGGACTCGACACAGCTTGAGCTGAACTATCCGAACATAGGTCTTTCCTGACGTGTTTGACGATTTTGTAAACCTCCGACCACTCAAGGGTGCTGCCGAGATACTCGCTCACGATGATTCCTGGGGGGAGCTTTATGACATCGAGCAGCTGAGGAGGAATCGGGTCAAGGTGACTGCTGCCAGGTCAGTTGGTTGTTTCCGACTTGCACTTGCACAGCTGAGCCACATGCAGCTACATCAACGATCTGTATGTCACATTCGACATTGCGCAAGAGACGGCGTCCATCATCAAGGGAACGGAGCAGTATATCACCAACCAACAGGTCCACGATGGCTTGCGTATCCATTCGAAAGAAGTCATTCAGCATTTGTTCACCATTTCCAAGAGGGAGTATGATTGAGCTGAGGTTACAAATACATATAGATCCATGTTGTTTTTGGTAGTTGTCCTTGGTGGTAGCCAAGCACCTGTTTTGTGCTGTTGGACTGGTAGGACCTGGAAGCACAGGTCCCTCAGGCAATCAGGCCATCCCCTTGTGGTCTGAGGACATCTGCCTCAGCAACGTGGCATGAGAGATTTGGTTGCTATAACTCATTGGGGCATGGTGCTGACCCCAGCATGGATCATGAGGCAAAGAAGAATGGTTCTGTGATGAACAAAGCTCAAGGTAGGACATTGAGAGTGGGAGAGTTGGTCCATTTGTTTGCTTTTTGGCAATGAGCACCTTGGCTTTTATATCACTCTCCACAAAGCTTGAGCTGGTGTTGTGTCTTGTCAAGGATGTGCAGGGAATGCGTAGATCTACTGTAGTCTCAGCACCACGGACCAGATGAGGTCGACCATTCTCCAAAGCTTCAAACAAACAACAAGGGATCTATGCTCAATGCGAGTCAGGGATTTCCTGCCCAGTTCATTGCTTGCTCTGCAGGATGAAGTCGGGTTGGAGAAGGCCTGTGCAAAGGTCGATCAGACTAATGGACAGCTGCAACTTCTAAACGGCTTCGAAATTTGAAGAGCACGAAGTTGAGCAGATTTTTTTAGAGTTTGGGAAGGACTCTGAGCATCAATCATGGAATGATTCATGTTCAAGTTGTGAGGAGCACGTGATGAGAAAATGACAACGCGTCTCGTCACAACGTGACGAGACGTTCTTCCTCGTTCTCACATACCCTCATCATGAGCCTCTCCGATCTCTCCAAGGGCAGCTGCGACGCGCTCCAGAACGCCGCTCAAGGGGATGCCTCCGTTTTCGATACGGTTCACACCCTCCAGGTCCTCTCCGTCCGCGTCGTCAATCAGAACAGCACCGGGGCGACTGTCCCGCGATTCCGAATCATCGTGTCGGACGGCGAACATTTCGTGCAGGCCATGCTTGCTACCCAGCTGAATACGCTTGTAAACGAGGACGGCAACGGGCCCGTCAAGATCAAGAAAAACACAATTGTGAACGTGACGAAGATGACCTGCAATATCGTGCAAGGTAAACGGTATGTTTTCCGCCCCGTGCAATGCGTGTTTGGATACTCAGCTGTTTTGATAGCTTGCTGATTATATTAGGGCTGGAATTTTTTGCGAATGCCACGGAGAAACTTGGCAACCCCGTTGCTTTTGCGGGCACGGAACCGGTTGCAGCAGGTGGAGACACGCCTTCGAACGACCACCTTCAGAAGCAGCAACAGCAGCAGCAGCCATCGAAGCCTCCAGTCCAACAGTCCCGACCTGCGCAATCCAGAGCAGCTCCGCAACAGGGCTCGTCGTCGTCCCATTCATCGGCCTCCATCTTCCCCATCGAAGGCCTCAGCCCGTACCAGAACAACTGGACGATCAAAGCCCGTGTCGTGCAGAAGAGCGACCTGAAGCACTACACGAACGCCAAGGGAGAAGGAAAGCTGTTCAACGTCACGCTCATGGACGAGACGGGCGAGATCCGTGGCACCGGCTTCAACGCGGTTGCGGACGACTTGTTCGACCGGTTCGAGCTTAACAAGGTGTACTTTATCAGCAAGGCGCGCGTCAATATCGCAAAGAAGCAGTTTTCGCATCTGACGAACGAGTACGAGCTGGGGTTCGACAGGAACACGCAGGTGGAGGAGGTGAGCGGCGCTTGGGCGCACCCATGCTGCTGCTGACTGTTGATCTCAGTGCACGGATACTGTTGGCCTGCCGGTTGTTCAGTACCACTTCGTTCCCCTGAACGGGCTGGACTCCCAGCCGAAGGATTCGATGTGTGGTACGCTCGCCAGTCGTGTTTGCGATAATCGACACTTATCTCTGCGGTAGACGTTCTCGCAATCGCCAAAGAAACCGGTGGTGTCGAAAGCATCAAGTCCAAAGCAACTGGCAAAGACGTGCGGTGTTTACATTCCTGCCATTGAATGCTCATATTATTCCAGGTCATCAAACGCGATGTGACGCTGGTTGACAGCACTGGATTCTCTGTCCGGATGACGCTCTGGGGCAAGCAAGCTGAGCAGTTTGAGGGGTCTGATCAAGTTATCGCGTTCAAGAGCGTCAAAGTCGGAGATTACAACGGTATGGTTGGTAGCTGACTGCATTGCAAGTTCATCGAGCCCGTTCCAGGCCGTTCTCTCTCATTCTTCAGCTCGAGCTCGATGCAAGTCAACCCCGATACACCGGAGGCTCACGCACTGCGCGGCTGGTACGATAACGAGGGCGCGAGCCAGACCTTCGCCGCCCAGCCATCGACGGGAGAGTTTACGAGCTTCGGGGGCTTCAGTCGCGACAAGATCCAGCCTCTTGCTGAAATCAAGACTTTGGAGCTCGGTCGAAACGAAGAGAAGCCGGACTACTTCTCGACGCGAGCGACGGTGGTGTTCATGAAGAACGACAACATGTGGTACCCCGCCTGCCAGACGGAAAACTGCAACAAGAAGGTCAGCGACGAATCCGGCAACGGCTGGTTCTGCGAAAAGTGCCAGAAGACCTGGCCTGAGCCGAACTACCGGTGAGAGAATCTCATGTACTCCCCGACTCTTGTCTCTGACGGGTTGCGAAGATACATCATGTCGGTTGCAAGCGCAGACTGGTCTGACCAGGCCTGGCTGCAGGGTTTCAACGACGTCGGCGAGCTTGTGCTGGGCAAAACGGCGAATGAGCTGCAGGAGATGAAGGTGCGCTGATCGATCTGCTCTCTGCGTCTCGTATCCCCCGGGGCTGACACGACACCAGCAAAACAGCGAAACCGAATTCGGCGCGTTCATGCAGGCGGCGTCGTGCCAGACATTCAACTTCTACTGCCGCGCCAAGACCGACTCGTACAACGGCCAGCCGCGGATCCGCTACGGCATCTCGAAGATCCTGCCGCTGAATTACAAGGAGGAGGCTACGGTGTTGCGTGACTTGCTGCAGTCGCCTTGGGGCCGCAACGCACGGCTCAGGTCCTCGCATTGAATATGACAGGAATACTCGGACTTTGTACTTATCATCACACCTGCTCTTCCTCTTTCAATGATCTACAGACCTTGCTCGATGATGATCCCCAAGTCTATGTGAGCACACAGCGTTTCTATTTCGTCAAAAGACACGGTAGGATGTTGGTTGGTTCTTTCTCTTCTCTCCTCCGACACTGTGTGGAGGTGTGCCTTGCCTTACACCTATCATCTGGCACGTGACCGCGTCAGAGCGCGGCTATTGCAATGCCAATTAAGCTGGATTTGAATTGAGCACTTTGGACCGCGAATGGTATACACTGGTTACAATTTCCCTACTTTGCTGCAGCTCTGGAACCCCCAACTTCCGACACTCAAGTTGCTAAGATGGACACGACCGATAACTATCATTTCGAGCCGATCATACCGCCTGCCCCCAACCGGCGTGATCTGGAAGCGGCGGTGGAGCCGCCAACGCCGCGCGGTGTTCCAGAAGACTGGGGTTCGCGTCGAGATGCGGCACGGCCGTATGCGTCCCTGCGAGCTTATCCAGCACTGGGTGCTGCGCGCCTGTCATAGACAGCCTCGGGAGATGATCCCGAGGCAGAGCTCGAATAGCCGATAACACAGGGTGGCTGCCCTCGAGGCGAGTGTCCGGGCTTGGCTGCGCCGTAGGTGCTTCGCTCGGGGCTAGCGTTGTGGTGGTAGTACCTCCTCCGCCCTCTCTCCGAGTCGCCAACCCGTGCGTGTGTGTCCTCTCCGTGTCCGCAGCGGTGCTCGAGACGTCGTCAGCCATGTCTAAATCGTCTTCCGCTCGGGATGTGGGGGGAGTAGCCACAGGCAGCGGAGGAGGGTACGGCAGGGAGCTCATTTGATAGTGAATCGGGTGGGGGATCAGGTGCGGGATGGAAGTGGAGCGCGCTTCGAGTCTCATATATACAGGTCCAGCGGGAATTAAACGCAGTTGGAGTCTTAGCGTGCTGTATTCATAGGTCATTGTGTGGTCATTTCATTCGAGTCCATTACAATCAGTAATCCTTCGGCCTATCCTTTTGTGTGTGATCTAATCTAATCTTCTCATCGGATCAGCGATCGTTGACAGCATATTTTAGATCGCAGGAGCAACCTCGGCAGTCTCATCGACGCTCTTGCGGTAGCTGAAGCCGAGATCAGTATCATCCGAATCAATGAAAAAGGGGGAAACCGACTCGTGTCCAAAGGCCTTCATGCCTTCCTTGCGCGCCTTCTTCAGCACGCGCTCGAACGCGTCCAGACCTGGAGCATCAAGTCAGCCCAGCACATCCGCACGCACAAAATGACGCGCACCCATGTCAAGGTCCTTCAACGGCGGCCCGAACGAGATCCGCACGAAGTGGTGGCACGGGGAGTTGAACAGGTTCCGGCGGTGGCTGGGGTTGATATCGAAGAAGATGCCCGGGATCACGATCGTCTTCTCCTTGAGCAGCTCCTCGAAGAAAGTCAGGCCGTTGTTCAGCGGCGCGGGGAGGTTCTCGAGGTTGAGCCAGATGTAGAACGTGCTCTTGGGCGGGATGTCCACGTCGAGCTTCATGTCGTGCAGGCGCTTCAGCACGTGGTCGCGCTTCGCCTTGAAGTGCCGCTGCAGCGCCTCCTTCTCCAGACGCACGCGGGCGGGCTCCAGCAGAGGAATCGCGGCGAGCTGCATCGGGTGGTTGGCGCCCCCGTCCAGGAAGGATCCGGACTGGGACAACGCGGTCACGAGGTTCTTGGGTCCGATCACCCAGCAGATGCGCCATCCCGGCAGACGCCAGTTCTGTTACAAGAGGTTCAGCTTCAGATAAATTCATTCTCCGATGAAGCATCTGACCTTGGTCAGACCATCAATGATGACAACAGAGTCCTGCAAAAATAAACATCAAACACTGAGAGTGATGCCCAACGAGAATATTCTTACACTGTTCACATCCTCGACGTACTCGGCCGAGGACACCGAGTGACCGAAATCTTTGTCGTGCTCGGGGTAGATGTACCAGGAGTAGAACTGACATGGGATGATTCAGTCAGAGTCGCTATCAAATCACCCGATGGACGAACTTCATCAAGAATGACGGTAGTCCCCTCCCGGCCGATGGCAACGAGCTCCTTGAGATCTTTCCCCCTGTTTCGATTGCTTCAGCGACCCACGCCGCAAGACGGCGAAAACGACGCACTTGATGACCTGGCCCGTGGGGTTCCGCGGATTCGACGCGAGGATGACAGCCAGACCTTGAGTTTGAATGTCCCTCTGAAACACATCTGAGGGGATGTTCGCCCGAATAAGCATCAGAAACCATCTACCTTGGTTTGGGCAATGTCCAGGCGATATTTGGTCTACGGCGGTCAGAACCCTGAAACTTACGATCATGCTGTGCAGATTACCTTGGGATCCAAGCTGCAAACACACCGTTAGACAAAGAGAACCCACAACACTAATCCACTCACGCAGTGGGAACCGGCACGAGCCGTCTGAAGGACGACAGCACTTGATCGTACGCCGTGTAATCGGGGACCTGATACGACTGGACACACACACGCAGCACATCAGTGGGGGTGCCTAGCGACCGGATGGTGGCGCGCACCGTGTAGACGTCACCGATGACGGCAGCGACACGCGACAGCCCCGCGCGGCCCCCAGGGACGATGCACACGTTCTCGTAGGTGTACTGGCTCGCCTTGCCCTGGCGGTACGTGTGGTTGTACAGATCCGCGACCGCGGTGCGCAGCTCTGCGCACACGGAGTCAGCGCGGCGCAAGAGAGGAGCAGGAGGAGTTGGGCACACACCTTTCACGCCGGTCGTCGGCGCGTACTCGAGCGAGTCGGTCGGCAGCGGGATGGACGTCAGGCGCGGGGGCGCGTTCGGGATCTCGCCGACCTCTGGCGCACCCTGGCCCAGGTTCGCCCACTCGTGGGACGCCGCGTAGCTGAACCCGTTCGCCATCGCGCGATCGGAGCAGTAGATCACACCGGTGCTGCCTGCATCGCCCGCCACGCATCAGCATCACGCTGCGAAACACATCAGGGAGCGCTGACCGGGGTGCTCGATTCCGGGCACGGTCTCCTCATCCTGATTCACACGCACGGTAAAGTGGTAAGCAGCAGCCTCACGGAGACGAGAGCAGCGGGGGACAACGCACGGGGTTGATCGTCTGCGGGAACGTGCCCTTGACTTTGTGGCCTGCGGTCTGCCGGAAGATCTGATAGCGCGGTACGCGCACGCCGTCAGAAGACCGCGAAGACCGTCGCACCCCGGACGCAGCCTACCTGATGCGCCTCCGAGTCGGTCTCGTTCTTGTAGTGCCTGACCGCGTCCATGACCTGGTGGGCGAGGTTAGTGAGGGAACGGGAGGGCTTCGGGCGCGTGAGGTGGAATTTCGTCATGGGCTCTTCGTGGTAGTGGGGGGGAGAGGGTAGGATGGGAACTTGGCGCTCACAAAGTCTTTAAACCTCATCATGGGCGTGCTGGACCGGGACGGCGTGGCCGGACGTGAGGGCTGCCTGCTGGGAGGTTGGGACATGATGGTGTCTTGCGGGGTAAACGGAGAGTGTGTTGAACAGGAGAAGGTTTAGCAGGAAGATTGGGGCTGTTCATGATGGTGAGCCACCTCGAGGACAGCTCTATTTTTGGAAAGCGATCGATCGGAGTTCATTATCGATAACGGATGGCCGCGTCAATCACAATAATTTGATAAGATTAGATGCAGATTTGAATCATTCACACGCTGATCTTAGATTCAGCGTTGGCAATTCCGTCTGCCCCCCCGTTTCATCATTCCCTCGCCTCGAATATTAGTTATACAGATCAATAGAATTGCACCAAAAGCACGTGAATTGGATGCTCAGTGTCAAACCGCAGTTCCCCATATTCTCGTTCTCATGTCCGCCTCCGCAAGACCTCGCAGCCCACCCAAGATCACCGCCAGTTCCTTCGTCGCGTGACCCGTCGACCGCGCCCTCAAACGCGCCTCAAACTGGCTCATGACGTCTTCGTCGTCGAGGAACACAAGAAACGCGTCTAGGTGCCGATGTGTGAACGACACTAAACAGTTCTCCGCCTTGTGCGACGCCGTGAAGAAGATCAACGCGTCGACCAAGGCCATGCGATGCCGAGCATGTGCACCCGTCTCGTCCCCGGGACTCAAATTCTCTGCGAGCAGGCGCATGACCAGCGACGAGTCGTGCGGGATCAGATGCAAGGCGGACGCGTTGATGAAGCCGGCAAGCGCGGCTAGCGTCGCCTCGTTCAGCCGAATTCGAAGATGCGTGGTGAGCAGCCGATGCCGCTCGGCGGAGCTGAGTTGGTGCAGGTTCAGGCCTTGGACTTGCGGTGCAGCAGTGCCGTCTGGCCACAGCGAAAGGTCCCAACTCCGGTCGTATAGCGCTTGAACGACGTATAGAGAATGAGGGTCCTTACACGCATCCAGCTCGGATCGGAGTCGTCTGAGGTGATTGATCGCGATGCTGACCGAGGCACACGTCGCCATCCCACTTCGGTCATTAAGCGAGTCCAACCGCGCGATCGACTGCGTATCACCCAACAACACAGTCGGTGGTCTCGAAGACAGGATCCACGCCGCGAGCGCCCATAGTCCCGTGAGGTTCCGCTCGCTCGCTTTGTGGAAATGGGGATTTTCATTAATATACCTTGTCACGAGGTCCATCAAAGTCTCAAGTATGGAACCAGCTAGTGTCGAGAAGCCCAGAACGGTCTCGATCACAGGCACGCGCTCTGATGCATTATGTCGGCCAATGAATGACAACAAGGCATCCACTACAGCGATGGACGAAGTTGTCAGCGGGGATGTCGCTTCGTGACTCGAATACAGGCTCAGATAGGCGTGGACGAGGAATTGGATCGCGGGGATCAACAACGCTCGCTCTGCCTCCGAGAATTTCCAGTTTTCGTCCTTCCAGGTCACGAGCGTTTTTGCGACCATCTCTTGGTGCTGGGCCGAGAATGGGGGCTGGCAGCTCTGCCAGAGCATCGCGAAACTGGATTCAAACTTGTATGGAAGCGCGGGTTGGTCGAGAGACCGGAGGAGGTAGGTGCAGACGACGTTGAGCTTAGCATCGGCCAGCTCCGCTCGCGCAATCTGCAGCAGATCCGAGACCGGGACTGTGCCGTCCAGGGGAGCTGCGACGACAGAGGGGAGGACAAGAGGGTATCCTGGCCGGCCGAAAGCACGCCACTTGGACTGTACAAGCCCTTTGACGTTCCCCTTTTGCCCTTGCCTAGTATATGCGCGTTGTAAATCGTCCAACGAGTCTTCTATCTCGCACGCGCAGCTCCAATACAGCAGTGCCGACATCGTGGACCAATACAGCTCCAGCGCCGCCCCGGGGTGATTCGTATAGAGATAACTCCAGCCCAAGCCGCCCGAGATCACCACAGGCGACGCCTGCCCCATGCCATGCTCGGGTTCGAACCGAGCCCAAGCAAAGAACGGGAGCGAGGGCTGGAGAGAATTTGTGGCACCGCCAGCGCCAATTCGGATGTGCGCTAGCGCGACGACGGCCTTCACGGCGGCGATGCATCGCTGTGTCTCGTTCCCCGCCACAGCCGACCGCAGGAACGACAGCAGCCGACGGACGAGCCCGGCTTCCGTGTCCTGTGTGACCGAAACGATCAAAGGACTACGGACGTCTCCTGCGGTGACAAAAAGAGCCTCGGGAAGCGCCTCGATGAACGGCGCCAACTCGTTGTCGTCGACTCGCGATTTGAGAGTCCACGTCAGAGCATGGAGGTCCCGCTTGAACCTCGAGCTGATGGCTACAGTCGCGTCGACAACCATCCGTTCCGTCATGGTTTGCGTGGAAGCCACCGCATTCGGATGGAAGAGTTCCATGATGTGTCTCCCGAGGAAGGCGAGGTTCCAGCAGGCATTGGTGAGAGGCGTGCGATACGGACAGTCAGAGGCCAGCAGAGGCAGCACCGTTACTATCGCGTAGACAAGCATAATGAGTCCTAGGATGCCAACACATAGGTACATCACGGCCGTGTTGACCGGGATCAGGAAGAGCACAAGGCCGGCGAGAAACAGGATAAGCGAGAGGTGCAGGAGCAGCGGGACGACCTCGACGATATCGTGCATCCGGAACCGCTTCAGTCCAAAATACAGAAACGAGTACACCCGCGCACGGATCGGCGGCGACGGCCACATGTCCACCTTCTGCACGAAGTTCCGGGCCCACTGCTCGACGAGCGTCGCGAGCAGTGCGCACCCGAGACTGAGCCCCAGACTCATGAACCACAGCATGTTGCAGGCGAGCGAGGACGGGGCGGGTGCGAACGCGCTCAGCGTTGCCGAAGAGATCGCGCCGGTGGTCGTCGCGTTCGCGCCACCGCCTGCCATCTGCGCGGAAATCTGCAGAAGCAGTTCGACCGTCATCGCCGCATTGTCCGGCGAAAGATTCTGGTAGCTTTGGGTGATGAAAGCTGTGAGCACGGCGGAGAACAGACCGGCCTACGATGCATGCACATCAGCAGCGGCGGTGAAGTTGCCATTTCGACGCGTGACCCACGAAGATCAACATGCCCTCCATATCGCTCCGCCATCCATCGACCAGTGTTTTGTCGTATTTTTCCGCCTCGGAGATGTAGATGGAGAACAGCTTGGAAAAACGCGTATCTGCTTCGGTGTTGAGTCGCGTTACAAGGCTCTTGAATGGAAATGAGTGCACCCTCTGCGTCGTTACCCATGTTCGTGAAAGACAACGATACAGCGATGTATACTCTTGATCCACGTCCGCCACGGCCGTGGGAGTGGAAAGGATACTGATCCGAGGACGCCACTGCTGCTGAAGTGTGTGTGAAAGGATTGGGGCTGGAGAGAGTGCACACAACATATACCGCAGAGACTCCCGTCTCCTCAGAAACGAAATAAGCTGCGTTCTCAGCGTCGTGGTCTAGTCCTATGCTGTCTCCTGGACATGCAACTATTTTCTATCTGAAGAAGCAATATTGCATCTCTTTGTCCTGAAAAGGAATGACCTGTGATTAGGACTCATTAGACTCGTAAACCCGGTGTAGATGCTAGATTGCCGGCGGTTCTGCCTCCAATTACAATGGAGACAAGGGAGTCCACAGATTTTCCGCAGAACTCATCGAAGATCCAGGGAACCGCAATCAATTATCACAGCCAGAGTCGAAACACAACTATTTATTCGATGTGCATCTGAGTGGGCTTATCTGAAGCGACGCAGTACAAAGAGTCTTGCCTTTTTCGTTATGATCTGAAGCGGTATTACTTATTAATCCACGACCTCAAGGAGACGGTCCATGTCCGTTTGGTAGATGTTTCAGATGCGCGAAGCGAGCCATACACGCGACGATTAAACCTGGCGGGGGACGCGTTCTTCGGATTCCTGGTCAACTAGTACAACATTGGGACCAGGCACGGCAACTTGGCAGGGACCTGCAGAGTCAGGCCCAGTCAGGCGCTTCGACTTCGACGAGGCCGCAGTGCCTTAGGCTTTCGGGAGCAGCCTTCGAACGGGCACGTGGCTTGACGATCGACAGCTTAAGCGATGCGGGCATCAATATTCAGTCAGGAAGTTCTTGCCTGCTTGCTCCCCTTCGTACCGGCGCCGCTGACGATTTGGAACCCACCCGCGCAAGCGTCATTCGGGGTCACATCGGCGACTCGATTTGCTAAATAATCCCTACGCTCTCTATCGCACCCTCCAGTTGCCCAGCCATCATCCTCTTCTAATCGGCGACAACCATGTCCTTCTTCAACTCGATTGGGTCCGTGGCTATCTCCCTCGCGCTCCCGCGGAGAAACCCGTGCGCTAACTCCGTGTACAGACGGTCGATGACCCGCGCCCCGCGCAATGCGAAGCGTTCGCCGACACCAACGTCCGCGACGTTCCCGCCCGAGTCTCCGGCTGTCAAGTCCCCGACGTCGCCTGTGGTCCCAGCGCAAAAGCCGTTGTACCTGTGCAGCCCTTTCGTCGAGGCTGCGCTGGTCAAAGGCAACTTCAAGACCATCGTGATGATGCCCAAGTATGTGGACATTATGGAGTGGGTCGCCGTCAATAGGTGCGTGTCTCTTTCTGCACGTTTTCTGCCGCGGGTGCAGTGTGCTGACCGCATCCTAGTGGGTAAACTGCTTCCATCTGTCCCTGTGCTCACTGCTGCCGGCCAGTCTTCGATTTTTACACCAATCTCAATGAATTCTACGGCGTGCTCACCGAGTTCTGCACGCAACAGAACTGCCCAACGATGGCAGCAGGCCACACGTACGTCCCATTGCGACGCGAAGCACCCTCCCTGTGCAGCAGCTGACGTCCGTTGTCACCAGACTAAACTATACCTGGATTAACCAGGATCGCAAACATGTGCACCTGCCGGCGCCAACGTACATCGACTACGTGATGACGTGGGTGCAGAACATGCTGGATGACCAGAGCGTGTTTCCGACCAAGTCCGGTGCGCCATGGCGATTTTTGCCGCCGAGACGTAGGGCCGAGTCCTGACTGACCGGTCACCCTCCCAGGTCTCGAATTCCCACCGTCCTTCCCATCGACGGTCAAGCACATCTACCGGCAGCTGCTCCGGGTGTTCGCCCACATATATCATGCGCACTACGCCCAGATCCTGCATCTGCGCTCGGAGCCGCACTTCAATTCCCTTTTTGCGCACTTCCTTGCCTTTGGGTCTGAATTCGAGCTATTGGAGATGAAGGATCTGCGAGGGTCGGGTTCTTCCCCGGTTGGAGTGGGGGCGCTCTGGGAGCGGTGGAGGGACATGGGCATCCTCGCAGGCTCGAACAAGGGGTGATTCATTGATACCCCTACCTACTGACACACACCCGTTGGCGGTGTTACCCTCGCTCTCGTTCACAATCCGTACTATCTGGCGTCCGAGCGGGCTTTACGATGTCATGTAAACAAGTTATAATATCTGCACAATAGATTGTTAATACAAACAAAACAAAGCAGTGACAGACAGTCAGAGCGCAGGGCTGAATGCAGCATAGGCAGCCTTAAAGGCTTGGGCGTCGGCTTTGTCCTCGTCGTCGGAAAGAGAGCAGGCCTTCCAATCCATCCGTTCTGGCATATTGAGGAGGGAAGCTAATGTTTGTCTGTAAAAATGGATGTCAGCGGACCCTAGTCATCCAATAAAACCGGGGATACCGACCTCCCAAATTGAATCCCGAAAGGCACATGATCTTTGATGAGATGAACGAGCTTCTGGCCGTTGGGCAGATCAACGCGGAAATAGCTTCCTCTACCGCCAGCACATGCTTGCAAGGCCTCGTCCGGATCGGCTTCGAAATCAATGCCGAGCATCTGGCCCTCGGACCGGAACACCTGCTCCACTTTGTCCTGCAGCGCAAGCGGTACCGGGACCGCTTGCACGTGCGCGTGCCCGCCTTTGGCGCTCAGCTTGCCTACTTCAAATGTAACCATGGCGGCTTTGTGCTTGGCGAACATCTCCCGCAACGCCGTTTTATGTCTGGTGCATTGTCAGATGAGTCCTGCGGCTAGGAGGGAGCCATGTGCGCACCTCTCTGTTTCCTCGATGATCGGCCCAGCAAGGTCACCAGGGATGGTCGAATAGGTAGGGAAATGCGCGATAGGGATGATGAGCACGTGTCCGCCCCCAGGAACCGATGGTCCGTCGGTTGGTGGATGGGTGGGCACGATCTGACCTTTGGCCAATGTCACGTAGCATTCGCTTCCAATGGCCACAATCAGGTGTTTTCTGGCGATGGGTTAAGCACATTGGTCACAAGAATAGACTCCAACGCACGCCAGATTGGGATTAGACAAACAGAACCAGCATTCATCCGCTGTAAATAGGAATGAGATTCCGAAACGAAACGACTTTGGCGCTAAGTACGAACCCGTGATCTCTTTGGGTGGACCCCTTTTGTTGCTTCTTCGCTCAGACGGTCTTCCACTCGAAGACGGGCAATCGTCCAGATAATGCCCGTCACTACCGCAAGCTCGACAGATGTATCCTTCTCTCGGCTTCCTGCCACCGGTGTCTCCAAGGGCAAATCGGGTGGGGCAATCCCGAACGAGATGCCCGGACTGTGCAGAACGTGAGGTCTTCCCTGAATCACTGCGGCGGATTTCAACGTACAACATTGCAGATACGGCAAACATAGCCTTCTGGAGGCTTGACGCGTTCAGGGCAGTCGTCGATCAAATGCTTCAATCATCGTCAACACATTTCGCGGAGCAAAGAACTTGTTCTCGGACCTCACTCGACTCGCACCGATGGCATTTGTATCCAGGCGGCGGCTTGCCTGGCTCTCCGACTCGGGTCCGCTTCTGAGGTTGGCGGACATTCCCAAATATGAAGTTCTCCGCTTCGCTCGCTTGATCAAAGGTACGTTTCATCGGCCGGGAGTTCATCTCCAAGAATGGATTTTTGGTCGCATTGGCTGGACGCTGTGCAGAGACGGCAGCGGGTCCGTCGGGGGTGATGGAAAAGGCATAGAACCACTGGATAATGGAGATTACATTTCGAGCCACCCAGAAGTATAGAGAGGAGTACCCTTTGCTTCTTTCCAGGAGGCTGCTCGCCACCGAATGCACCGAGGCTGACAAAGCGCGATACCCTTCCTTGCTCATCATCCCAAAGATAGGGCTCACGCTCCCAGAACAGAGGGGGCTTGCCGCCACTCGCCGCAAAATGGTACCGGGGCTTGGTCTTGCGAACAAGATCGTCAAGGGGCGGTGCTCCGATTTGCGCAAGCTCGGGGTTTGGGAGAGGTGCCGAGGAAAGATGTGTGACGGCGGCGGGCCAAGCATTACTGATGAGAATATCGACCAGTTGCGAGGCCGACGCGGTTGATTGAATACCTGCAAGTGAGCCATAGTTCTGCTTGGAGGTAGAGTTCGTCAGTGTGTTGGAGAGGAGGCGTTCTACTGTGTGCGATGAGAAGAACGGCGAGGAGAAACCCTACACTGAAGCGTCAATCAATCCCATGTTAGGATATGAAGACACCTACTGGTGCAGCTTCAGCAGATGAATACATTTCGGCGTCATAGCGGCCACCCAGGCACGCTATTCGCAGTCCATTGGCAGTTGTGATCGTGCCCGACTTGCCTAAACACCGCGGTCTCAGCATTTCACTTACGGCTCGCAGAGATAACACACTCAACAAAAAGACATTCTTGCAAAGTTCACCTCCGTTCTTGCTGAACTTTTGAATCACAGCGTCCGAAAGAGGATTGTCTCCTTGCATGATGTAACATTCAATTGGCGCTGCAACAGGCGTCGAACACGGATGAACATATCAGGATGTATGACGGACCCTCCAATTCGCCATCCAGAAGTTGCCGAGTCTCCTCCACCGCGCTGGCATTGTCCAAAGCACCGAAAAAGTCGCCGATACATAGCACAAGATCGAATTTGCCGTGTTTTGCGTCGATAGACTTGACTTTGGCAAACAGGTCGCGCATAGAGCCAACGGCCGAGCCCACAGTCAGTCTGCGCGGTATGTCAAGCTGCTCCGGAGCACAGAGGCGCGTGCTGCCGCTCACATTTTGACGGACATTGGCGCCAGGTTCCGAGACGCGCAGTTTGGCGGTGTTGTTCTTGTCGGAGTTTCAAGTTGGCAACAGTTGCAAGCCACTTTGGAGTAGTCGTCCCCGTGCAACTTGGGAGCCCAACGAGCAACACCGACGACGATCTCCCGCCGTGTTAATTTGTGCTCGTCGGGTGCTGGACCGCCTCTTTCATTCACGTCTTTGAACGAACGGTTGTGGGATTGATCACCCTCGCTCGCGTGTTACGAGACCCGCGACCATGTCTCTGCTGTCCGACAGACAGAGGGAGGACCTGTGCGTATATCCCATGTCGCTTTGAACGCCCAATAATGGGTCCTGTCCTCAGTCACAAGTCCATGCTGGATTATCTCTACGCCAACAACTACACCTCCGCGTATAATGCTTTGAAACAGGACGCTGAGACGGAGTACACACCCGATCCTAAGGCTAAGTATACTGGGCTGCTGGAGAAGAAGTGGACGAGTGTCATTCGATTGCAGAAGAAGGTCCGTCTATCTCATGATACCACGGACCAAAACTACAGCTGGTATGTAGATAATGGATCTCGAGAACCGCAATTCCGCCCTCCAGGAGGAACTGTCTCAAGCTCCTTCCAAACGAGCCGCCTCTCAATCCGACTGGGTGCCAAGGGCGCCTGCAGCCCATGTTCTCACTGGTCATCGCGCGCCCATCACCCGCGTAGCTTTCCATCCGCAATACTCAATTCTAGCCTCCGCTAGCGAGGATTCGACAGTGAAGATATGGGATTGGGAAACGGGCGAGTTTGAGCGCACGCTCAAGGGGCACACGAAAGCTGTTATGGATGTGGATTTCGATCACAAGGGCCAGTTGCTAGGTATGTTTGTGCCGGATCTCTTGCCGCTCGGATTCTCGCTGATTGGCTCAGTGACATGCTCGACGGATCTTTTTATCAAGATCTGGGATACTCAGAACGAATGGAAGAACACAAAGACCTTCCCAGGGCACGAACACTCTGTATCCTCAGTGCGATTCCTCCCCGGAGATCAGTTTATTGTCAGCGCCAGCCGTGATCGAACCATAAGGGTGTTTGATGTTGCTTCGACGTTCGCCGCCCGCTCTGTTGATTGCTCATAGTGAACTGACGGCACACTCAGGCATCTAGTCAGAACAATAACAGGACATTCAGATTGGGTGCGATGTGTAATGCCTTCTGATGACGGCAAACTATTGGCAACTGCCTCCAACGATCATGTGGGTAGACTTATTCTTTTTTCTTGTTCTTTAATTCATCTTGATCTCAGACCGCCCGAATCTGGGACCCACAAACAGGAGAGTCGAAGATGGAGCTGCGAGGTCACGAGAACGCCGTCGAGGTCGTCGCATTTGCGCCTGTAGCTGCATATTCAGCCATTCGAGAACTGGCTGGAATACCTGTAAGTCCTCGTCGTACCACCTGGTCGCATGTTTGCTGACCTCCGTGCCAGAATACAGACCGTTCCAAACGCCCAGGCGCTTATGTTGCCACTGGAGCTCGAGACAAGACTATCAAGCTGTGGGACGCATCCAGTGGTCAGATTTTGAAGAACCTCCCCGGTCACGACAATTGGGTCCGTGCGTTAGCGTTCCACCCATCGGGGAAATATTTGTTGTCTGCCTCCGACGACAAGACAATCCGAGTATGGGAATTACAGACCGGACGGTGTATGAAGACTGTCGAAGCGCATGGACACTTTGTGCAGACTCTGGCATGGGGTCGCCAAGTTGTTGGTGGTGCCGCTAAAAGTGATGCCATCAAGGTCAATGGAGAAGCCAATGGCAAGACTGAGGAGGAGAAGTTGGTGAATGTCGTCGCGACAGGAAGCGTCGACCAAACGATCAAGATCTGGCTTCCTTGAGAGTTTGACTTTGGGTCTACATATTTGATGCCGTCGCAGCTCGTTTTTATGTGGAAAGGCGTGTTGTGGATCTACTTTGCCTCTTGGCAAGTTGACTCGATTTTTGTTTCCCGCGTTTGTTTGCACCGTGAGTGTTCGCATTGCCTTTGACTTTTGTGATGGTGCCCCCCGCTCACACGGTCGTTTTTAGGCAACTAACATGCGCCGACCGACCGACGTCGGATCTATCATCGCTCGTTCAAGTCTACACGTATCATATTATTCTCCCGGCGACATCTTATACCAAGGCACACTTAGCCACATCTCACTTTCGTTGCACTACGTCACTCTCGCCGCTCTACCTAGTTTGCGCATAATCATTCTCAATGTTTTCTCAGAGAACCCACCCAACCCTGTACGTGTAAAGAATAGAGGTTATATATTATCCTGGGCCCGCTGCAATGGAATTGACTAGCTTGAGGCGGCCTGCATCGCGCGTAGGGTCTGGGAAACCAGTTCACACACGGCCTCTGTGCCATTTGGGATTGATCCTCAGAGCGGCGAACAATTCGATTGGGCGCAAACGCAGTATTCCGGTGGGAGAACGCCCGGTCTCTCGATGTTGGGGGAAGGGGAGGGTGGATACCGGATTCCAGTCCACCAAAGATTGTGGAGGATCATGTGAGTCAATCACGCTGGCACGTGTGTGTGACTGGTGGTGTTTTGACCGAGACAGACTGAGACTCGACTGCTGAGCCGCCCGTATGTAGTGAGTTTGAGGGAGAAGTAGGAACCGCGTATTCGCCGGACTCAAAAGAAGGCTAACTCTATCAGGGTGACCTCCTGAAGCATCTCTACCCGAACCTCACAGCCATCTCTCCTGCGGTCGACTTGACTTGACTTCCGTTGGTTGATGTTGCCGAGCGCCGAGTCTACAATGCAATGTCTCGAGCGAGACCCTCGACAAGGTTCTCGATCTCGACCACTAGCTTCGAGATTCTTGAGACAATCGATGCTCTTCGTTCTCTGTTTCATCGGCATCTTCTATGCTGACCAGTGATTCCCTGGCTGCGACACGATGATGTTTGCAGAGCCATGCATAGACAAACTTTCTGTCGAAGCCGATGGCGAGCAGGACAGGCTTCTCGCCATGAGTCTGATTGTTCGAGATCAGGGCACGGTTTTGTCGTGTGCCCGACGTTCTTTTGACGGGGGACTTGTCGTGATCGAGACTAGCTGTGATGGTGAGTCGCCTCTGTTTCAGGGAGGCTTCAGTTTTGGGATAAGCATAGAGATGTTTTCTGGCATTTTTTGGTCTTCCTTCAGTGATGCGGATGGACCTTGTGCTTCCGTGCGATCTCAAATCCATGTTCAAGGCCTCTTCTGGCTCTGACTGGCATAGAAGGCTAGGAGCATCGAATTGGAGTCTTTTCACGAGCGTGCTGAGTATTATAAGTCAGAGCGTCTTTGACCTGACTCATGCAGAGCATCTGGCAATCAACCCGACTCACAATGCTTGAACTACAGACAGTTGTCATGCATTCCTTACACATAAAGCAAGGACATGCGCAATGATCACTGCTGATCAGTGTTCGAGACAAATTGAAATCTTGGGTTGAGCCGATCCGGATCAATAATAGGGTATCTCGTCCATTTCGGGCCTACTTCTGTTGGTAAAATACAGCCTGGGCATATCGCGCCAACCAAGTTGCTTCTCACTCGACAACCTCAGAAAATCACACGCCGGTGGGGCAGGAAGCCGCACTTTGGAAAGGCACCGGGACTGGGTGCCATTCACGGTCTCATGCTGCGACGTACTCTCATCTTCTGTCTCTTGCTACTACCCTCCCTGACATGGCAGCGCTCAACTCTCGGAGAACGCGCCCTCACGCCTCTTTCGTTGGACTCGATGTCCAAGCTCGTGTCTTCTCCGGATCCGTTGAAGCAGCTCGATCCTAATGACCCCCATTCGCACCTCTCGAAGATTCTGATACCCCGTGTCCGTGAGTCGACCGCTTCACGAGCCATTCTCTCCACTCATGCCCATTCTTTCTCATCGCAGCGGATACAGCGAATAACACTCTAGTCCGGAACTACATCGTTTCCAAGTTTAAAGCGCTGAACTGGCACATCGAACTCAACAACTTCGAAGACAACACACCGTTTGGACGGAAGAATTTCACGAATATCATCGTGACGAAGGACCCCAAAGCTACGCGACGCATCGTATTGGCGGCACACTTTGACAGCAAGTACTTCCCTGAGCCAAACCATGTGCGTACACATTGCACCCTCGTGGTCGGAGATTGACAAGACATTGACTTGATTCAGTTTCTCGGTGCTACTGACTCAGCGGCCCCCTGCGCTCTGATGGTTGACCTTGGGGAGTCCTTGAATCACCTACTGGATGAAAGAGCTGCACGATTTGATGCTGGGACGGAAGATGACGAAGACGTTGCCGACACCACACTCCAATTCGTTTTCTTTGACGGCGAGGAGGCTTTTGTCGCATGGACTGACACAGACTCCATCTATGGTGCCAGGCGAGTTCTTCGAGACCTCCGTCTTCCATCCTCTCGAACCGGTTCACAGACATCTTGCCGAGAAATGGGCAACCTCGTATATTATGCCCCACAGTAAACGTCGTTTGATGGGTCCTCAAGATACCGAGATATCGGGCATCGAGCATTTTATTCTTCTGGACCTTCTTGGTGCCGAGAACCCACAGATTCGCTCATATACGCTAGACACAGCATGGCTCTACGATGGGCTGGTGTCGGTGGAGACGCGTTTAGGTGATAGTGGAGCCTACGCCTACGGCAGCGAGCAGAGTATGGCTCCTGGGCACTGGCGATCATTTTTCGCCTCTCGTAGCTCTGTGGAGATGAATCTGGGTGGAATTGGGGACGACCATGTTCCATTCCTGCAGAAAGGTGTTGATGTGCTGCATCTCATCAGCTCACCCTTCCCCAACGTTTGGCATACTGTTAGGGTACGTGGTCGGATCTCCGCTGTGAAAGGTCTTCGCATTGTCTCCACCAGGATGATGCATCCGCGCTGCACTTGCCAACTCTGCGAAGATGGAACATAATGATGCGAGTCTTTTTCGCCGAGTATCTGAATCTACGACCAGACGAGAAAAAATCTCGTGATGATCCGAGCACGGTCGTCGAGAGGTCGGAAACTGATCTTGTGAGCGCTCCATGATCTCATGCCGAAACCAGCTCACCGCGATCCGACCAGTAGCGCATTTAGTTCATGTTTTTATGGAATGTACAGCACCTGTATCAATACAACACAGCACTAGAGAACCCTCTCGTCCGATGCCATCGTCCCCTTCTCAACACGAAAGACACGGCGCTCAGATCATCAACAAGGTCTTGTAGTGCTTGATCAATCGAGAAGCGTCCGCCGCGTTCTGCAAAAACTGAATATATGCGTATGCATTATGATGGAAAGGCTGACCTTCTCATCCAGCTTACTCTGGTACAGCTGCGCGTCTGCGGCTTCAACACATTCGGCCAGTGCATCCGCTCTTCGGGCGCTGTTTGTTCCAACTAAAAGAAGATTAGAAGGCGTCGGGACGATGTCGGTAACCTACTCATTTCGCTTGCAGCGTTGACGGCGTCGGAACGGCGAGGGAAGAGATCTTCGAGGCCGGCGGGGTATACAGACAGCAATTCTTTCACTGAGTCCTTTTCCATATGAGAAGCGCACCGGTGAACGGGGAACGAGACCTACCTCGACGCGATGCCAGGAAGGAATGACATCCTTGCTGTACTGATCAGCCGTCACTTCCTCCTGCTTCAATGCGAGAAGTTTCGCTTTCCCCTCCTCTCTGTAACCGGATAAGATCGCCCTGCTAGATCGTCACCTCGACTTACAGACAGGCTGTGCCATCTCGTGCCAGTTCCTTCGACGCCTTGCGCGCTGCGATGTAAAGATTCTTCTTCTGAGTTTGAAAAGCTGCTGAACGCGCGGACGATTTCTTCGCCTGGCGCTCTGTGTGTTCTTGAATAAGGCTTTCAGTGTTCAGATGGGAGACGGACTGTTGTATTCGGCCAAGAAACGATTGATCATCTCAGTGCTGCCGAGCGAGACCGCTCCGTCAGAGACCAGAGCGCAATTGTGATCCAGGCGCACCTATCTTCACTCCCGTCCACGTCCATATCATCATCTTCTGCGACATCATCATCTTGTATAATGTCGAAGGCGTCCTCGGGAGCTGACTGGAACGACGTAGAGGCTGTCGGGCGGGTCGGACGTCCTGTTTGGCGTTTTGTGGTGTTCTCTGTTGGTTGGTAATTTAACATGAGACTCAAACGTGGAATAAATGGTCTGACTAGGACTTCGGGCCATTGTGTTTCGCGAAAGAAGGCAAGGAAGCGAAAGTAAGAGCTGGACGCGACGCGACGCGCTTGATGGGATCACATATCCGGCGAGTGCCGATGACGTAAAATCCTTCTCTCATCAACTCCCAGCTATATTTCAGCTCGAGGACGTTTAGGGACACGTTTGTCCTCCATTCCACCGAGTAGGAGATGGATTGGTAAAACTTGATGCCCCTCATACTGGACGAGGCTGAAGCAGTTGATCAGCTTGGAGTTCAATATCCACCAACGTATCCTCTCCGACATCGCGTCGAACGTTTCGGAGAATGCAGAAGACATCACCTTTGCTCAAGATACGATCACAGCCAAGGTTCAAACCCGGGCGAATCCTGCTGAATTAGTGAATGGAGATTCTAGCCAGGGAGGTGGTGAGGTCGAGGAGGAGCGGGTGTTCATGGTGCGTCATAACTTCGTCCCAATGATTCGTACAATGAATGCCGCACGTAGTCCGTCTCGCGAGTGCACTGCAACATCGCATTTGGAGAACTTGTGGTCCATTTCCCTGAAGCTCAGATTGCCAATGCTATCGAGACACTGATGCCCGCGCTCATCGAGGTGCTCAGGGACGTACCCTACATCGATTTCGACAAGTGCCTCTCCTGGGAAGGTGAATCGAGACCCAATTCCGGACCTTGAAACTCGATTGAAATTTTCGTCAGAGTGGGCTCTCCCCGATCAGTTGGTGTTTTCGACAGTCTCGGCTCTCCTCCGGATTTCTAGCTCGCACGCGAAGTACAGCGATGTTGCTACTTCTGCAATCTTCTCTTTCATCTCGCGCATTGCAGAGAAGATACGCTCTGCCAGCTGTTAGTAAAGTACTTTCTCCTTAGCTGTCGCTGTTCTAAAGATCCCCAGCTCTCGACATCCTGACCCAGTTGACGCCGGCTCTCCACGGCCTGTATAGAGCCATCAGTTCGACGCCCTTCAAATGGACTATATCTCAGTGGCACCAGCTCGCCCAACAGCTGGGCGAGCTGTGCGTCCCTGCCGTTGTCGATAGACTGAACCGCCTTGTTGCCGATATCATGCAGAAGGAGAATGCGGACCTCGAAACCTTGCACTTCGTGCAGACCTTCGTCTCGCGATACGTCTCATGCGGACGCCCTCTCAGTGGTTACTTCATCGTGTGCTGCATAATCGAGACCAACTGGACTGTTCTGGCGCAGGTGCTGGTCCCACCCGAGGCTGATTCGCCTGGAGGGCCGCCCAATGAAGCCGCCGCCGCGAACAACGCTTGGGTTGCGCTCATGCGTCAGGCCGCACCCGAGCTGGATATCGAGGACGATGCGATCCAGTCAGCCCTCAAGGAGAAGGTCGAGTACTCGATGAAGTGTTTTGGAGATCTCTTTGTGCAATTGCAGGAAATGGATGCGGAGCCGTCTCTGGATACGTATGCGTATGAAACCCTCTCAGAGAGTTTGGTGACGTTCTTTGTCATTTTCATCATGCATTGATGCTCATTCATTCCACAGAAACTGGCGTCCATATGCTCCATCGCGTCTCGCAGCTTGGATGAGGAATTATACTCACGTCTCCTCTTGCTTCTGAGCGACGAGTCACCTATCTTTGACAACTTGGTGCAGGAGGCAGCCCTAAAAGCTACCATCGTCCTGGTTCATTCGTGAGTTTCGGTGTGACGTATTCGGGCTCCAAGCTAATGCCTGCTCACAAGCTTCCCTGACATTGCAGCACCCATGGCTACCCATTTACGACGCTTCGTCACTTCGCCTCTTCCCATCTTTGAGTTTGAGTTTGCGTCTGAGACACGGGCACCGCCGCCGTTGGCTGCTGCAGCCAAATGTCTGGCTGTGTGCATCAAGGTGAGCGAGCTTGATACCCTGAAATCCAGCTCACCGGTTGAAAAGCTTGCTCCTGGCGACGATCTGATTCTGTCGAACATGTACTCACTGCTCAATTACATCGCGGCCACAAGCAAGGAGATCTACGAAAGCTCAAGCAGCTCTCAGATCATGAGCAATCCGTTATACAATGGACATGATCACGCCACTATACATGCCGTCGAGTCTGGGCTGCGAGGACTGAGCGAAGAGGAGAAACGGCTTGTTGGCATCAGCACGATCTCCGTCGTGACCCGACTCGCTCTGGAGTTCAAGATGGAGGAAGTCACGAGATTGACTGTTTCGATGCTGCTGCAACGGTTGAGATCAGCTGAGCCCACGGTCGAAGCTGCTATCGCCTATAATCTTGTTGATCTTGCCTTGTTCGCGCCAGAGAGTGCGTTTGTTGATATCATCCGAGTGTTTTCGGTCATAAATCGGTCTGCGAACCCGGATGATCCCAGATTCTCGAATAACATGGTGAGTTTCCCATGAACTTCTGATCGCTGATACTGATCGATTTGCAGGTGCTTGCTGCTCAAACGCGACTTGCGCAGGAACTCGATCGCCGACCTGAGCTGTATGAGATTTATCTTGTTGAGCTCCTTACTTTGTTTGCGGACAAGGGTGTCGCCATCCAGAACCTCAAAATTGCCAATCATCATGTCAAGGTCTGCCTGCAGCTCTGCACTGGATGAACTCGCTGGCTGACTCGGTATAGACGGATGATATGATCGAGCAGTTGGCGTCTTTGCTGCTTCCCATCGATGCACTTCTATCACACGATGACTTCAATCCCCATCTCAAGGCGGAAACTGCTATTGTCTCGCTTTTTCGCAACATGTGGTTCCTGTGCATCCTTTTCGGATTCACATCGGACGACGAAGAGGCCTCAGCAATGGCGTGGCAGCGGCCCGCGCTTTCTCGTATCGCAGTCAAGACGCCGGCCACTGTGATGGAGGAGTCGCATGACTCAGTGGCAAGCAATGTGGAATACAACTCGGTCATTCGGCAGGACTACGCGAACACGATCATCTCTAAACACAAGTCCAGTTTGACAACGCACATCTCTTTACGGGCGAGCGACATCCGATCCCTGTCATCGGGTCAAATCGTCTTCCTGCTGACGATGCACGACGTCGAATCCATGAGATCGGCTGCCGGACTGCCTTCCTCGTTGGTCTCGTACTTTGTGAACGACAGTCTCAACTCGGATCCCGGTCTCAGCGTGTGCATGGAGTCGATCGCGGAGAAAGTCATCCGGGGCTCTGTCAGCAGCCTCAATGAATTGGCTGCCCAGCAAGCGCTGCCTGAGACGCTTTCGGCCGAATTGCGATCCCTGCTTGTCCACAGCACCCATCGTGTCGGCAAGGCCCGGGACATCGCGTCGAAATATCTGAACAGGCTGATCACATCATTCCCGTCATTGATGTGCGATCCTCCGCTGGTGTTTGCGATCCTGGAGGTGCTGACGCTTCTGCGGCGCGCATGCGAGAACGAATATCTGGACGAGTACAATCCCACATACGAGTTTGTGTCTGACCGGGCTGGCATCACCCTCCAAATGACGGACAGCTACACGGTACGCAACGAAATTTTGGGCCAGCTGCAGCGCAGCGCGAACAACTGGTTCGAGCTGGCGCTGGGCAGAGCCCCGGTTGAGTTGCAGTCAACATTCCAGGTCGGCTTTATTCGGCTTTATCGTTGGAGATGCTTATAAGATCACAGAAATATCTTGCGGCATCTGCAGGTTCGGAATGGACCGAGCTGGGTGCGTCCATAGCAGAGCAGTATGGGAAATCCATCGGTCCGGTGCAACGCCAGCTTGTCTCACTGGCGAGAATGTCCAAGTGGAGGACTGACGGGGCCAAGTCGCTTGTTGGCCAAGTGGCGAGCAAGAGTTACTTCGCCGGCGAGGCTGCGGGGATCCGTCTCGCAAGTCGGCAAGGCTCCGATAAACTCGAGAAGCTTCCGCCGCAGGCAGCGCCCACCTCCGAGATCGATGCGCTGAAAGCTAAGATGACGAGGACGCTGGAGGAAATCCGTCTGAAAGTGAGCGGCTCGACGGTCCAGGATTTGAAGCGCCTTCTTTTCCGATGCGCGGCGACGCTCATATCGCTCTCGACGTGTGACTATGATCTGCTGCATTTCCTCGTTGCGCTGCCATTTGCAGTGGCGACGCCCTCGGCTGTCTCGGCAGGGATCGAGATCTGGACGTGGACCATCGCCGAGAAGCCGGACATCGAGGTGGCACTGATGGCGGAGGTCGTCTCATCGTGGTCAGATAGCATCGTGGAAGAGAGGGGCATCTTTTCCACCTCGCTCAAGTATATGCTTATCTTGTCCTTCCAACCTAATCTGACGCACCGTGCACAGCTATGACGATCCGTTCTACCACCCGATTGACTATAGCCCCACGGACAAGGAGATCATCGACCGCGGCACAACCAATGCACGTCGGCTTTTGGCGCCGCACGCGCTCATTCTGCAGATGCTGTTCAGCAGGCTGCAGGCTGCAAGGTATCGTCGGCCCGAGGTGCTGTTTTTGATCCAGCGCCTGGTTCTGCGTTCGGCCCGGGCGTTCAAGAAAATGAGGTCTGGCGCCAGCTTGTGTAATCTCCGCCGTGGATGCTGATGTCAACACACACATAGCACCCATGCATTGGCGAGAGAAGCCCGGTTCACATTCTTGTTGTTTGGATTCGAGACGCTGAAGAGCTCGCATCTCGACTCCTTCTGTGAGAATCTGCTGAGAGAGGTTCTGTACTCTGTGGGATATTCGTGGTTTGCTGTTCGGCCGCAGTCAGTTGGTCTGGCCGCCACTCCGAACCTTTACTGAATCTTATACTGCAGATGGTCGTACGGTGCCAATCGGGTCCAGGTGGATGCCGATATCAAGGTCGTCTCCGAATTCTTGTCGTGTTTGCAGACAGATGCCGTGAAAGGCACTGCTGTGATTTCGAGTCTTTCCCCCGCGCAGGCCTCGTCGCGGAGCTCCCGTAAGCTTTCTAGCTCCGAAGGGCCGTGCTTTATCCTCACCTTTGGTAGAATACATCTCAAAAATGAGTGCTCTAAAGCACCCTCTGAAGCTGCTAGTCGAGAACGAAATCTACCGGCTGACGGTGTGGGCCAACCCGACCAATGACCCGAAGCGAGGATCGGATCACGTCGAGCGCGGCCTGCTCGAAGCGTCGTGGGCTTCGGTGGTGCGACAGGTGTGGGACATCGACCCGGCGATTGCGGTGCATCTCGCCGAGCGCTTCAAGAGCTATGCGGTTGTGCGCAACGAGTTGACGAAGCTGGTCAGGACCCATTCCCGCGATGTCCTGGGTACGCCGGAGGCCCTGCCGTTTTTGTTGGGAGATAAGGTGGAGGGCGGTGTTCGTCAGGATTTGAAGGTGCGTGGTTGAGGCTCCGTCGACGTGACGTCTCGGGTGATGACAGCGACGATCGCATAGTACTTGCTGCTTTGGGCGCCGGTGCCGCCTGTGATAGCCAACACATTCTTCGAGAGACGATTCAAGAATGACCCGCTGATTCTGCAATATGCGCACCGAGTATTGGAGCAGCATCCGGTCGACCTCACGTTCTTCTTCGTGCCACAAGTCGTGCAGGCGCTCCGTCACGATGAGCTCGGTGAGTAGATCTTGACTGCATCGGGTCTGTATACTAACATCGACGCAGGCTATGTGTCACGGTTCATCTCGGAAACGGCGAAGATCTCGCAGCTGTTCTGCCACCAGATCATTTGGAATATGAAGGCCAACACGTGCAAGGACGATGCTGGCGAGATCGAGGACCCGATGAAGCCTGTGCTGGATCGGATGACGGATATCGTTGTGTCGTCGCTGTCGGGCCAGGCGCGATCGTTCTATGACCGGGAGTTTGGTTTCTTCAACGAGGTGACGTCGATCTCGGGCAAGCTTAAGCTGTTCATCAAAAAGACCAAGCCGGAGAAGAAGGTATTGAGGATTGATGCTACACAAGAAGAATACCATATTGACGCTTTGTGGCACAGGCCAAGATTGACGAGGAGATGGCGAAGATCATGGTCGACGTGGGTGTGTATCTACCCAGTAACCCCGACGGGATCGTCGTCGACATCGACAAGAAGTCGGGCCGGCCGCTGCAGAGCCACGCGAAAGCGCCGTTTATGGCGACCTTCAAGGTGCGCAAGGACATGATTGTCGTGAACGAAGACCCCGAGTCGCTGGGGAACGAGACGGTGAAGACGCGGGTCGAGTACGATGTCTGGCAGCAGGCCATCTTCAAAGTCGGCGACGACTGCCGGCAGGATGTGCTCGCGCTGCAGGTCATTGCCATGTTCAAGAACATCTTCACGAGTGTCGGGTTGACGCTGTACTTGTATCCGTACCGGGTCACCGCCACGGCGCCCGGGGTGAGTGTTGTGTTGTGTCTGCAGCTGCGACGGGGGCCTAATTAGACGAATCGCAGTGCGGTGTGATCGACGTCGTGCCGAACGCAACCTCGCGTGACGAGATGGGACGCGCGAAAGTGAACGACCTGCTTGACTTTTTCATCGCCAAGTACGGCGGGCAGGACACCGTCGCGTTCCAGCACGCGCGGCTGAACTTCATCCAGTCGATGGCGGCCTATTCCGTTGCGTGCTACATCCTGCAGATCAAGGACCGGCACAACGGGAACATCATGATCGACGGCGAAGGGCACATCGTGCACATCGACTTTGGGTTCCTATTCGACATAGATGAGTGTCCCTCCTGCCTGTCCGTGTTGATGGTTGTATGCTCACCCTCGCTGAACGGCCCGGCGGCGTCAAGTTCGAGCCGCACTCGTTCAAGCTGAACCACGAGATGGTGATGCTGATGGGCGGGCGCAACTCGCAGGGCTACGCGCTGTTCCAGAACCTGACGGTCAAGGCGTTCCTCGCGATCCGGCCCCACGCGGAGCAGCTCGTCAGCACGGTCTCGCTCATGCTCGACACGGGGCTGCCCTCGTTCAAGGGCGAGGGCACCATCAAGCGCCTGCGCGACCGCTTTGCGCTCGGCCTGAACGAGCGCCAGGCGGCGGAGTGGATGATGAGTGTCATCAAGAACGCGCATGAGAATGTTAGGAGTACGGCGTATGATGAGTTCCAGCGCTTGCAGAATGGTGAGCTTTGTGTGGGTTTGATTGTTTGTCTGTGCGGCTGCTGACTCTTGGGGATAGGTATACCCTACAAGTAGTCGATGATGGACGCATCTGGAAACATGTACATATATTTCAAATATACCACCCTCGAGTACCGGGCCATCACTCACTCGCTCACACACGTGATATCATCCTGAGCATGCGCGGTTGTACTTTTCATCCTCAGTATATTAGTACTATTACTTACAATATTAATGCCTCTATTTACGCCAATTGAGCAGCCACACCTCGGAACAGATGCGACACCTTCGCCCCGATCCGCTGCACGCCAATCCCAAACCCAAGCAGCACGCCCATGTCAACCGCACCGAGCTCGACGACCGCGGCCATGAACCGCGGCGCAAACACCTTCCAGACCATCAGGTGGCGGCGCAGGATCGCCGCGCTGGCGGCCGCGCCGAGCATGAGCAGTGCGTAGTACAACATGACGCCCAGGCCGGCGACGATGCTCTCGCCCTGCACCTGGCGGTCCGCGCGGCCCAGCGCCGCGGGCAGCGGGGACCTGTTCCACAGCGCCAGCAGCGGCACGGCGAGCCCGACGAGCAGGAACGGGCCGAACGAGTTGAGCGCGACGGTCGCGGCGGACAGCGAGAACTGCATCGTCGGCGTCAGCATGAACGCGGACTTCCACTGGATGGACGAGATGGTCGCCTGGTGCCCCGTGGCGTAGAACGCGTGCAGCGCGAGCAGCGCGACGGGGATGACGTCGTTGAACGCGATGGGCGGCGAGCGGATCACGCGGGCCGTGTCGAGAAGCGCCGATGGGTTGGTCTCGGCTAGCGTTTCCCACATCCTGGCATCCCGCGCAGAGTCGACGATCTCCAGGAAAGCCACGAGCGCGATGGCGGTCAGCCCAAGAACCAACTGGCCGGTAAGCTGTGTGGTTGTGTATACGACGGCGAAGAACAGAGACCAGAAGAGGAGATATGAGGCCCCGAAAGCGTTGGCATATCCGACCACGGTGACTTGAGGCGGCTCGTCTTTCTCCATGCTCTGGGAGCGCTCGATCTCCAGACACAGAGGCAGATACCACCACAACGCGCCGCCTGCGACCACGACATAGCCCAGCGAGGACCTGATCAGCCACGTCCTAGCCCACCTCGTCAACTCCGAGTCCATCAGCTCTGCAGAGTCGAGCCATTCGAGCACCCAGAACATTGTGCCAGAGAACAGCGTCGGAGTGAGCACGAACGGCATGTATATCCTGGCCAGGCCGACATGCGATTTGGATATCCGCAAGAAGCGGCGCAAGATCACAGGCAGCGCGAGGGATGTCGGAATAGCCAGCAGGAGAACCAGAGTCGGGGGTGACGGCAGCGACGAAGACGCGTAAAAGGTCACGTGGCAGAATGGCTGCTGCTCCTCTCGGCAAACAGTGCTGACCGCGATCAACCTGACACAGACAGCAAACAGGCCGGAGAATCCGAGCAGGCGGTACCGCAGACGCCCTGAGGCTGCTGTGAGGCCCTTGAGTGCATAAGGGATGATCGAGGTCACGAGCAGGAACGTGACAATCCGGTCCTCCCAGAATGTGAACGAGTTGGAAAAGAAGGTGATCGAATGAAGGATCAGCACAACCGGAATTGATTTCCAGCTCGGGAAGGAGGGAGGTGATGAGGCTATCATGACGATGCAGCAAGCAAAAGGCGCGCCGAATAAGATGCAATCCAGCGAATCCATCCCAGGCAGATAGTTCGCCAATAGCAGGGACAAAGCAAGACCAGATATCGAGCCCACGGCAGCTCCGCGCATGTATTTCTCCAGCTGGCCGTCCAGCCACGCATCCCAGTCGTCTCCGGCTTCAGACAGCCCGGAATAGACCGACCACGTCGCCAATACACCCATGCCCAGCAGCACCAATCCGACACCCATCAAGACCGCGTTGAACTGCGCCCAGATCGCACGGCACGACGACAACGCAACACGCATGTACGACGACATGACGATCAGGCCCTGCTCCGGGGTCAGACTCGCTGCCCGGGTGGCAGTCCAGGCAGAGTTCAAAGTGTGCCACGAGTCGTCTAGTTCCCCGCCCGATGGACTGGCACGATATGCAGCAAGATAGTTTTTCACCTGCTCCACGTTGATCTCAAGAGCCCCGCTTAGATGCTCCTCTGGCGATTTGGTGCGCCAGAACAGCTCGGGAATCACGGCGCCCAGGCTATTGAACGGGATAGGGAGACCGAGCAGCAGGGAGAGAGTCGGGACGATGTCAATCTGCTGGATGTACCGATGCGGAGTGGGCGCGCCCGGAAAGGTCGTGTATTGCAAGAGGCCGGGTGGGGCCGCACTGGGGGCGGTGAGCTCGGGCCCTTTGCTGTAGATCCACATCGCCGACGACGTCTCGTGCGTTCCATCGCCTCCGTGGTCACCCGACCGGTCCATCCCATGGTCGCCCAACACGACCAAGAGCGTGTCCTCGTCCAGCAGCTCAACAACGCGCCTCAGCACACCATCCATCTGCTCCAGCTTGGTCTTCATGCTCGGGTGGTCGGGCCCGACGCGGTGTCCAACATGGTCCACGCCCAGGAAGTGTCCCACGAGGAAATCGAACGGCTTGTCGGGGTTTTCGAGGAAGGGGAAGAGGTGCTCTATGACGCCCTCGTCGACGGTGTGCAGGTCCTCGACGTTGAACGAGTCGTACGGGAACGTCATGTTCCACGCGAACGCATCGGGGAACACGGACATCCACGTGTCGTCGCCCATGAACGCGATCTTCCGTCCACATATGAGCCACGCGGAAGCACACACACACCGTAAATGAACCCGGACGCACCCGCTTGCCCGCCAGCCCGAGCTGCTTCACAATAGAGTCCTCGGCGATTGACGACCCGCCAAAGTTGTTCCCGATGTCCACGAAGGTGGGCAGCGAGCCCGTCGTCAGCGCCTTGATGCGCTGCAGCGTCGCGGTCGGCGGGTCCGAGTACGCGTCGAAGAGGAACGAGTGCCGCGGGTGCTGCGCTGTCAGCTCAGCGGGGAGCGTGAGGATGTGGTGGTGGTGCGGCGACAGGGGCACGGGCGGATGGGGGGAGACGAAGTCGAACCGCAGCGCGTCGATGATGAGGAACACCGCGCGCTTGTGCGTTGCGGGCAGAGTGCATGGTGGGGAGGACGCGGCGGAGCAGGATGTGTGATTCGATAGCGAGAGACGTGTTAGCAGGAAGCCGTTCGTGAAAAGATATATCCCGGCTAGGTGGATGAGTGTTATCAGCGAAAGGATGGCAAAACCTCTCGAGAAAGCCATCTCAGGACCACTGGTTCCCTGGGCGGACTAGAAAGAATAGCAAGTTCGGCTGTCTCAGCAGAGACGAACGAGCGAAGAAGGACGTATCCAAAACAAGATTTAGGCTATCACAAATGAGGGTACACGGCACGAGTGTTGCCAGAAACGGTCTGCGCCCTCGGAACCAGTGTTTTGAGTTCAAATGAAGCAGAGAGGTGAAGATCAAAGCCGTGTGACAGCGCGATCAATCTCGTTCAGCTACAACCGTCATGGCGATCTATGGGCTCTGGGTGAACTGCACCGCGTTGGCCACTACTCCACCACCGCTTACGGACATTCCACTAGGTCATCAACAAAGCCGGCGGACTCGTCTATCAGCGCAACTTCGCAGGTGCATCCGTTGTCGTCTCGTCCAGTCCCAAACCGCTGCCCTGACACGAACGCGAAGAGGGCTTAGCGCAGCTGACGTCGAACGAGTATCTCGTCCTGGCGGGAACGCTGCACGGAATCCACGCGATTACCAGCCGTCTGTCGCCCACGGGGCCGAGTTCCGGTGCGCAAGTGATCGAGGGGGAGTCGTTCAAGATGACGATCCTGCTCACGGCAACGGGTGCGTGAGCGTCTCTCAAAGCCGCGCCGACCCCGAGACTAACCGTGCACCTGCCTGCTCCCAGGCACCAAATTCGTGCTCATCACGTCCCTGGCGGAGGTCAGTCCCGACAGCACCCTGCAGAAGGTGTACGAAGTCTACTCCGATGCGGTGATGAAGAACCCGTTCCACACGCCCGAGATGCCCATACGCAGTGAGGGATTCGACACGCGCATAACGGCGCTCATTGGCAACGGCCACGGCGCCTGATCGTGAGACACCCAGCGAGCCCCATGGACCCTGACCGCTTTGTATCGTCCGACTGCGAGTCCCAGGGTACCGCTGTGAAGATTGGAACAAGGCTCAATACCGTCGCGGAGTTCACGCGCGAAGATGAACGAGGTGTCATGCGCATCGGCGGGGGTGCTGTCTCAACGATTGGGCACTGGTGCAGGTGAAGGGAACGGGGCAAGATACCATTGATAGCGGAGCATAGAGATACGTATAAGAGATGCACCACAAACACTAGTTACAAGCAGGGAAACAGTACTGATTGTAAGCAACGAAGTATCAAGCAACCGCGGATGGTCTCCGATCCGAGCGCTGAACGATAAATCAGTTGACGAGGCAGTCCGGAAGGATGCTGCATTTACGGCAAGAACTATCCGCAGCTTGAGCGCAAGTCAGAGCCCAAGTGCAGGAAGTCGAGCTGGTGATGCATCCATCGCCAGAAATGGGCCACGAGTTGGGCGTCTTGCCCATGCACCCTCCATCCTTCCATCTCCGGGCCTTAAGGTCCCGTCAATCATCGCAATGTTTCTCACGGTCGAGTGGGTGGTACAGTCACGGCCGTTTTAAAAGGCCCAACCCAAATCGGGAAGGAGCCTGGGAAGTGCCGTCAACTGGCTGATCACTGAAGTTTAGATAGAATCTGGCCATTGTCCACAATATGTTGTCTGCTTCTGTTTGGATTTAGGATGAATGTATTAGTTTTAGCTAGAATTTGGTGCGCTAGACCTGCTGTAAATATATTTGAGCTGAGGTTGATGGCGCCTTCCTAATTTGGGTTGGGCCTTTTAAAACGGCCGTGACTGTACACCTGGCGTCTCTTTCGGGAAAGTGGCTTATTCAGCAAAAAAAAAAAACAGCCTACGTAGTACTGTCTTTCATGCATTCTGACACTACGGGCTTCAGCGACAGAGCCTGAAACACCAGCGGGAGCTGCCCTGCGATATCCGCCACAGGCGTCAGCGTCAGGCCCATGCGCACCTCCATGCGTCCGACGACAGCCGGTACAAAGTAAAGCAAGTCCACCAGACATCCAACAAAGAAGAACAGGACCCCCAGACGGTAAGCCCCTCCGAATCGCCGCATTCGATGATTCAGCAGCATTTGTGCGAGGGTCCCGGTTGTGCGCAGACAGACGGCCACAGCAGCGAAGAAGCCGCGGGTCGGATTTTCGGCTGTGGACTCGCCCAGACGTGCCTGGGGCACGGTGGTCGGTAACAACGTGACCGTGTCTGGGTCGAGGGCGAGGTAAAGCACGACAAGCGCCGCGAAGACCTGAGAAGAGAATGAGCCAACCTCGGCACCTGCTTCTTGCGCTGCGCCCAGAGACAGCCACGCACCGCGATCCAGATCCACGGCGGACAGCGCTGATCGAGCCTGTGCGTAGCGCGCTCCCGGTCTCGCGCGTGACTGGCTGTGAATGATGGATACCAGCGCGTCCATCGAAAGACACATCTGCACATCAGATACGGCGTCAGTAGAGCCATAGGCAACAACAGCGATCGGGAAAGCGCTTTCGTCCATCGAGTCCAGGATCGCACCCAGAGCGCTGCCAGTCGCAAGAAAGGCTGCAGACTCGGTGCTGATACCGCTACTCGACGTCCGGGCGAGCCAGTAATGCACTGTTGAACAGCTCGAAACGAGGATCGAGATCGCGCTGTGAGAAGATGTTAGACACTGCCGATGACGAGGGACAGCAGACACACGAAAGTGACTGGATGAAGATCCGCCGACGAGGGTGAGCATCGTCATGGAAGCGGTGGCCAAAGGCACCATCTAGAGGCCTCACAGTCAACGCAGTACCGTATCCACACAATTCGCCCCTACTCCATAATTCAGCCGTATCCTGTTGGGATATTCTAGCCAAGGGGCTGTCTGAGAACTCCTCCGGCTCAGGCGCCACAAAATTATCCGCTAGCGTTTGGTGCGTGGGCGAGACAACGGAGAAAGCGATCCGCCACATGACATCCACGAAATCGTCGTCAGATCGACCTGGGCGACACTTCTCTTGGAGAATGGGGACGAGGTCCTATTTATGCGTCTGAACGCAAAAAGCCGTGCCTATCTGGAGAACGAACCATGGGTCCTGTGGCGTGCTTCTTGGTATCGAGATAGAGAGCATAAGCAAATTGCTGCCGGATTCCATCGTCCGTGGAAACTTACAGCTCGACCAAGGATTGGAACACGCCCGTAGACTTGAAGGTCCGCTGACAATGGTTCAAACTGCGCCCGAGTCCAAACCGGCACTGTCGGCGGTCATCAAAGGAGGAAAGCACTGCCGCAAGGTGCCTTACAGCTTTCCGTTGCACAACGTGGATAGCAGCTCTATATGCGGCAGCGTCCAAGTGCCCGGTCTCCCGAACGACTCTCAGTTGTGTCCTGGCCAATGAATCAATGAACGTGCTTACTCGCCAGCTGAACAGCGACGCACCGGGTCACGACATGCGGCCGACTGCTTCCCACAACAGCATTCCCCGAGGATTCCTCAATATGACCCTCGAGCGGGCATTTCTCGACCACCACGTCGCGCATTTCGAGGAGCGGAATCGATACAGAGAACGACTCGATGACGTCATCGCGCGCCGTCTTCCTCTCTCGTGCGTGCCCTCGATACTGCACAGAGCGCGATAACGGTGCACAAGCGTGAGCAGAATCAAGGATATGGCCGAGCGGGCGGCCGTTGCGCGTACACCGCCGGCGGCATCCACGACGAGAAGCCCACAGCGTGGTCCACCAGCGACGGGGACGCGGGGACGAGGACGAACGCCGCGCGGAGGTCGGATGGCGAGGCCACGGACGCAAGGATTGGCTGTGTGGGGATGCGCAGGGGGACGCGCGCCGAGGCGTGTTTCGTGGAGAGGCGCAGCCCGCGCAAGACGACCTCTGAGAGGAGCGGTACTTCGCGCGCACCCGTGTGGCTGTCTTCCTCTTCCTACCCCTCCGAGTCGTCGTTGGGCGCACGCATCCACACGGCGACCGCGATGTCGAAGGTGTCGTTCTCTGAAATGAGCGGTCGGATGCTATCCAGATCCGCGGCGCCTGACGGGAGCGCCGGTGCGTAGAGAGCGCGGTGGAGAGCGCGGATGTTCAGTACGAGAGAGACCAAGTGCGGACCCGCAAACCAAGCAGCAAGGCAAAGGAGCAGAGATGCTACTGCAGCGGTCGTCCTGCATAGACACTGACGGACCGAGGGTCGACGAGAATTCAGGGCAGGAGTTTTCGTTGTCTCGTAGATGCCTGTGCTTTCTTCATGCATTGGACAGATGGTGGATCAGGGGAGCATTGCGTCAGTTGCAAGCGTGAAGGATAGATTGATCGGAGTCTTCGGGAAAACCCGATACCGACGGGTTTTGCCGAGTGGCGCATGTGTCGAACATTCAAATTCACACCCATCTGGTCGAGTTCAAAGTGATGGATGTCATGTACGTATATGATCCACCTATATGCACTCATAAATAAGTAAGTGGTGCTCTACTACTCGAGTGTCTGGTCAGAATCCTATAGACTCGGAGGTGTTCCGTCGTTTCTCTTGATGAAGGCAATCGACATCATCATCAGTCAGATCGCTGTATTACGTATGAGCATATTCTGAGGCTGCATTGGCACGTTCCACGCACGGAGAGTATTTGCGCTTGAGAGATATTGCAGAATCATCCTGCACTACCAAGCGGGAGTCAACGCCACCGCTGACCCTGCAATTAGATCAGATCGCTACCCGAGATTGTACCGTGATAGTGCACTCACAACGTGCTGAGAGAGTGGTGGGATTTGCTTCTTCTTAACTTGCGCCCACCAGGGGATCTGTATTGGCTGCATTTCAGTGGAGTTGAATTTCAAATTGTACCTCCAGGTTCAACGAGAATCACATACGATCCCACTTGGGCAGTCGCGATCGGCGGTTCAGGCACCGAAGTCCCTGGACATGATGCGATGAGCATTTTTCTGGCACTGACCAGATACGCGCCGCACAGACTAGAAATGCATCTCATCAGCACGCAGGTGGCATGGCGCTCGAGAAACGGCGCACCACGTCCGACTCCCCACCCGACTCCGCCTCTCCTCAACCAGATTCCCGCAAAGCTCATCGCTAGACATCTCCCGCGGCCTCCGCTCCCTCTTGAACACGTTCCCGGATCGCAGAGCTTTAGCCGCCGTCCGCCGACACGATAGGGCGCGCAGCTTTTCGGCCTCCGTCGCGCCCCGCACAGCCACGCGCAGGAGCTGCCTCAAGTGCACCTGCTTCAGAACCGATGTGTGGGGTGCCTTTCTCGGCTCTGGGGCTGCTGGGACCGTGGATGTCGCATGAGCCTGGGAGGGTGGCAGGCGTGCATTGGGCAGGCTGTAAGCCAAGCGGGCACGGTCTTGGGCGCGGAAAGTGGGTGTTAGATGGAGCATTTGGTTTCCAGCAACATATAGTCTCTGGTCGAAGTTTTGGAGAGCGGGGGGACAGTGACACGACAAATACTTTGACGAATAGCATCACGTGATCGCGATTGAAACAGCTGGTTCAAAGGGATCGAGTCGGGATTCCAAAGGCCTCTTTGTCGCGAATGAGCGGCTGATATAGGGAGAGCGTGCGCGACATAAACAGCTCCAAATGCACAATTTGCGGACAAGACTTCAGCAAAAATCGCATGGAGTTAGCCTCTTGGAACATACTATATGCGACTGGGATCTTGGCCACCTAAGACCTCTTTACGTCCTGTAATACGTTAGTCTGATTGTATCATCCTGCTGAGTGGTCAAAAGATGACCTAGGGTCTAGGGAGTAAGGCGCAAGTTACTGATTGCTGATATCATCACCGGTTCTCGCTCAGTGAATATTTTCCCGCGGCGACTGCCAAATGGGATCGGACGTGGCAGTTGACCGGACGTGGGAAAATGGCAGCTGCTGGGCTGATTCTGCCTCTTCCTCGTTCCTCTCGACATCTGGCGCTATACCGCTTGTTCTCGCCCACCAAATGACATTCTCTACATCTAAACTACGACTTTTCTCTCTCATTTGATGCTGTCAGCCCCTTTTTAATGAGGTTTTTTCGCTTGGGAAGCTCAAGAGGGTCCTCCAATCCATGTCGTTGGAGGTATTCATCCATAGCAGTACAGTCGTCCACGGTCCGCAGGGGTTCCCAAGTTACGTCTTCATCTTCCCATACCACCATCAGTTGGAGCTCCTTGCGTTCGTACCATCGATGTCCATTGATGCACACTATGCTGATCTCTCCATCCTCCTCCTCTTCCTCCTCCTCGACTTTGTCTAGCACCCGGGCCACTTCTGTATTGTATTCTTCCTCGGATTCGGGCTCGTCCTCGGAATCGGGAAGAGCAATGGATTCGTGGTCGCTATCACCATCACTGTCAGTTTCCGACTCCATGCCCTCGCTGCCACTGTGACTCCGCACCCCGTGCGGTGCACTGCCTTGTCCATGTCCGTGTCCGTGTCTGTGTCCACCTCCCCTCCCATGGCCTCTCCCACCTCCTCTTCCACGGCCTCTCCCACGGCCTCGGGCCCTGCCAACACCTCGCAATGCTGCCGCCTCCAACCTCTGCGCTGCTTTCTCTGCCTTCTTGGCCGCTTTTTCAGTTTCCTTGGCCGCTTTCTGGGCTTGAGCTGCGGACTTCTTCATTGCGGCAAGTCTCTTCTTCAGCTCGGCATGCATCGCTAACATTTTCTTCTTCTGCTCGTCCAACAGCAAGGCTGCAGTCATCTCGTCTCCAGTCATCAAGCGTGAAGCTCCAGTGTTGTATGCACGCTTTGGTTTGGACTTCTTGTTGAAGAGCTGCTGCCGGAGACGCTCATTCTCGGACTGCATGAGGATCAGCTGTGCGTGATTCTTTTCAAGTTCATGCCCGGCTTGCTCAAGCAATCCTCGTAGCTCCTCATTCCGCTCCTTCCATTGATCCCGTGACGCGTTCGCTGGTAGTGGGCTCGGCAGTCCAATTTTGTAGCGAGCGGATCTTTCGTTGGTGACAGGTGGGTGCGCGACAGTATCTGAAGAGGCCGCACTGACCGCACTGGTATTCTCAGTCTGACAAGGAGATCCGGAGATGGCAGGCAATGTCCTAGAAGAATCAAGAGTGCGGTCAACGGTGTCGTGGAGATGTGATGCTGCATCAGGAGCGGGATCGACTGTGTCGGAATGTGAGCATGCAATCTCTGCAGCCGGTTTGAGATGTTCAGGTTCTACAGGGACTAAAAGACGAGGCAGGGTGACTTTGACTGGCTGGGCCTCCTGGCTTGTGTAGTTCTCGGCTGGCGCAAAGAGCTCTATTGGGATGGCATCTTCATTCAGTGGGTGGATTCCGCACTTGCGGAATGCATTGCAGATGGTCTGCTTCTTGAAAGCAAGGTCTCTCGCTTCACTGTAGTTCTGAAGAAAGTTATACTTGTCAATTACGCGCGCATGGACACTTTCCTGAGAATGAAGATTAATCCTATCCAGTATGAAGCGTGAATGAGCACGTACCGAGAGAACCTGCGCTTTCCACTTCTTTGCTAATGGCCCGAAGACTCCAACATCACATGGCTGAAGTGCATGTGTAGTATGCGATGGCAGACAAACCACAATGATTCTATGATCTCGTGCGAAGATGACGAAATCGTAAGTGCAGTGGCTGTTATGCCCGTCAAGAATGAGCAGGCAATATTCATCGGAATTGTTCAAACGTTGCTTGGTTTGTGGATGGAAGTCCTTTCGTAACCAGAGTGAACCAAGTTCTTGATCAGTCCATCCATTTGGTGACAATGAAATGCTAGAAGTTGCTACGTGAGCACATCATCTGTTCTCTGCAGCTAGACAGTGAATCCCACCTTGCGTTACATGGGTTGTTCTGTCCCCATCGATTATCACGACGTAAGCCCTGAAACACTACCGCAGGATTGAGAACCGTCCCATCTGCGCAGATGCATTCAAGAATGGTGACAAGCTCGCGATTACCACTTGCTATTGCCTGGACATTCTTTTGGTCCCGATCAACGACAACCGCAATCCGTCCAGCAACGCCAAGCTGTATGCCTTTTTCATCCATATTGTAGATATTCGCCGGCTTGATTTGATATTTGTTGATGACTTCACGAAGCATAGCAAAGTATGAGTGTACAACGGGTTTCACAAGTGATTTCGCCCTGCATTCTTCGAGTGGTGTTGCAATTTTCACCTACAATGATATGAGCATAAGTATCTACTCATTCCAGACCATTTGAGCCGTACTCTGAGCTCCTTATGACGAGCTTTGAAGCGCTTGCTCCAAGTCTTCCCTAGTTCCTTCCCTGCAATCTGTGATGCGTACACAGTGATCATGTCCATTGTCAATGGAATGCCGCGATATCCCAAAACCTATGGGGTGAGTCAGAGCAGAATCACGTAGTAGTTTATGCTTCAACGGACCTTGATGAAATCGACGAAGACCGTCTCCTCTGCATCACTAACTGCACGCTCCTTTGCATGAGCTTGTACCCGATTCTGGAGACCCCTCATGCGATTGGCGACTGTGCCTCGGTTTACCCGATAGAATGTGCATGCTTTTCGCTGTGAGACACCTTGCTGAACGGCAGCAATCGCAAGGTTCTGGCGTTCGAGGAGCGGGATTCCTTGAAGTTCGGCATCGGTGATCTTGTCGAAGTCGCCCAGGATTGCGGTCAATGTGTCATCATCCAGCTCCTCGATGTCATCCGAGCAATTGCTGATCTCATCCGGCATCTGGAGCTCGTTGTTGGGTGCGGAGACCGAGGGCAGAAAAGAGCGATAGCGAGAGAGGAAGGCGGCGGGGAGGCAGGGTGAATTTGGGAACACCAATCACCGCTGACGCTCTCGTTATTCTGCGTTCAGCAATGGCATGGCCAGTTTGAGATGTCCGTCATTCAAGGTTAGTTGCCTGCAGGTGACGGGGAACTTGCGTTGACATCATTTGCTGGGGCACGTTTTGCGTGAATCGAAATGATACGAATGGATAAAGGGCCAGTTTCTTCATTCAAGCACAGATTCTACACATGCATCGTCTAACTCTCCGCCTGCAGCTGAGAGGCCGTCAACATTTGTGATTGTAAGCATGAAAGACAGGAAGCGTACCTCTCTGTTCCCCTCCCGTTGCTCCCGTTCAACAGGCCCGCATTAAACAATTGGGATATGAAGGCTGTTCGGTTCGGAGGCGCTCTAGTGTTAGTAGTGTGAGGAGGATTGAGCGGGAGGGTGTTGTCCACGCAGGCAAGCTCAGATCTCATCTTCGATAGCCCTGGGCATAATACTGGGGATATCAGTGGGCATTATGTTAATAAAGACTCACCGTGAATGTATCTTGAGCCATCCCATGATCCTCGGCCTGCTCGCGTCGCAAGACGCACTCGTCAAGGAGGTGCAGGCACTGCACGTGCAGCTGGCATCCACGCCAAATTCCCCCGTGGAGACCGAAATGTCTCTGATTGAGGGCGAAGCAGCCGTGCCACGGTCGGACTCGTGTCCCATAACCTGACAAACACGAGGCGCTGTGTTTTGATGCACGAACTGGAATAGAAGACCTGTATAACATATTGAGACTTGAGGCAAGGTTTCGGAAGCACTCAAGGTCACGGAAAAGCGGATTGACAAAGACACGCACCACCGCTATCAAGTTCAAGCCATTTAAAAGCCGGCACCATGACATTGTGGTGCTCCCGGTCACCGTGGTAACTGGCAACTAGATAAATTCGTTAAAATTATGTGAGCTATGGATTATGAAGGTTTGAAACATACAGAATGGCCGTGTGAAGTTGCAGAGGAAGAGCTGCATCCGTTCCGCAGCAACAGGACATTCGCCTCGATGCTTTGGGAGCTTGTTTTCGATAGCGTGAGGCTGGCCGTGGTGGCAGTTGTGCATGTCACGAGAGAAGTCACAATTGGAATCTGTGGTCATGAGAGAGCTAGGACTCCGCCAAGTCGAACGCGTATAGGTTGGCCATGGTGATGCACAAGAGGGTTAGCGAAAGCGTCATTTCTCAGTAAAGCGCCCCTACCAAAATAAGAAAATCGGACCGTTCCCACCCGATCACATTGGATGATTGCTTCCCACAGATGATTAGTGGCATCTACTAAGTTGTCGCGTTGCTTAGGGGGGTATTCGAGGTCGCTCTTACGTTCTAGCTACACAGATTTAGACGAATCCCTCTGGTTATCCTTATAATCCCTAAATGGCTAAGTACCTAGGGTGGTCAACTACCCAGTCGCATATAGTACTTCCTTTCGCGAGATCGAGTCACGTGTATGTGACAGGACGCGTCCACGGTGGGTCATTAATCCTTCCCTTATACTAATAGATATAGAATATACAGCTGGTCTATGACGGCGCCGCCGCCTCGTCGCGATACCCCGGCGACGAGCGGCCATCTCTCGGCGGATACCCAGGCGTGCCGTTGTCCTCGTCGTCATCCAGGAACCCCGAATGGAATCCCACGTGCCGGTACGGCCCGGTGCGCAGGCCCGTGCGCTCATCGGCCTCGTCCGAGTCCATGGACCCGAAGGACCGCCGGTCGGGCAGCGGCGAGATCATCTGCATCGGCACGTTCCCCTCCGGGAGCGCGAGGTACACCGTCGGCCGCGCCTTGACTGCCCAGTTCCAGAGCATCATGCCACCGACGAAGCAGACGAGCGTCAGCACGATGATGGCCCAGACGAGTTTTCGCTGCATCGCCTGGAACAGTTTCGTGACGTTGGAAGTGCTGGGGGAGGCGGAGGGTTTGGCAGACGAAGTCGCTTCTGCTGCGTCGACTGCGCCTGGAGTAAAGAGAGCCGTCGAGGAGCCGGTCGCCGTCGCTGTCAACGATGTCGGGGTCGCGAGCGCCTCTTCCGACGTCAGATGCACCGTCGGCTTGACATACGACTTGGTGCTGGCAACAGATGTCGTGGCAGTAGCACCGGCAGGCCCTGAATTGGACGATGCCTTGGGCACAGCATCGGGCCCAATCGGAGGCAGAAGAGGCTGTTGATCCACCAGATCGTACAGAACAGCTTTGAGAGGGTCGACGACGGATCCCCAGAAGACCATGTTCCATCCAAGCAACGACCCATGGTGCTGTTCTGAGCGCTGGTCAGTCACACTCAAAGTCCAGTCGCCAACCATGTCTTCGCCCCTGTCGAAAAATAAGCCCGCGGGTAATCAAGTCTGATCACTCAGACAAACCAATGTTTGATGGTCATAAAAGTCCAGCCGGGGTACCCAGTCCTTGCGCCGTCCCCTTGTCGCTTCTCTGCCAGTACGCTCTTGATTCCATTGGGACTGGTTAGGGCGACCTCGACATCCCCTCGTCGCGAGTGATCAATCCAGACTCGCACAACGATATGCTCCAGCTTCTCAAAGTTCGCTTCATGAAGCATGTCCCAGTCAACAGAGATGACACTCGACGCTCCCCCAGCCCCGATGGCCTTGCCACCGGTGTAGTTGGCCATCGAGCTCATCAACCCGCCATCCACCTGGACCGTCCGCGTTGCCATCCTCGCCTGGGGCTTGACGAGTTTCCAGTCCAGTGCAGCTTTGACGTAGCGGGCGCCATCCAAAGCACCATACCCGAACTTGGAGCTGTATTTGCGCCCGGACGCAGTCACTTCCCAGTCCTCGTCGTCCGGGTTGATCATCCGGGCCGTCTCGACGCACAGATGCTGGACATCCCGCCACGTCAGCTCGGGTCTCGCTTGCAGTGCAAGCGCGAACACCCCGACAGCATTCGGCGCGGCAGCCGACGTGCCGCCATGCGCGGACGAGCATTGGTTTTCTCCTTTGTCGGTGGTGACCTGGTAAGGTGAGCCTGGAAAAACTTTTGAAAGCCGTGAAGAACGCACGATCGTTTTCCCGCTCCCGGAACTATAGGCGACCACCATGTTAGCAGTGCACCCCTCAGAGTAATACGGGCGCAGTCCCTTGTGGTCCACGGCAGAGACAGTAACCGAGTAGATGCTGTTCGTGTAACCGTCGAAGTTGCACTGGTCGCCCGACATCGCGCCATTGCCCGAGGCGAACACAAAAACAGAGCCCTTCCCGCCCCGACCGTTGTTGATTCCGTTCACCACAGCTTTCTGGATCAAATAGTCAGGTCCCTCCATCACAGCGCCAGAGTCCGTCGGGCCCCAGGAGCACGAGTAGATCGACACATTGTGGTAACCGTAGTTGAGCGCCGCGGCCTCGTCCACGTCCGAGATCGGACCGGAGAGGATGCGCACGCCTGCGACTTTGGATTTATACGCGATGCCCAAGCCGCAGACAGCGTTCTTCCCAGCCGCGACCTGCCCGGCGCATCGTGTGCCGTGGGTGTCGTCAGACAGCTTCGGGTACGGCAGGGCTTGGTGGTCGTTGAAGTCGTATGAGGATGCCGCATCCTATCCCCATCAGTCGTCTACGCAACAGCACAGAGCGTCCACGCACTCACAAAGTTGTCTTTCAGATCCTCGGACGTGTAGTCCAGCCCGTCGTCGACAAACGACGAGATGACGCCTTCGCCTGTGTAGCCCATGTCCCACACGGGGACGACGTTCATCGAGTGCTCGGGCTGCTCGTCGTTCACCAGATGCCATTGCTGCGTGAACAGCGGGTCCTGGAAGCCGAGCCGCGTCGCCACCGCCCGCGAGTCCTCACCACCGGTCGGCTGCTGCGGAATCGGCGCACGTCGTGCACGCTGTCGAGGGACCTGACGCGAGAGGTATTTGATCGCCCGACCCGTACGCAGATGCAGCTGTCCACCATCGCCATCGCCGCCGTCGCGACCGTCATCACTGCGACTCTGCAGATGCGGCTGCCCAGCACTCAGCCGCGCATACGCCGCCATCACATAATCCGGCTCGTCCTCGTCCTCCGCCCGCGCAGCGATCCGCGGCGTCCGCACCAGCCAGTGATTCGGGAGCTCCCCGGCCCTGTCGACGACCTCCACGCCCAGGACGCGCGCGACGTCACCCAGGGAGGCGTGTCCCGGGTCGACTTCGACCACGTAGTACGCATGGGAATCGTAGTTCCTCCTTGAGTTGGTGTGTACGGAGATGGAGAAAGGAAGTTGGAGAATTAGGAGGGAGAGAGAAAGGAGCGTTTTTAGTGACCGCATTGGTGCGCCGGTTTTGACCGTCGCACTGCGCGGTGAGAGAGAGAGAGTTTAGAAGAGTGGGGAAGCTGCGGCAGTGCCTCCGCTGTCAGTGAGCGTTCACAGCCACCGATCGCTAACTTATTGCCGCCGGCTTTGATTGCTTTTCCAGGGACTGGGAGCCGTGTCCCGAAATGCTGCTCTCAGAGTCGAAGTTCTGGTGATTCAGAGCGATGATTGTGGATACCGGGACTCAATCTGGATGCGTCATTTGTTGCGTCCACAGGTCCGGTGGGGCCGGTGCACGGCACACGGGACAGTGCGCATGAGGGGAAGGTGTGGAAGACACTCGTCAGAAACACATCATCCTGCCAGTTCGCAACCTTTGAACGGCCCGAATTCGGAGAAATATTGGGGGAGACGACCATCGTTTGGTAGCCCCATTAGCAGCAGCAGCGGAAGTTGCATGTCTTGGTGACAACTAACGACTCAGCACTCATGGACGATATCAAGGTTGATTGTGCCGCAGCTTAGCGTTCATATATACAGACTGAGCTCTGGTGGTGAGATTACACCGTCTTACAATTCCCTCACGCGTCTTTCGCTAGGATCTCCTCCACCCGCCGCACCTTGTGGTCATTGCCTGTCCCAGGCTCAATGGTCCTGTCGACACGCGTCCCGATGCGGATATCCGTCGCGATCCGGGGCGCACCCGCAGCGTGGACGGCCGCATGACAGGCTTCGATGGCTGCCGAGACTTGCGTCCAGGGACCCTCTGTGGAAGCCGTGTTGGATGACAGAGGTCGATGATACCTGTCAGAGCGTACCCAGGTTCGTGCCGTAACCGCTGGACGGCCAGATTGCATAAGCTCTGGCCAGGTCGGAAGATATTAGATAACGCACTGCATCTATGTATCACACCCCGTGAGCAGGCAGGAGGATCGACACGGGTCTTGTGGGCAGACCTTGTACTGTAAACCAGATTTTTCGAGGACGCGCTGACATTCTGCGATGTAACTCGCTACCGAGGGCTCCCCAGTGCCCATGGGGATGAGGCAAAAGTCTTTCTGCGTGAACTTATGAAAACGGATGCAGGGGAATGAATACCAGCAACGGCATATAGTTCATTGGACTGGGACATGATGGTGGGTGTCGGCTAAGATGAGGAGTTACTATATTTGTACTTGTCTCCAGCCCCCATGTCTGTTCAGTCGCGGATACACACCTTCGAGACACTGAATGGTGGCGGCACAATAGGGCTGCAGAGTCCTCTCTCCCCCAAAGTCATTCCATCGACGCCACCCAAATTGTCACCATCGCCGTCACCCCCCAACCTGGGGCGCAAGTCGTCCCTCATTGACCTCAAGATCGACTTGAAGGATTGGGTACTCGACGACGGGTCGCCTCCGCGCGCAAATGGATTCAGCGGGGCTTATGACGATGCGTTGATACACTTTTCGCCGCCCAAACCATCCTCGGTGAAATCACAGAAATCAGGGAAAGCACCCCCCTTGCCCCCGAGGAAACCTTCTTTAGCCAGTTTGAAGGGCGTGTCCTCCCTTCCGCCGACGTCCAGCCCCGCAGCGGCGCCGCCGTTGCCTCGGCGAGGAGATTCTCTGACTGTAGAGCATACGTACCCACCAAAGCTGGGCGGGACGTTGACGTTGGACATTTCCTCGACCAATCGACACACGCACGGCTCCTCCATCTCTTCTTTCCACTCCGTGTCGCTGTCGGACAAATCTCCCAGTCCCGTCACAACTGTCTTCCCGCAGCACGAGACCGGAAGCTCCAACTCGGAATCGTTCGAGGAATTGTCCGCTTCGGCAGCCATCGCTAGTCCTGCGACCGCGAAGATGATCGCGCAAGACTGGGAACGGGCGATGGAGAGGCGGCAGCCACCGAAGCTCCCCATGCGTCCTCCACCCGTGACGACCTCGCCCCCCTCCGCACGCCGAGCGCCCCCACCTCCTCCCTCCGACCGGGCGTCGCTACGAAGCGTCGCCTCGGCGTCCTCGTCCACATCATTCTCCTCGACGACATCCTTCTCCTCAAGCATGTCTACGCCTGGGCCTTCGTCGTCCTCTAAATTCGACGCACTCTCGCGGCCGCCCCCAGTCCCGCCGGCCCCTCGTCGGCGATACGACGGCCTGTTCACGAGCCTCGTTGCGACACATTCAAAACCCGCCCTTTTGACCCCTGCCCAGCCCACGAGGCGGCGCGGCTGGCGTGGTCTTTCTGTTGATCTGATACGTGATCCCAATGATCCAAGCAGTCCATCATCCCCGATGTCCCCGATGTCCCCGCTCGAGGACGATTCTGTCTCACCCGAACGTCTGCCTGCTGCTGTGATCAAGGTTCTGTGGACACGCTCCAAGCTGCCGCGGCCGGTGCTGAGCGCGATATGGTACGATACCTTTTTGTCTTCCCGCGCCATCAAATAACCTTTTTCGGACAGGAACGAATGCGACCCAGGACGAGCTGGTTCGTTGGATCGAGATTCGTTTATTAGAGGGATGTGGAGGATCGACGAGGAGCTGCGACATGCGCGAGATGCCCGCGATGGACTGCTAAGTCCTCAGGGCAGTCTGCGGCGGTCGAGGAGGTAGCTTTACTGTATGCTATATATGGGTTGTCAACATGCACACACTCGTTCCCATGGACTAATTAGGAAGGTCGCGGCGGATCGATGCAATATACTAAATCCCTGCACTACATAGGCCATAGATTACAACATAAACATATACATACAAGAAATCACGTCAAGGTCCTACGGGGTAGTGATAGGCTGTCCAAAAGAGCCTCATCCATTCCTGCGTCTTTCGCCAGAGGTTTTCAAGCTGGGTTTGTGTGTCCCACGACTGGAGCCACAAAGCGAAATCGACGTGAAACGGCCTGTACACTGTGACGCCGGAGTCGAACGGCGGGGGCTGGGCTTGTCGTGTCGGTAGCGCCGACGGGGTCACGGTCACAAAGGTTGTTTCTGAGGATGTTGAAAGACTCGGAAGTTCGCTCGTTGTCGTCGTCGTCTTCGTCGTCGATGCTGTTAACTCGGAGATCATGCCCTCCGTTTGAAACCACGGCTTGCGGCTGGACAAGGTCTGGTAAGCAGTCGACGTGATAGTCACAGTCTCTGTGGCCAATGGGGTGTCTTCCGCCGGTCGTGCTACCTCGGCCAGTGCCATCTCAAGGCGAAGATAGCCGAAAGAGACGAGCAGCCAGGGAATCAGAAATAGCAAGAATTGACCCAGGGAGTAATAGTGCAGATTTGAACGCGCGCGGCGTTCAGGCCGGACGTCAAATGAGATATGGGGATAGAAGAATGGCTCCAGCGAGTAGTGAAGCAATCTCCCAGGCTGCTCATGGGCGAAGTTAGACCGCAAGGAGGAGATTTTGGTTCCTGTTTCGAGAAATGAGCAGACCGAAAGAGAAAATAAAGAGAGCATACCTTCGATGTTCTCGATGTTGACCTCGAGCCTGCCCACAGGCAGACCAAACGACGGGAGATGGACGTCCAGGCTCTTGCCCTTGCCCTTTCTGTCGCCCTTGACGATATAATCAACGACAACCCGCCCGGTGTTTGCCGACCCAACGCGTAATCTGATCCAGCTGACCCATTCCAGGCCGCTCATCTGCTCAAACACAAGCCCCTTCTCGTCCTGGTGCATGGTCATGCTCGTCTCGTAGAATATAGGCACGTCGTCAACCGTCGCATTCACAATCTCGATCTTCGGTGGTCCGCCAGCATCGGCGCCGTGCTTTGCCAAACCAAATTCCACCCAGTCCGAGTCGGTGTCCGCTGGTGCGGCCAGTGTCACGCGCACAGCATAGCACGTCGGAAGAGGCTCAGAGCTAGTCACGAGGGGTGTCACGTCCGCAACGACGCTCGGAATCATCAACTTTCCCTCGCGCTTGGGGCGAGCGGGCACCATACCCAAAACTCGAGCAGCAGTCGATGGTACCCGATCGCGGTCACGTGAACCATTCGGTGTGCGAGGCCGACTGGGGGGATGGGCTTTTCCGTTGACAGCCGGCTCGGGGAAGACGACGGCGCTGGGGCTGACCAGGATCCTTGTTTGCTCGGAGTCCCTGCACTTGAAGTAGTCTCCGCGCTGGATGTGGTGTTTCCGGCCGTTGCTTTGCAAGACGTTCACTGTAGACGCCGGTTGAGCGTCAGTGTCATGCCGGATGATGGTAGAAACTGTTTCGTGATCAGCGGCGAGGACAGTGAAACGGGGAATGAGCATCGAGTTGGGGTCATTCAGATCTTCGTCGCGCTGACCACGGGCGCGGGCACTGATCAAGACGGTCCCTTGGATCTGAAATGCGAACGAATTGGCCTTGATTGGCACAGCAGTAAGCTTGTTCATGTCGATGTGAATGGTGATGGGAACGCCCGGAGGTCGGGGCCCCGGGTCTGCCGGCGGGACCGAAGATGTGGGGAACAGTGACCCAGCAGACGAATCCGCGGATAATGTTTGCGAATGCTCGAAAGAGTAGTCCAGCTCGTTCTGAGCTGGCAACGGTCCACGTAGCAGGGAAGACGACGAGCTCTGTCGCGAGAGAGCAGCGTCAAGCTGCACCTGCGAGCTGGTCGAGTCGAAGGAATCTTTTCTGAGCAGGTCTGGCATCGCAGAAGGCCCCCCAGCGTCAAATCCGGTGTAGCCAGCGGCTCCACTAATGTTCCATTCCGTAGCCTTGCCCGGCACCCAAGACACGTCGGATCCCTTGGCCTCTAAGCTCACATCCATTCCCAGCAGCGTCGCAACACCGGGAAACCACAGCCCTTTGCACGTCCCTTTGTACTCGATCTTCATCACCACGGCTTCTCGGTGGTGCTCGGGATCCCACATCCTGCCCTGCACCGCACAGGTCATCTCCCCTGTCACATCAGTGACCCCCACGCGTCGTCGCCCGTCATGCTCGGACCCCACGACCTTGACCGGCCGAGCCCACCGCACTCGCAACCGCTCAGCACTGGGGAACGTACCCTGGATTCCGCAGCCATCGGAAAATCCCGTCGTCGAAGAGTCACTCGATTCATCGTCGGCGACGTTCCCAAAGGACTTGGAATACGCATCTGAACGGGACTGGCGCGAGGATCCTGCACGAGTCACGTGGGGCTCTGAGGTCAGATCCCATGAGCCGCCGCCGTCTTCGTCAGCCGACGACAACGACGCAAAAGAGTTCGATGACGGGATTGGCGGAATTCGTAGTCGGACATGGTTATGCAGGCATCTCGGTGTTGGAATCGACAACTGTCACTCAGTTAGTCCAAATGAGACTGTCATTGAAAAGGCGCTGCACCAGATACGGGAACCTCGGTGGTTTTGACACGTAGGGAACCCACATATCGATAGCTGCCATGAACTGGGCGCTTGGACGCTCAATTATGGAGGACCGCCTGCCTCCTCCAGGAGTCCGCATCAGATCAGCATCATGGTACCGTCCTGGGAAAGACTTGGGGAGCACGTATGAGATATGGTAACCGCTGACAAGAATATGGCCTGTGTATTTGGCTTCGACAGGCGGGGGCGCAGTCTTGGAAGAAGATCCGGATCGACTACTTCCCGGACGGATCGAGTTGGCGATATTGGATTCCGAGGGCGGCGGTGACAGATTAAACACGGCGTGGAAGTTCTCAGATGACCGGCTCGGGACTGAGGGCAAACTTGAGCATAGCTGGACTAAGTGGTGAATGAACACATACGACTGAGAGCCCGAGCAGCGTGATGAAGTAGGGGTGATAGATCCGAGGAAAATGCGTAGGGCACAGATTTTGAATCCAGCGGATGCACCTGCGAGGACAAAATTTTGACATTCTCCTCTGTGAGAATGTCAGCACGGAGAAGAGGTCGATCCCAAAGGGAACCATACCAGGAAACAGTGGAATTGTCGACCCAGGTGTGATGCCGTCCAGAGGGAGTGCAATCTGGAATAGGTGTGTGTGAAGGGTAGATGCAATATACGGGAGAACAAGAACGCACCTTGAGGTACATCCTGATTCCTGCTCCATCTTCTCCTTGATTCGCCTTCCCCTCAATAGCAACACGCGTCACCACGATAGGTTTCTGGGCCTGCGAGCCCTGCGTGACTGTAGGCGTGTATGTCGTCGTGAATGCGCTCTGGGTATTATTGTTGAAGAGTCCGGACCGCGTGGAGCGTAAGGGGGTCGTGGTGGCATGAGTCGTGGAAGTAGGCGGGCTGTGGGTCCGACTGCTGCGCTGCATCCTGATCGTTCAAGTTCTACGCGTCCGGATTTTGGCGCGTCTCAAGTCGTGATTTCGTGTTTGAGCCCGTGCAACGCGGTGTTTGGGCAAATTACGCGAATTGAGTGGCTCGTAAGTGATTCCACTCTCCGTGCAGGGAGTAGCGGGGGGCGGGGGCGGATGAGCGAGCGAGACGCAGAGTGAGGTCAGTACCAAAGCGATTCGGTCTTTTTGTTGATGTGGGAGAGTCTCACGTGCCGAGCTTTCCAAATTGGGATTGACAACTGCGACTCGCTCGATGTGTCCAGCGCTCTTCTCGTTCTATGTCCTGGCAGGCTATTGACTCGAGAGCACTCAAGCTGCGACCATTCCTGAAATACTTTGTTGCCATGTTTTCCTGGAAAGATGCTATCGCACTTTCCTCTTAAATGTTCCAATACATACATCTCACCCAGAGACATGGGACGGCAAACATAAGGCCCGGGCTCTTTCTCAGTCAACGAAGAACCCTGGACAAATTGACGACTCCAGAGGAGCAACCGTTCGTGCTTTCAAAGCCAGGTCAATGCGACATCTCATCTGTTTCCCCATGAGCCATTCAATGCTTCCTCTCGTTACTCTTTTCTGACACAACCACGGAAAGATCTTTGCTGCCCCGGTCGCACACACAGTAGTTCGCAAGTTTTTCGGCGTAGATTGAAACCCCGCGTCGTCTATTACAATATGATGATCCCAAGCTTGCGACGCCGACTCCATTACTCGTACGTATACAATATGAGTTTCGGCGAAGGCGACCTCCTGTGGGTGGCAGGGAGCGGGCGAAAGTGCATGCGGTGTCTGGGCCTGATCTATTCCTTTGATGCGCCAGACGGAGGGAGTTGTGAGATGATTCGGGTTCCGGGTATGCGCGCCGGGTTGAAGGAACGGTCGCAGTCCGCGTAGGCAGCACCTGCACCGAATCCTGTCGAGAGTGCGATCGGCCAAGTGCGTCCTGTGGAGAGACAAAGAGAGATAATCGGCAGATTAGATTCTCGTGAAGGCGCGAAAGGCGGACGACCGACGTTTGAACAGAATGACAGAAAGAACAACGCCAGCACTAAATCCTACGCCACTGAAAACACCTTCAGCACGAAGTAAACGAAAACCGGGGGAAGGAAGAGCAAACACACGCTTTGACAAGGAAATCGGCCACTGCATGGGTTTAGTACACGGCAGAACACGGAACGGAAATGGCGTACTGCAACGGTCGTACTGGAGCGCAGATTGGTAAAATAATCCAAGATTGAGTTTATAGGATGTCTCACCTTCTGTCCCAGCAGGTCTTCGCTCGAGGATGGTTTTGTGGACATGACTGTCGGGGATGATGTTGTTGTGGCTGTGCGGACCATGATGCGTCTTCAAGAACCTTGATCTCGGCGAGCGCAAACAACACTCTGCCCTCAATCCGCGCAGTCGCAGGGACAAGAATTACAAGTAGGAGTGTACATCTTTATATCATCTCGAAAACGTACAAATACGCGAGCTTCTTCAAGTCCTTGACACTCTCAGCGTCGGCTTTGACAACCTTCTCGTCATTAAATAACACCCAGCCATCGCCCGTGAAGATGTGTGCGACATAATGACCTGAGTGAACCGACGGTCCTTTGTGCGAAATGAAAGCCTTGAGCCGGTATTTAGCAGGCACGTGTTTCGTTCCGGGAATGCTGGATGGTGCCGGTGCACTTGCCGAGGAACTGTTGGTGTCCGAGTCTTCGCCCATGTCATCCGGATGATTGAAAAGCCATTCAACCGCACGCTCAACGTTTCCAGACTGGGAAAATCAGTCAATAAGACAGTGAAAGAAACGGATGGGACTTTACCGTCTCTCGGAGGGCTTTCTTGGCTTGAGCCGAGGTGAAGCCCATGTCAGCCAGCATAAGAATTTGATCTGCGGAAGGCTCTGGTGCACTCGATGACGGTCCATCAGACTGAATAGGCGTGTCGATATCTGACACAGGTCAGTTTTGCAAAACAAAACGTTCTGCGCTAACTGACCTGGATCCTCCATGTGAGCAAACAACCATTCCATGGCAGCTTCTGCATCCGAATTCCCCGTCGCCAACAGGGCTTTCTGGCACCGAATAGTGGGGAAGCCCATTCCTTCAAGCTGGGCCATTGCTGCTACATCAAACTGCGGCACGGCGGCAGCATCGGCTGCAAGGAAAGGATCAGAGTGACAATTGCTAGCAGTGTAACAGACCACCGACCCAGGTTCGGCAATTCAACTTCATCAGGCTGCAGTCCCGTTCCCAGATATTGAGCCTCAAACGACAATGTGTCATCATCCGGTAGGATCAAAGGGATATCCAGCTTGGTGGGAACCCAGTTCACGAGTTGGAACTTTTTGGCGTGGACGACCAAGATGTCAGGGAACGTGGCGAACTTGGTTTGTCTACGAACTATCAGATGCGAAAGTTGTGACAGAGGAGGACTCACTTGAGAGCATGCACGCTTTTGGCGCACGATGGGCAAGAGTACTCCAACGCCTCAGGAGCGGACACAGAATCGATGCAGGCAAGCAGTGGCACCGGCTCAAAGAGGGGCTTTCCGTCCGCATCTTTACTGTTCTCTACCGCGGGAACCGGTACGCTGAGAACATCCATCGTGTCCGTACGATAGCTGACTTTGGAGCAAACGTTGCACTGGAGCCGCTGTTCCATTGCGTATGAGAAGACACCAGTGGGATCCTCTGCGCATCCTCGATTATTTGCTCTGGCCGAAGGAAGATCACTCACCCCTGTCCTTGTATTTTTGGATATCCCGTCGCAATACAGTCAATAGATGGCCCAAAAACTCCTCTGAATCCTGCTGCTTCATCGTCGAAAACTCTTCGTGACCTTTTCCGACCAGTGATTTGAAGCCAGACGGTCGCAAGCCCTCTTGAAATACAGGGCTATTGACGGCGTCCTGAGATGAAGGAGGTGCATGGGCTGGATGAGAGTATCGCCCACTGACGAGTCCGTCCGCCACTTTGCGCATCTGGCACTCTACACAGTCCGCAGGTAAGAGTTCAGGACACTGGACTGCATGGTCGATAGTACAAGACGCAGAGAAGTATCGAGATCTGAAGGCGGGGAGAGAGAACACAGTTTGAAGAACGGAAGCCATATAACAACTGTGAACTCGCAGTGAGCGGACAAGGACGCTTGCTACGCTGTCCCTCGCACCTGTTCCCCAAGTTGGATAAGCCCGTCAATCCTGGTCCAAACACTGGCTCCAAAGCTTTTCCGTCTTCGGACGTGAGAGAAAAGTCGTACTTCAAATTATGTTCGATTTGCTTGACATTTGCATGAGCATGGTCGATAGATTATATGCAAACCCGCTCACCATTTCGGTCATACTTTTCTCCGTCTTCTGTGCTGTCTTCACGTTTATTCCAAAGGCAGCAAGATGATCTGAAAGAGAAGGATCCAGTCGAGAATCATTGCACGAATAACAGTAGATGTCTGCTCGCGGATCAGCGCAGACACATCCAGGACTGATTCGACCTACCGGCATCACCCTCAGGAGTAATGGTCCCTAACTTCACGCACACCGGATGGTTCGTCTCCTCAAAATGCTTGAACCCATGACCGTTCCCACCGGTGACGCCGCCGTATTGTTGTCGTCCACATCCCAGAGACCCACAAGTCAGACAAAGCCACAGATTAGAAGTCAATTCGCAATCATTGCAGTGTGCGAGACCCGAAGCAGCAATAGCTCCAACATTCGTGTGCTGGAGTAAAAGAGTGTGCTCGCACGCTTCCAGCTCTTCTTCCCATGCTTTGACTTCGGATTGACGCGCAGAGGACAACGAACGCATCACCTGGTCAACGAGAGATTGGATCTAGAGCGTGTGTGAGTCACGATCAGGACCCTTCCTCTGATACTGACAGCGGGATCGTTGGTGGCTTCAGGGATGTCGCGTCCATGTTCTGCGTCGCAGCTCCAGCATTTCACAACAGTGGTGTGGAAGTATTTGTCCTCCTCTCTCTCCTCCACAATCGCAAGCTTAGACATCTTCGCGGGCGGCTCCTCGTCATTCTGCGAAACTTGAGACAGGCGATCTTAACGAACAGAATACACGCGACAGACCCGTTTTGAGGTAGGTTTGGGTCTACGCTTAACGTTCAACGTGAACCGATGGCCCGATTTCTGAGTGTGGATGCGCATGTGGTTCCGCTCGCCGGTACACGCTCCATTGAAACACAACAGACAGACATCGACACCTTGAGGGCCGTCCTGCATCGCGTCAGTGCGTGTCGTCACCCAGCCACGACGCTGACCTGGTTGTCGAAGCACTGGGTGCATTCTTCGCGATGGACAAATTGAGAAAGCCGTGGAGTAGAAAGCCGGGTGAGATCTGAAGTATGAGGGCAGCTCATGGTTGACGGAGGTCGGAGGCGTGATCGCGAAGGGTCATCGATCAAGCCTACTGACGCGTAAGCGGGAGACGATCACGTGCATACGATGCTCTCTCCCCTCAAGGCCGCTTTGACACACGCGAGTAAGCAGGCATTTGGCATGCCCCTGTCTGATGTGCACTAGGGTTACTTAGTGGAGCGGTGTCACCAAAGAGAAGCCCTTCCTTTTTGGAGTCGCGAATGACCTCGGAATGACATCAATGTGGAACCCTTGAATATAAGACATCCATGGCGGCACGCGCCGCTCACACTCATCCAATATGAACCCCCTCATTCGTTCACTTCGTTTTTCCACTCTGCCTCGCAGCGCCCTGGCAGCGCGTCATGCCCCTAAGCGACTGCAAATCCGCCCCATCACTCCTCTTATTCCACTTCGCACTGTGGCCAACACCGTCGGTCCAGGCAGCCAATCTCTGTCGCATGCTCGCCAAAACATGAAAGAAGAGGCTGGAAACTCCGTCAAGGACCTCGCCAAAGCCATTGCTGGCGTTAACCCGGCTAAAGACGATAGTTTCGTGAGTCGGCGTTGCGATCGTGTGCGACGACGCGCTGACGAACTAACTCTGTAGACCGCTATCACGGGCTCTCTTGCCTCCGAAGTCCCATCGTCCGTTATGACATTCGGTCTCGCCGGCGGTCTTCCGTACATCGGGGCAGCCGCTACGACCGTCTACCTTGCTCGTGAAGCCACATTGGGCGCGACGAGCATCGACCCGGGCGTCGCTATCACTGTCCTCGACCAGGCTCTCAACCTGCAAGTCACGTACGGCGCAGTCATGCTCTCCTTCCTCGGTGCGCTTCATTGGGGCATGGAATTCTCCGGCCTCGGTGGCCACCACGGCTGGCGACGACTCGCTCTGGGCGCGGCCCCCGTGCTGTATGCGTGGCCGACACTGGCCATGGACCCGACAATGGCTCTCTGCGCTCAGTGGGCCGGATTTACCGCCCTCTGGTGGGCAGACTCGCGTGCCACGGTTGCTGGCTGGAGTGAGTCATCCACTAATTTGCATTTGGGCATCAATTGATCCCCGTGTTAGCTCCCAAATGGTACTCGCAGTACCGCTTTTATCTTTCCATCCTCGTGGGCACTTGGTGAGTCGTACCTCTCATGGCTAGATCTTGCGGTTATTGATGACCATTTTCTAGTATCCTCGGTTCTCTGGCCGGCATTACCTACTGGGGTCCAGTCGGTGGCCACGGCCTTCTTGACCACGAGCTGCACGACATCCGTAAAGAACGTGCCACTCTTCAGAAACAGCCAGAGGTTCTCTACGGCAAGGAGATGACTATTCTGCCGGGAGAAGACACTTTCACTCGTTTGCGAAAAACCGAAGACATTGAGAAAGAACAGGCTGAGCGGGCTGAGAAGGAGGCTGAGAAGGAGAAAGCCCAGAACAAGTGGATCAAGTGAATAGAATGTACGACGAAGAACGACGAAGGAAATGTATTCTCTGAACGTGTATGTATAATCAATGTAATTTGATATTGCCGGAGTTGTAACGCGTCGACTACCTCGATGAGGTACCGCGGATCACTTACCATAGTCATGTGATCGCGACAGCTTGCATCTTGCTTTTACTAAATTACTTCCTCGCAGGCTAGGGAGTCTGAATTGGTAGTGCCTGGCAGCGTTTTTCAAGTGAGGAAGTGAGCCTAGTATTCGAGAAAAATTGACTCAAAGGAACTAGATGCAATGTTGAATATCTTTGTTCTCCGACCTGGAAGCGACATCTTTGGTTCTAATGCTTGCAGATTAGTTGTCTTGATTCTCGGGATTTCAAGGGAACAAACCGACAGGACATCTGACTATTGGACGTATACTGTGGACAGAAAACGTCTGTGATACTACGTGCTCCTAGTTCACGAGAGCTCGCCAAGCTCGTGGCTACGGCCTTGGGGCATTTTGGCTCCCATCGTATTCTGTCCATGCTGGAGACGGGCTGGCGACGATACAACCAACCATATGCTCTTCTCTGTGCTCAAGAAAACGGGGGACAATGCGTAAAGCGCTTGATGGTATCAGAGGCCGCTTTGACGCTCGCATTGTCACTTCGACTCGATGCATTGTTTGCCCCCATATTTCATCCTAGTCAGCTTCCACCCTTTTTACCGCCCCATCCAACGTCTCAAACTATCTCCTAGGACTGTCATGGTCGTCCTGAAGCACAAGAAACTTGGTCCCGGTCTGGGAGCCAAAGCGTCGATGGCAAAGGCATCCGGTGCTCGTGCCAGATCTTCCCTGGCCCGAAAACCGATCGGAAACAAGCTTACCACGCTCCAAATCGAGGCCAGGACCACGATGCAGCACCGGTTTGCGCAAACGCGCCCTCAGCGGTTCTACGAGCGGGTGGACTATTCGTTGGAGAAACTGTACTTGAAGGTCATCGACGTGCAGCGGCGCCTATACGCGAGCCTGCGGAGGTTTGTTGGAACACAGATGGTTCTTAGGAGTGCCGTGCGGCCGTTGACCTGCCGGGATGCTCATTGGCTTGCGCGGATCGAGCCGAGCTTGAAGAGACGGCGGCCCATTGTTCGATCTTCGTATCGCTGGGGCAAGCCCAAAACGCTTCCACGGCGCGTCAAATCAAAGTCGCGCTTCAAGACCAAAGTGCCGAGGAGTTCAGATGCACGAGGTGTGTTATCACTGCTCCAGTGGCGTCGAGAGTCCTTAACCCCAGTCCAGTCTGCTCCCTCGCAGAACAACGTGACAAATTAATGGGGTCCTGCGCTGGTTCGCAGTTAATACCATCCCACGTCATCCCCGACGCGACGGATCGCTTTTGGCCCCAAACTTATTCCGCCACCATCGCTCGGCGGGCAAACGCGTGCCGAACCATGAAGAACGGTCCCCAGCAGACTTTGTGAGTATCTGAATCCCAGGGAGAGGCTTGCGTTCTCATCTCACTGGCGTGCAGCGTCTGGAGGCGGACACGCTCGTCATTGTGCAACGTCTATGCAGTCCCTAATCAGACACTTGTCCCTGCCGCATCCGATCCAGAATTTGCTGAGCAAGTTTCTGCATGCCAGGGTCCAGTACACCGCAGCCCGTCGATCATCACCGAAGGCATCTCATACACGACCCATGGCCATTCGCGACTGCCCTTGGAAGCAAAGAAACGGGATGCGGATCGGTGCGCTGATTGTATTGCGTGCACTCACCAATGAGAGGGACTTATTTCTGCCTGTAGAGCCGGCATGGACTGGGCCGACGAGCGATGTTACAAAAAGAGTCGAATGATGAAACTTGTGCTTGGAGAGGATCCTGGGCACTGTACTCCCAATTACTCACCCTGATGTTCGAGTATTAGGCTTGTTTCAAGGCTTATGGGGCATATTCCCGGCAATTAAGTTCAAGAGGAGCCTGTTTTGTTAAGAGGATCTTTTCGTACTTTTCTAACATTCGGATTCGCTGATCACCCAGGGACTACATCTCGCGTAGAGTCACGCTCACATGATTCGAGCGTCACACTAGGTTTCCTGAACTTAGTGTGCATGTCCAAAGCACGTTATTGACTCCGTGGAAGTCCGGTTGTCCCTCTGGGAGACTTGAATACTTCTCTGGTGTGATGTGCTTGGCAAAATTCACAGAGTAAGGCCGAACAGTCGATGAACAATCGATTCTGACGTGGACCGATGAATGAAGTACTTACTGCAAGGGCAAAACGGCCGAGACAGAACTCACTGGTCTCATTGTTGTATCAACCACTAGGCTTTACATAGGCGAGCCAGTCGAGCAAGTGATTTTGATTCAGCACCTTATTGCAATGCTGCACGCGCGTGGTTCATGTCGCAGTTGTTGCCCAGGCATTTCCAGGTTGAGTTTTAGAATTAGAACACAAGATACAATAGAATACAGACAAAGGAAACAATCTAGTCAGCAGTAACAAAGCGAATTTTAGATCCATTGGCCACTCTCATCAAAACACCCAGATCCTCGTACTGCATTCGTTGTTAATGGAAGGACATAAGGATAGTAAGGCCAGTCGCACCTTCAGGATGGTTTCATTCAGCTGTGCCTCAGTGAATCCAGCGGTTGTCACACGCGCTCGAACGTCGACCAGCGAAACCTCCTCGGCATCGCCCGCAAACTCATCGTCCGAGTCATCCGAGTCCGTCTCCATGCCATCGACATCCCGCTCACGATTCGGCCCGCGGCCCATTCTTCGTGTCCTACCTTGCCGCTTCTTCTTGCGGGCTGGGGCACCAGCACCCGCCATCTGCTTGATGAGCCGGTAGATCTGACTGACCACAGACTTGTCCGGGCCCTGCTCGACCTCGTCCTCGTCGTTCAGACTGTGTTTGCTGCATTCCATCAGCCGCAAAGCCTCGTCCACATCGGCGTGCTCCACTCTGTCCGTCCATCGGAGCCGTGCCAGGGCCTGCGCCAGTCGTAGAATCCCAAGAAGCGTCCGGGCGGACGTATAAGAATGCGACCGGTTTTGCTCGTCGTCGATTTTGCCCATCTTTCGTAGTCGAACGTACGAGTCAACCACGTAACTCGAAACTTCAGGAGGCACGATGGGCCGCTTTTCTCTTGCGCCGGCGATGTAGTGCCTATACAACAGGTTTTAACCTTCAGATCCCAAGGAGATGAATAAGGATTCACCTCATCAAGGTGGGTTCAATCACATCATTCTCCAGATCCGGGTGTTTGTTGTGCATATGCACATAAGTGACGTGCTGCGCCAGTCGTTCGTCGTCGTCTCGAGAAGGCTTGTCTAAGATCAGGAACATAAGATCGAACCGGGACAGTAGCGCCGCCGGAAGGTTGATATTCTCCACTGGCGATACTTTCGGGTTGTACCGTCCGTAAAGCGGATTAGCGGCGGCGAGAATCGACGTTCGGGCATTCAGAGTGGTGGAAATGCCTGCTTTGGAGATAGAGATCGTCTGTTGCTCCATCACCTCGTGGATAGCCGTCCGGTCGGATTCCTCCATCTTGTCAAATTCGTCGATACAGCAAATTCCGTTGTCGGCCAGAACAAGGGCACCGCCCTCTGTTGGCATCATGGGTCGGTATTCGAGTAGGAAAATACAAACAGAACACACCGAGAACCATCTCATCCGTCACAGGATCTCTCATAACCGCAGCAGTGAGGCCGACACCGGAGGAACCCTTTCCGGTCGTATACACCCCGCGCGGAGCAATCTTCGAGATGTATTTGAGCAACTGAGACTTGGCAACTCCGGGATCGCCCATGAGGCACACGTTAATGTCCCCGCGAATCTTCATCCCGTCCGCAGTCACTTTGGTTACGCCACCCACGAGCAACAAGAGCAGCGCCTTCTTGACGTCGTTGTGTCCATAGATTTCGGGTGCAATACTTTGGGCGAGTTTGTTGTACAATCCGGGATCTGTGCGCAGCGCTTCGATCTGCTCGCGGATCTCGGGCGTCGTCTGCATCTCATTATATTGCTTCTTCTGTTGGTGGATGTGGTGCGCTTCTAGATATGTGTCCGTTAACAGGCCAGCACGGATGGCCTGGAAGCCGGTGTAAGGGATGGGAAGGAAAATGCCGCCGATGTGCACTTCGTCGCCAGGATTCATCATGCGTGTTAGGTTTCCGTGAACGTGAACGGTCATCGAACGAGGAATGTGTCCAACGGGAACTTGATCAGCCTGGAGGTAGCGAAGATTACACGCAAACAGACGGAGCAGTGGAAATGAGACTCACCATTTCTTGAATCTTAAGCTCTTGGAAAGGACTGAACCTGCACGCTCGCGTTTGGAGGTGAAGGGTGCCGGTGATGCCGTTTTTTAAACATTGGTCCGGGTTGGGACAATCGTAGAGTGGCATGAACGACTTGGTAGAAACTTCCTTGAAGGTTTCTGAGCCACAAACGTCGCATGTGTATGCTTGGACTTGAATCAGCGGCTTCACTTCGGACACTCGCGTCACGATGCCTCGGACGGTGATGAGGTTGCCAATGTGTGTGCTACGAACTTCGCGAACAGCCAGTGCGACGTCGCTTTCGAGAGGTTTGAAGTATAGGTTGCTATCCTGGTTTGAGAAAGATGGTCAAGTGAAAGCGGGAGTGAGACACACTATCGTCGCAGCACGGCGTCCGGAAACCCTTCCTCGTCCATCTGTTGGTTACGCTCCCGCCTCTGGTGCATGATAACGTCAATGACCTCGTCTTTGTCGCTGATGTCCTTCGTCGGCCCCCGCTCCTTCAAAATCGCGTCCACGGCCTCAGAGAAGAGCACCACGTAACGATGAGCATTTTCGAGTATTGCGTCCACCAGATCGTTGACCTCAGGGTCGGTCTTCGCGCGTGTCAGCAACCCGCACGCGTTTTGAGTCTCGTGAAATGATCTTACACTGGCTCTGAGGTCCTCGAGGTCGATAACGAGCATCTGCTGCTCTCGGTTGGCGATGCGGATCTGCCGGCGCGTCAAAACGCGCGAAACGCGCGGAGAAGCAGCGTACCAGCTGCCTGAGATATTTCTGAGGTACGACCCCGCCATCCGTCGCGTCATTGTCCGCGTCGATATGGACAGCGGCCAAGCCACTGGTGATGTCCTCCTCGAGAGGGCCTTCGCATTTTTCGAGGAACCTGTGGATAATTTCTGGATAGGTGCTTCAGCAACAGAACGGTTCGACGAGCAGGAGCTCACGCGACCTTTCTCCTTCTCGTAGTCATGGTCGATCTGGGCGACAGCGAGGGACATGGTGGAAGTTGAGCAGAGCACACGCTGGCGGAGTCTCAATGTGTTGATCTGATGGCGGGTCCGCGGTGCTCGTCGATCTTGCTGTCCGCCCTGCGCTACCCTCAGTCTGACCCTTGTACTCCCTAAGTTATCAACTATGTTGTAACCTTACCTAGGCCTGAGGCTTTACGACTCGGAACATTGTCCGCCCGCATACTTCTTCCTCTCTCTTCCACTTCGCCATGCATTCGAATAAGAGGAAACGGAGTTCTACGAGACTTTCGCCCACAAGCCAGGCCACGAAAGAACTAGACTGGTGGATAGAGGTCCCCCCGTCTCCGTATCCCACAGGGTCATCAATACGCGAGCTCAAGTCCAATCCTCCATATCACCCAAATGCTCAGAGTCGCCTCGAGTCTCCCTGCAAGAAATCGCGGACGAGCGCTAACGATAGGCTCCCCTCGGTCGTCTCATTCCCGCGGCAACTCTCCCCGACGTTTTCCGACGCGTATCCTCTATCTTCGTCCTCGAAATTTCGGTCACGAGTTCACTCACCGTCTCCGACGTTCTCAACTACCGAGCCAGACCCGCCGTTCACATCTGCCAGTGGGATATCGACCCGGCCAACATCGCCTACCTACTCTGCTTATGACTCGGACGAAGATGCGACTGGTGCTGCATTCTTGGTTTCGCGTTGACCTGTTACTCAACTTTTGACAGGCAGTAATCTTCCGACCGTCAACAAGACCGAAGCTGAGCTGTCTGAGTGTCTTGGCGAATCAAGCGGCCATCGTCGGGAAATACCTATCCGCCGACTAGATCTGATGAGGATGTACGACGAGGAGGGCCAGTCGGTTTCTCCTGAGGAAGTTGTGTTCTCTGGCAGAGCCTGCTTCTACCTGGCATCTGGAATCGTGAGCGCGGTCGTGGATGACGGGAATATCGACGATGGGGAGGAAGATGCTGAAGATGAGGTCCGCGTTTTCGTCAAGGACCTTCGTATCGTCTCCCTGAATGTGCATCACTTTGACTCGGAGAGCGAGACATTCGATAGGCATGTCCACGAAGGCGATACTTTCTTGCATTGTTGACAGAAATTTAGGCACATATACATCGAAACCAATGAAGCTTGGTACCGACTGGACGAACCCTCCGCGGACTACGAGGACTTATGGCTTTCCTTCCTTCGCAAACAACGCGCTTGCAACGATGTTCTTCTGGATTGCTTGCAGAACGATTCTGAAACAGACTTGGACGTGAGCCAATGGCAGGGGAAGGATCACCGTGAAGCTTATGTGCGTTACGCCCTCACAACCCCCCTCATTCGCGCTAAGTGCGTTGAAGCGACTCTATGTGACGCAAGTCTTGTATTATCTCTCTGAGCGTCAAGCCCGGCCTGCATGCCGGTTCTTCAGGACTCCTCTGATCGCCGGACTCGTCGAGGGACTTGTCGACATTGGCGCCTTGAAAAACCCTGCTCAAGGGACCAAACGTGTGATCAAGGACATTACAAAGGGGGGAATCAAGACTCCTCTCACTGCCATGGTCTGGAAACAAGTCCACTCCCTCGTGCCTTGCACAACGGTTTCCGTAGGTGACGAGGATGACACCTTGTCGGAACCCGAGCCCGAGGAAATGGATGAGCACCCGGACAATCCTGACCTCATCCGACTCGATGGGGACTGCGACGAGTGGGTCCGTTTCTCGGAAGCTGAGATAGACGGCACCATCTACAAGGTGGGTCTTGTTGCGTGACCTGCACTCCCCGGCATTGATCCCGGGTCCAGATTGGAGACATCGTTGCTGTCAAATGCGGAGATGACGACGACAGACATAGACATATCAGCGAGCGAGCATCTAGAAGCTATTGCGTCAACGCGTTCGCTCAGGATCATTGGTCAGTGTGGACTGACGCGTCATTTTGTCTGCGGTTCCCGACAGCCGTTGCAGGTTTTGCGTGATTCGTTATTTTTACGAGGACGATAATGAGACAATGCTCCACGGCCAGTGGTTCCAACACAGTGAGCTTGAAATCAGCATCCAGTGGTCTTCTCAGCTCATCTGGGCCAGGCAGTCGGATTTTCTTTCAAGATTTTGCCCACAGTCAAGAACTGGTGTATCTAAACGAATGTGCGGACTTGTCTGTCCAAGCGATTTTCCAAAAGGCGCAAGTCAGGATCTTGGACGCGGATGACTTGGAGTGGCCAGACAGAAGTGACCCTACGTCTCGTGTATACTTTTGCCGGTGCGTCATGCGATGGCACCTGGCGATCTCGTTGACATCGAAGGAGCTAGTTCTATATATGACGACACTGCCCATTCATTAGAGTCACTTGAGGAACGGGATAGAGAAGAGCTCCGTGGCGAGCACGACGCGTTGGAATGCAAAAACTGCCATCGGAAGGAGTACCTCGACAAGTTTGATTCAACCCAGCTGCTCACAAGAACCGAGGATTCGACGGTAGTCACCGGCTTTGAACATTATCTGGTCCAATACCATCTGAACGAGTTTGTCTTCATCAAGCCAGAAAAACGCTCGGACGACCCGAAGAAAACGGACAAAACTCAGCTACTTTTGATTGCGCAGATTCTCGAGATAAAGCCGAACCGGGAGAAAGTTCTCATCCAGCGATATCGTCGTGCTGTCTCGCGTGTCTTCAATGAGGTACGTGTTTCTTTCGGAAGTATTTTCTCTTGCTGATGCCTGGCAGAGAGGCTTGTTCAAATCGAAGGACAAGCCGATGTGGATTCATTTCGAACAAGTCGAGTCCAAGTGTTTCGTCAAGTTCTTTGAACCCGATCAGTTATCTGGAGTCGAGCAGTGGATTGAAGAGGACTACACGCACTTTTATGTCGCTGCATGTGAAGAGAGCCCTGAAAAACCTCTATGCGAAGAATGCCTGGACAACGAAGAGCAAAATAATCAGAAGACTCGGACCTTCTTCGACAAACATAAATTGCGGGGGATGGAGGTCTTCGCGGGTACGCTTTCTCCTGGCACATCTGATGAACCTAGAATCGATCGCTTCTTCTAGGCGCAGGTGGCCTGTCTCTTGGACTAGAGGAAGGCAAGGGTATCGAGATCAAATGGGCGGTCGAACTCGATGCATCTGCGGCAAAGACTTTCGCGTGCGTGCAGTCGTCACTCCAACACCAACACCAGCACCGACTGACAGTTCCAGCGCCAATCATACGGCTTCAGCAGTCCTCTGTGTGGATATTAAAAAGTTGCTTAGATATGTCGTCGACCGCCGTGACCACAAATCACCGGACCCTTTGAGGACCGAGGCTGGTCAGGTGATTGACGACAAGCTGATCCCTCATCCGGGACAGGTTGACTTTCTTTGCGGTGGTCAGTTATTATTTGCTACTTGACTGGGAAGCGGTCGAACCCTTTTCCAGGGCCGCCTTGCCAGAGCTTCTCTGGAGCGAATCGATTCAAGGTGCGCGAAATTGTTCATGTGGCCGCATAATCGCTCATTGGAACACAGCGAGATAATGATGAGAGGTAAAGCATAGAATGATTGCGCCTAGTGACATGAGCTGACGTCCCGACTAGGTCTATGCTCCCTTTCGTGATGCTCAGTCTCGCAGAGGTGTATCGACCCAAGTATTTCCTCCTGGAGAATGTGACGGGGCTGTTGTATCACAAGCTGTCCTCACCCACAACAAAGCAAGTCATTCCGATGGGCACCTTCAAGCTCATTATGCGGGTCCTCCACGCTCTGCGATTCCAAGTTCAGGCGAAGGTCGTGCAGGCGGGGCAGTACGGTGTGCCGCAATACCGGGAGCGCGTGATCTTTCTTGCCGCGCGGAACGATGCGAAGCTACCGAGTTTCCCGACTCCGATCACCACGTTTGTCAAAGGACGCAAGTACAAACTGTCGCACCAGGATCAGGCTTTTCTGCGCGCGCCGACGCGTGATCCAGGTCCAGATGTGGAGGAAGACAGCTATGCGCCCCACTGCAGAGTGACGGTCCGCGATGTCATATCTGATTTGGTGTGTGTCATTCTAAATGGATTGAGATTTTGCTTATCCCTGGTCACTTCAGCCACTCTGGGAATGGTGAGCCACGCACACGCGGTCCAAGTGAAGCAAAAATGACCTCTTCTGTAGGGCTGGATTTCAGCGTCAAGAGCAAGATGCTGACATCGTTACCTTTGACGCTTCGGTGAAGCCTTTGATGGCCCCTCCAATCGGATATCATCAACCTGTGGGCTACGCAGGCCCTCCTCAAACCCCGTATCAGAAGGCACTGCGTGGTTCCGGAAGCAAGCGAGTGCGCGACCATGTCACGAACTATTATTCAGCGCGTCTTTTGACCCTCTGTGCACATATCCCGCTTTCATCGAAAAGCAATCCTCTTCCGTGTTACGAAGGTCAAGCCCCTCATTCGCCACTTGTCTGTGTTACTGATTCCCAAGCAGATCTGCCGAAGAGTCTGAACTACAAGCTCAAAGGAGGCATGTCCTATGGCCGTCTCAACGAAGCGTCGTACTTCTCAACTGCCATGACAATTGTGAACCCATCCTCGAAAGGTGCTCGTCTTCTTCATCCCAATGTATGTGCCTTCAGTGTGCATTGCCCAACTTCCATTTGATTCCCTACACGTTCATACAGCTAAATCGAGTTGTCACCGTGCTCGAGGCCAAACGAAGCCAAGGATTTCCGGACGATTTCGTCCTGGAGTCGGTGGAAACGGTTCCGCGTCTCAGGGTCAAAGACGTGCGTGTGTGCGGCTAGCTTCGATGATTCCGCTCAAATGACCTTGTTTTTAGTTCTATCGTCAGATTGGCAACGCTGTTCCGGTCAAGTTGGGTGCTGCTTTTGGGAGGAGTATCGGGGCCGCGTTTTACATAGATCACAGTGATGGCGAGGCGGCCGAGAGTCGCGCTACTAATGAGCGCGTTCCCAGTCCGGAATATTAATCAAGGCATTGTGCAGTGCTTTGAAATATTTACGATCAAGTAAAACTGACTGCTGGTCGAGCAACTTAGACGTGAGAGTGCCAAGGCTTCAACTGTCCAAGCCTCGATGTAGGTGACAAGTGATGACGGGAGAATCGACATGGAACCACGCGAGAGGCTTGTGGCTGTGCCGCCCATTTCTTCCTCGATGTTACTACCATGGCCACTCTTTCTCGGACTACTCCTACACCACGCATCCTACCATCCTGTCTCTGCCGCACGCCCATCAAAGCGATTCTACGATACACATAACTACTATGTCCTCGAACACGACCCGTCGTCCGGCGAGCCGCTAAGCGACGTCGCAACCGCGCTGGGAGTCGAGATCGTCGAGCAGGCGGGGGAACTGGCTAACCACTGGCTCGCACGGACGAAGAAGTCCGCGCTCGAGGTGCGCGGGGAGCAGGAGGCGTCCGACCGCGTTGTCGAGCGCTACAACGCGCTACGGCGGGGCGCTCCAGACGCAGACGCGCATGGACGGCGCTCCTCGGCGCTCGCTGCGGCCGTGCCCTATCTCGCGCGCCAGACGCTGCGCCAGCGAGAAAAGCGGGCGCCGCCTCCGCCGATTCCCACCCCCAGTCCCGAGGCATGGACCGCGCAGGCTGTCGCCGACCGACTGAAGATCGAGGACCCGATGTTCACGCAGCAGTGGCACTTGGTGAACGACAACGCCGACCAGCGGGGCCACGATATGAATGTCACGGGCGCATGGGAGATTCTGAAGCTGACCGGGAAGGGCGTCATATCGTCGTTCGTAGATGATGGGTTGGACTACACTTCCGAGGATCTGAAGGCTAATTTCGTGCGTTCACTTTGGGGCTAGTGCTCAATTTCCGTATTTTCTTATGCCTGAATAGGATGCGGACGACTCGTACGACTTCAACGACCACGTCGAACTGCCCTACCCCAAACTCTCTGACGACCATCACGGCACACGGTGTGCCGGCCAGGTCGCTGCCGGAAAGAACAAAGCATGCGGTGTTGGTATTGCGTACGCATCCCGCGTTGCTGGCGTCCGAATTCTCTCGGGGCCCATATCGGACGTGGACGAAGCCGCCTCGCTCAACTACGGTTACAACAATGTGTCGATCTACTCGTGCTCCTGGGGTCCCCCTGACACGGGAAAGGCGATGGAAGCACCCGGATACCTCATCAAGAAGGCCATCGTCAACGGGATTACCAACGGCCGAAATGGAAAAGGGTCCATCTACGTCTTCGCGAGCGGAAACGGCGCCGCGCATGGCGACCAGTGCAACTTCGACGGGTACACAAACAGCATCTATTCTGTGACGGTTTCCTCGGTCGACTGGAAGGGTCTGCATCCATATTACTCCGAGCCGTGTGCAGCGAACATGGTGGTCGCTTACAGCTCGGGTAGCGGAAAGTCTATTGTGCGCACACATCTTATCTCCTTTTTGCCTGAATTTAAACCGTGCTAGGTCACCACGGACAAGGGCGAGAATGCATGTGCCACCACTCATGGCGGTACATCGGCAGCTGCACCGAATGCAGTCGGTGTCTTCGCACTGGCATTGGAAGCCCGGTGAGTGTTGGTCCATATGATTGATGGGGCTCAGATCTGACCGCGGTGTAGACCCGACTTGACCTGGCGAGACATTCAACACCTCTGTGTGCTGAATGCGCGGAGGATCAATGTCGACGACCCGGATTGGGAAGCCACTGCTCTTCCTGGTCGGATGTACTCCTACAAGTACGGATTCGGAGCGTTGGATGGATATGAATACATCAAAGCAGCCATGAGCTGGAAACTGGTCAAGCCCCAGGTCTGGTTCCGGACGAAGGCGATCCAGTTCGAAAACGGGACGATGGCGGCTTACGAGCAGTACTCGGGCGGCCAACACATCGGGCGGGACGGGATTACGAGTGTGATGACGATCACCAAGGAGATGCTCGCGGAGAACAACTTTGAGACGTTGGAGCATGTGAATGTGAAGGTGTGGATCCAGCACGGCCGACGCGGTGATGTCGAGGTCGAGCTCGTCAGCCCCACTGGTATCCGCAGTGTTTTGGCGGGAAAACGGAACGGGGACGGTGCGACGACTGGCTATCCTGGGTGGACTTTCATGTCTGTAAAGCACTGGGGCGAAAACCCCATTGGAGATTGGACGATCAAAGTGACAAGCTCTGCTTCGTCTCAAACCAACGGAAGCTTCTTGGGCTGGAACATGATGTTCTGGGGCTCTGCTGTCGATGGATCGAAGGCCTTCCCGTTTCAAGTTCCCCATGACGATGACGATGTGATCTTCCCTCCGCTAGTCGATGCGGTACCGCCTCCCCGGCCAAACCTGACGACATCTTTGGCTGCCAGCTCGACAAAGCAACACTCGAAACCGACTGCGCATCTTCCAGGGGATCACGGGGATGCTGCCGGAGAAAATACGAATGCGACGTTCCCTGGACAAGGCAAGCCCGTCGACGACAGTGTGTTGTTTAGCACGTCTTTGTCAGTTTCCCCGACTGCCTCGAGCTCGCCGAGCCCCTCGAGTACCCGGTCGAGTCACCCAACTGCCGATGAGGGCTGGTTCTCGGACATGTCGAACCTGGTTAAAAGCCAAGCATGGTTCTTTGTCGCCATCGGTGCCGTTGCTGTGTTCATCGCTGGTGCGGGGATCTTCTTCTGGCGTCGCCGGGCGAGACAGTTGCGCAATTACTCGACACTGCCGGAGGGTGATGACGTTCCGATGAGCGGCGTTAGGTCCGGTCGTACGAGCGGTGGAGGGCGAACGAAAGAGCTGTATGATGCATTTGGAGAGGTCTCGGATGACGAGGATGAAGCTGATGAGCAGACGCGGTTGACTTCCACAGTGCGCGACGGCGCGTATCGGGATCAGCCGACTGATCAGCCCCAGGCGGGATCTTCATCGCATTATCGAGACGAGCCGGCATCTGGGGCTGCGAGTCCCGCGAACAGGAGTGATGGCAGCTGGGACCGGGCTTCCTCGTAGACAATCTCTGCTGTATCTATTTATACCAGAGGATATATGCGTGGTCTATGTATCTGTATCAGCTCTCAATGGCAGGTCGGCTGAACGCCAATGATGCTAACAGTCCATAATGGTCGCTGACCCACACCGGATTTTTGTCGCGCTCTACTCGCAGCCCCACTCCGACACGCTGAACAATCGTAGCGCTTACGTTTCCGGCGAAAAGGACTTTGTCCATTCTGCGCGGTGGAAACCGATTTTTAGGCTGGTAGCCCCAGGTATGACCGTCCGCCTCGCCCGTGTCGTCTCCTTCAGCGTTTGACTCATGACCCTCTTTCTTCACCCACGCGTCCGCGAGACCGACTTCCTCGGGCAGATCCTGGTCAGTCGGCGCGATGCAGTTCATGTCGCCCGCAACCACACCACCGTCGATCCCTGGCGCCGTCAACAACTTCGCGATCTTTGCCAGCTGTTTGGGGCGTGCCGCGTCGCCAAAGCCGCGGAGCGACTCCAGATGCGTGTTGGCGATCCGCAGTCGGAAGAGGGCAGATCGCTCTTCGGCATGCGGCAGGTGCAGGTCCAAGTCGACGTATAGACAGTCGCGACTCATCCGCGTCTCCGAATTGCGCGCGAAGGGCACACGCGTCACGGCGGAGACGTACGCGGCGAGGGGTTCGGGACGAGCGTCAGCGTGCTGTAGCTTTGGGAAGACGCGTCGTTCGTGATGTGGTAGCGGGTGCGGATGAAGTCGTGTGCCAGAAGGGGCGCGAAGCAGTCCTGGTCGACCTCCTGCAGCAGGATGACTGTGGGCTGCGCTGAGGATTGGGAAAGAAGGCTCTCGAGGTGATCCAGCGCGGCTTTGAAGCGGGTGATCAATAGGGAGCCAGCAAAGTCGATGTTCCAGGACAAGAGAGACAGCCGCGGAGGTGACTCTGCCACGGTTTGGCCTGGGACATGGGCCATCGAGGGAATCCATTTGCGTGTAGTGGCATCGAAATGGAGCAGCCTTCCCTCTGCGCTTGTATTTGCCTCCAATTCCATGGACTTCAAGGGATCCCGGGGCGACTGGGACCAGATGGATCTCGATGTTGTGGGCGTGCGGCGCACGAACTTGAAATTGCAATAGCGTGCGGTGTCCGAGAGCCAGCCAGTGCTCAAAGATCGCTTACAAAAGTTCTGAAGGAGCCGTGCATGCAGCACTCCGAAGCTCGCCAGTGCTGAGCTGATAGATCGTTTCCAAGTCGGAAGCACCGAGTCTGCACAACTTGAATGACATCACTGGCCACGAGACCAAGGCTATGCCGTATGACATCGATTGTTCATCTAATCTAATCTCTAGCTGCATATCTAACTCAAATGCCCCTGCCTGTACAAGATCCTCTGCTGCCCTCGAGAAATAAAAGTTTCACTGCACACGGCCGGTGATAAAATATGGAGGGAGTCTCGGTCTGCAGGGGTCGAAGGCTTCGAGGGGAGGTTTTAGGAACCCTCAAAGTTCACTGCTTGATGTCAGAAGAGATGATGACGACGCCCGATTGACGAACGCACAACAAGGGAAAAAATTGTTGCGTTTATTTGACTTTGCATCGTTTGAGATCGTCTCTTGCAAACCGGCGCTAGAGAGAGGTGTGTCAAGGGAGGTCGTCTGTGGCCCCCTTTGACATCTATTCGTGGACGTGGAAGTGTGGATACCGCTCATGTGTGCTTGAGTCTCCTCCTGACATGAGATCTGCGGAAAACGGCACTGGTGTGATAGTTCACGATGCAGAATATCTTGCACTCATCCCTCCTGGCGCGAAGTGCTGGCCGAGTAATCGTGTATGCTCCCACGTATCGACCACTCCTGTACCGCGGCCTATTCCGAGATCACAAAGCGAATTTCGTTCAGAGGGCATCTTGTGGGAAGACTTTCTAAATGCGTGAGAATCCCGCGCGTCCAGGTCCTCTTTCAACAGAGAGTCACATGATCGCGTAGCTACGCGTCCAGAGGCGCGTCCGAAAAGAGCGTTCGAATCGTGTCGCAAGATTCTAAGTGATAGCAGAGCAATCCAATACACCAGTCCATCCGGTATTTACTTAATTTCCCCCCAAGTTTTCAAGCTTTACGCTTCCTGCCTCGATTCTCCGTGTCCGAGCCTAGTGAGTCGAGTTGTTTTCGCTTGCCAGGCCGCGATCCCCTCCTTCTGGAAGCTACATTTTCATCCGAGCTACTGTCTTCGTCACTTTCCTCTTCGGAGGATGAAGATTCAGCGGCGGCCTTGCCCGCTGCCGCTTTAGCTTGTGCGGCAGCTCTCACCTCCGGATAGTGTACCTCCATGTGCAGCCGAGCTCTCTCCGCGTCCGAAAGCCCGTGTCTTTTTGGTCTTCGCTCCTTCTTCGCGGCCAAGTCACGGTACCACGTGTGCCCCGAGGGCCCTGGATACGTGCATCGCATCATCACGAAAGGATCTCCTCCGTCGTCCATCACATCCAGTGCAACGAGACTGTTCCCTTCGTCTTGCAGCTGCGGCCCATAGCTCTCCTTCCACTTGAATGTCACAAACTCCCAGTGGTTATCTACCAGGTGATTCTTGTCGCGGTCCTTCGCGCGTTTGATCCCAGAGAATTTGGCCTCCTTGCCGAACACCACCACGGTCCCCGTGATGTTTTTCAGCGTCGGTCGTTTCCCGGTGCTTGATATCGTCAAGTACCCGGGGTGCGGGAGCGATGCGTCGGAATTGTCGTAAGAGATGTCGTTTGGCTCAGTTGTGCCCGGTTCGGGGAAGTCGTAGAACCAGCGGTATGTGCCACACAGTGTCTCGAGTTTTGTGGGTTCGTCGCCGTCGCGCTGTTTCTTGCAAATTAGGATACGTGCGTGAGTGCAACACTCGAGGACTCGGGGCGCGACTCACAATGCCGACGAACACTTCTTGGTCCTCCTCGCTCCAGTATTTTGGGTGTTCGAAATCCCATTCACTCTCTTTGGGGTCGTACCACGTCGGGTTTGATGGTCCCCCCATATCTTTCTCCGGCGGCATGCGCGAATCGTCTCGTCCAGCGAATGGCGGCTCAAGTAGGCGCAAATTGGAGGTCACAATGCGGCAGTGTATTTGAGCGGTAAATACAGGTAAACACGCAGGGTTCGAGAAGTGCTAGAAGTCGTCCACGTTCCAGTCGAAGGCGGACAGTACGCGCGCCATGGACCCTTGAAAGACTACATCCGCCTCGTCATCAACAAGTGAGCACTATCATGAAGAGAGCATTTGAAGCTGTTTGCAGAAACATGATCGTGATTGGAATCAAAAACCTCTGTTCTGGTTTTTGCCGCAAATCCCTCGCCGGGTCAGGCCAAGTTGATGCGCTTAATGCTCACCAGGAGCCGGACGACAGGCAGATAGAGGGAATCACCGACATAAGACCTGTTCTTCTCGCATATGAGTATTGGAATCGGTGTCAGTAGTTTATATCAATCGGACTACTCAAATCCTCTCGACGGATATCATAGCGCCTTCTCTGTTTCGGAATCTTTGTCAGATACGCTCTGTGTGTCCGCTGCCACAGCAAATTTGGTGAACGGTACGACCCCGATCTTCCTGATTACGACCCATGCAAACGGCAGAGAGAAGACAACTGCGGCAATTAGGACGCGACATGAGACTCGATGAGGAGGACGCACTGAGGCCGATATTGAGCCCGATGGACAGCCAGTTAGTAGTGTTGCTCGACTTGATGCCGTAAGCAACCGCCTGACCGGCACACTCGACGCCTCGGAGGGTGCCTGTCATGTATGAGAGAGCGACGAAGTCATCAGAAACTGAAAATGGATGAGATGACTACATCACGGGAA